TGTTTGTATTTGTTGTGGTTGTGCTGGTGTTGTCTTTGGTCTCTATGGGAAGGGAAAACAGGGAAAGAGGAAGGGGAAGGGAAAGAGGAGGGAAAGAGAAAGAAAGAGGAAGGGAAAGAGAAAGCGGAAGGGAAAGAAGATGGGAAAGAGGAAGAGAAAAAGGAAGAGAAAGAGGAAGAGAAAGAGGAAGAGAAAGGGAAATGCGAAGTCCATCCATGCAGTCCACCTCTCCCTTTCCTCTTGATCTCTTTCCCTTTGTCCACTTGCTTTCCTCTCTTTTATACACTTCTTCCATTTTTGAGGCTTTCTTTTGAAAAGAGTACTACTTCTGAATGATCTATATCCATTTTAAACTCTAATATCTCGTTATTGAAAATCACCAGTCTATTAAGAGCTGTGCATATTGTTTTTTCGCATAATCTCTTTCTAAACCTTCCCCTAAACTTTACTGCCGTTCAAGGAGAATTCTCATCACTCTCTTCATCAAGAAATTCAAAAGAACATCAATATCAATGGAAACTTAACGCTCTTCAGAGCTTATTCTTCTTCAGAGCTTCAGAGCTTTAGATCGTTATTCTGGCCTGGCCAAAATAGACTTCATAATAGTCATAAATATTAAAAGAAACAGAGAAATGAGAAAAGAAGATAGAAAGGAGTGATGGGTGCGCGACGTAGTCGAGGCCGGACCTTTGCCTGAAGTCTTCTCTTCGTCTTCTCTTCGTCTTCTCTTCGTCTTCTCTTCGTCTTCTCTTCGTCTTCTCTTCGTCTTCTCTTCGTCTTCTCTTCGTCTTCTCTTCGTCTTCTCTTCGTCTTCTCTTCGTCCGCAGTCCAGTCTCTTCTCCCTCCATTTCCCCATCTCTTCACATCTCCAGTTAGGCTTTACGCTCTTTTTTTTCCACCCAAAAAACTACCCATCGATTCTTGTTTTGCTATTGAAATTGAAAATTTTTGAGAAAACTTGTTTTATTTTTGGTTTAAGCTTAATATTAGCTTTCTTTCTTCTCTTTTCCTTTGTCCACTTGCTTTCCTCTCTTTTATACACTTCTTCCATTTTTGAGGCTTAATTGTTAACTTTTAAAAATGATTCAAAATAAGTAAATTTTTTAGAATTTGACTTAAACATTCTTTACTGAACCTTGACTTGAAATTAGCTTGAATAAATAAGCTTTAGAAATGGCTAAGGTTTATAATTAGGGCTACGGTAGACGGGGTAGACATTTATATATATAATTAGGGCTACGGTAGACAGGGTAGACATTTATATATATAATTAGGGCTACGGTAGACAGGGTAGACATTTATATATATAATTAGGGCTACGGTAGACAGGGGTAGATATTTAGATACGTACTAATCAATGTTTCACTTGAAATGTCTATGATTTTCAAATGTTTTTATGTTAATCAATCTTTTCCAAAATCAGAAACAGTTCCCAAAACTGTAGGCTTATTCATAAACAGAATTTGATCAAAAGAATCTACCGTAAATACTGCAATAGTCCCCCATCTCCCCCTCGTACAGTCGCGTAGTCGCAAAAGTTTTAGTCGTTTTTTAGTATTTCATTTTTTTCAAAGCGTCCGTACTTTCAAAAAAATGCGTTTTGGTATCAAAAAATAGCCCTGAATTTCAGCTATTTTTTGATACCTAAACGAGCATTTTAGCATAAACCAGTGTCGAGAAAAACTCGTTCAAAGCTAGACTACGCAACACTCTGCACCGTCATTATGGAGATGGGGTACTATTACAGTGTTTACTGTTACAGTGTTTAGGAATCTCTTAAACACTAAAAGTACAACCTATTTCCTAACAATAAAAACAATTTCATATTTTGAAAACTGATTTTAAGCGAAGAAGGAAATGGAAAAGAAAAAGCAGCTGGATGCAATGGATTGGGTTCTGTTTTGAAGGTCATTCATTCGATATTTGTGTCCAAAGGGAAGGACAGCAGAAAGGAAAAGAAGAAAAGAACCTCTTTCCATTCTTTTCCATTCTCTTCCATTCTTTTCATCCTTTTCCATTCCTCCTCTTTGCCCCATTCACAGAATCTATCGATTTTTTTTCGTTTCCTTTAAATATTCTGGATTTGATCACGATTTTGATCAATTATTTAACTGATATATTTATAAGATTCGACTTTTCGAAGTTGTTTCATCATTTTTCGATCTTCAAATACGTATCCTGATGTAAGCTTGAGAAAAGAAAGAGGAAGAAGAGAAAAGTAAGATGAAGAAGAGAAAAGAAAGAGGAAGAAGAGAAAAGAAAGACTTCCATTGACAAAAATCGATCGATACCCCTTTCCCGCATAAAGAACTCTTTCACTTCTATCCAGATGACTATTTTGATGGGAAATAGTAAAATACAATCCTGCTTCTTCCGCTTCATTCATATATTGGCTTTATATTCTTGTTCAATTCTCCTGTACAATTGTTCAATTGTATTCGGATGCTTTTGCTTTGTACAATCGCTTTGTACAATTGCTTTGTACAATTGCTTTGTACAATTGCTTTGTACAATTGCTTAAAATTTGAGCAAACTTTGGCTATCTTCTTGATGTACTTTGTGCTCAAATTATAAAATTCTCTCTAGTGCACTCAATTTTTCTTTTTTAGATCTACTCTAGTTCAAATAATCAAATAAATGGTTATTTTTTTAGAGAATAGCCGATTTTTGAGCTTATGGAGGCGGGGGGATTAGTCGGGGATAAAAGGAGAACGGGAATGTTTTAGCAAAACCTCTCAGAAAGTTTTATCCTTATTTTGTTCTTCTGTTTTTATTTTGCTTTGTTTTTTCTTGTTTTTTGCTTAATCTTTTGTTTTCTAAAGATTTTAATCATAGATTTAGGTAGTTTTCTTTAGTAAAATATAGAAAAAAGAAAAAAGAAAAAGAAAAAAGTAAAAAAAAAGAAAAAATGAAATTTTCCCTCTTTCCCCAACTCCTCTCAAATCTGTTTCCTAAATCGTGTCCCTTTCTCGACTACTGTAATCTGTCTTTTTTATCCAATCTTGATTTTTTATTTATTTTGTTCATTCTGCGAAAGTTCACAAGGGATTTTGAAAGATATAAAAAGTGGATTTGTTGTGTTTGTTATTGGGTCTATTCAATAACGAACGTCTGGTTTTGAATAAGACGTCCGTTTTTGAATCGTTCAACCTACAATTTGATTTTTGTTTTTTCTTATTGAATCTAGCTTGTTTTTTATTGAATCTATTCTATTCAATAAGCTTTTATTAATAATCGTCTATTTAAATTCAATCTATTCAATAACGAACGTCTGGTTTTGAATAAGACGTCCGTTTTTGAATCATTCAACCAATTTGATTTTTTTTTCTTATTGAATCTGGCTTGTTTTTTATTGAATCTATTCTATTCAATAAGCTTTTATTAATAATCGTCTATTTAAATTCAATGAATCTATTCAATAACGAACGTGTGGTTTTGAATTCGTTTTTGCATCGTCCAACCTACAATTTGACGATTTTTGTTTTTTCTTATTGAATCTAGCTTGTTTTTTCTTGAATTTATTCTATTCAATAAGCTTTTATCTTTGTCTTTTATTAACAATCTTCTATTTAAATTCAATGAATCTATTAAATAACGAACGTTCGGTTTTGAATAAGACGTCCGTTTTTGAATCGTTCAACCTACAATTTGACGATTTTTGTTTTTCTTATTGAATCTATTCTATTCAATAAGCTTTTATCTTTATCTTTTATTCATAATCTTTATTCATTTCATTTAAATTTAATGAATCTATTCAATAACGAACGTAACAGATAGATTTGATCAAAAAATAGAGCTTTGTAGTCGAAAAGTCCACATTTTAGAAAACATCTTTATCTTTCGAAAAGAACGTGGTACCTGCTTTAAATTTTTCAACTTTCAACTCTACTATTCCGTAATTAAGTCTTTTGAAACGACAATTTATCTCATGTAAAGTAGATTTTAAGGTTTATTTATCATTCTTTGGCAAAAGACTCGTCTCCTGATGCAGTAATGGGCCCAACATTTTCCTATTTCCGATGATTGCATTCCTTTGTAATTTTCTGCCTTTTGTCTGATCTCGTTTCCCTATATTTTTCCTTTTCAAAAATGATCCGTTTCCCATGGCAACAACCCGTCAAAATGAATGGCGATTTTTGGAGGCAAAAAAATGAAATTCTGATGTTTTCACCTCTTTTTGAGGAGATGTTTCTCAGGATTTGAGGTTTTAGACTTGGGAGTTCGATTTTTCAAATGTTAATAAAATATTTAGATAAATTAAGTTAAAATTTTTAAAGAAATAGATTGATAGGCAATGAAAGCTGATACTTTCTTTTGAAAAGCTAATGTTTCAATGGTATCCGCACCTCAAAAGATCGTTTGGATAGTTTTTTTCTTTAATTCTTCTTAAAAATCCTTTAAATTGTTTAAGTTCGTCTTTTTCGAGCTAAAGCTCTTGTTTTCTTTTAGAAAATTGATGTTTCAATGTTTTGTTATAATGAATTTAGGCCGGTGATGATTCTTTTGACTTACGAATTCATTTATAATAAGATTTTTTTGAAAACATTTTAACGAATTACTTTTAACACTTTTTTAAAAGATTATTTCAAGTTGTTAAAGCTGTTAAAAGTCGGTCTTATTTGAGCTAAAGCTCTTGTTTTTCTTTCATAAAGTTGATACTTTAAAGTTATAATCACCGTGTTCAGCTTTTTATAATAGACTAGCTTTTTTGTATATTTATAGGTTTATGTTTAAGATTTTGTTAATATTATAAATTATTTTAAGATAAAGAATCATTGGCTTATGGAGATAAAGTTCTTTTTTCTCCTTGTAAAGTCAATGTTTCAATTTTGATGGAATTGAAACAAGAAAGTTCTACTTTTCACAATGGATCCCTTTCATTTGTTTTATATTTTAACTCTCTAAAATTATTATATTTTAATCTTTTAAACTAACTTTTATTAAAGCTTTTGAAGGCAAAGACGGCGTCGATAGGGGTGATTGGCAGCAGTGATCTCGTCATGGATGATCTCTCGTTGGAGTCAGCTGTACGTAGGGCAAAGCTTTAGAAAATAGAAGCTACAGATTAGAACAAAAATTAATGTTTAAATTCAATTCGATAAACAATTCAATAAACAATTCAATAAACAATCCAATAAACAATTCAATAAACAAATCAAATTCCAGAACATGGAGAATTTGTACTCGGAACAAGAAGAGCCGCAGATTCCCACCGGCCCTCTCATCGACGATGACGGGAAATACGGAGAGCTCATTTTGTTGGGGTTAGTGAGTGGAAAAGGAGTTGAAAAATGAATTGAATTTAAAATTTTAACAATATTATATAGTAACTAAAGAATGGCAGTGATAGCTCGTCAGTCGTATGCTTTTGATTTTAGCTACAACGGCACGGGTGAGGGCAATCTGAGGCATGGATCGAAGAAGCAGCGCTCGAAATTCGTCCTGATGCGCAGAACGGTGAGTGAGCCTGTTGCGGGGGTAAAACAAAGCTTTGATTTCAGACTGGAAATGGAATCAAAAAGATGAGCACCTCTTCAGTGGCGATGCCGCCAAAAGATGCGCCGGTGAGTGGGAAATTTTGACTGACTAGGCCAGGTTGACTTTCAAAAGTGGCCTGGTCAGCGAAAGCCAGGCTTTCTTTCATCTGGCTGGTTTCACCAACTGCGTTTTAATGCGTTTTAAGCCGAATTTCGGGGCTCCAAAGTGCGCGCTCATCTAGTCTAATGATAGGGATACACATAGGGAAGAGGTCTAAAAATAGGCTCTCAAAACATTTTTTGAAACCAAAAAACACTTCTTCTGGCATAATTTCATTTATTGATTACGTTTCTGTTCAAATTGGAGCAAAAAAAAAAATTTTTTTTTTTTCCAAATTTCGATCACTTGCCCCCCCCCCCCCCCCACCACATGAGTCAAAATCTGTCAAAACAAAAAATATTTTTCCAATTTTTTTTGCCTCTATCAGTCAATTTAAGTTAGAAAATGAATATTTAGTGGTTAAAAATGGTTTTGGCTCTAGCTTTGACTTTGAAAAGTGCCCCAATAGTCGATAGCTTGAGCAAGTGAAGTACACTATGGAAGCGCGCACTTTGTAGCGCCGAAACTCGGCTTAAAACGCACTTTCTCAAGTTTTCGTTGTGTTTTTCGGAATCTACGCATAAAACTACCGCAGAAAAAGTGGTTTTGAAAGAGAAAAATGTCACTCAACACGACATGAAATGTTACGATTAATTTCATTTTATTTGCTTAATTTGCTTCATTTTAGGCAGTGTTGGATAAAGATCGTCACGTCGTTTCGTATGCCTACAAATCGCACACAATCTTGGTCGAGTATTCGATGGATCCGAACAAGGACATGTTTCAGGTGGGGTGTTTGGAATTATTTTTATTAATATACTATCACGAAGTAACCTTTTCAAAGTTCACAAGCTCCAAAGGGCTTTAATCGATTCGTTTTTAAATGGCTAGTCACTAGACTTGTAACGAAAACATCTGTCTATCCTTTTTTGTTGTTGGCAATTTAAGGTTTTTCGTGTTTTTCTCAGCAGCAACCCTTCGATTTTGACTATTCTGATCATCATTCGATGCAGAATAAGATTGCGCGTCGAACGATACCAAAATTAGCTCAAAATGTAATATCCATGCAAAGTTATGAGGCAAAAAGTTAAGTCCCACCCGTAATGGGCGGGGTTGAGGTTTTTAGCCAACAACTTTGCATTGGATATTACATTTTGAGCTAATTTTGGTATCATTCGATCATCATTATCATTGCTAAATATTCTTCTGTTTATAGATTATGGCAGTAATTTTAGATTGGTCGCTCATCAGAGGATCAAATCGATTTCACGATCGTTGACACGTGGCTCGTTTCCGGCGTTCACAATTCGAGTCATGGAGGTGAGGAAAGGACAAGAAAATATTCCAATTTTGACTCTGGACTGGTAAAATTTGGTACATATTAACAATTTGGTCCAAATTATGTACCAAATTGAATTTCAAACCGACTAACAAGAGTTTAGGCAAAAGTCACAAGAACGAAAAGGACACTCGGCCGATTTCGTCGACGATTTCGAGGTAAGCAGCTCTTTTTTTAGCTATTAACAGCTATGAACCAAGCTTTTAGGTACGCTTGCCGCATTTTGGTTGATCGCGACAATTGTAATAAAGCGTATCTCTATGCGGCTGGTTTCGATGGAAAGAAGAATATTTTCTTAGGGGTGAGTTGGAGAAAATTCTTCTTTTAAAATCTTTTTTCTTCTTTTTTTTGACTTTTACATTCATTACATTACAGGAAAAAGCCACAAAATGGTCAAAAGTGAAGAGTTCGGAGATGGACGGGTTGACAACGAATGGGGTTCTCATTTTACATCCGAATCGAAACACAGAAGATGGATCAGAGGATGATGAGGGAGCGATGTACGTGTGGAGAGAGGTGAGCCTTGCAAAAAAGAGTTGCCTTGCAAAGTTTATATTTGAAGGTTAGCTTTAAGCTTTAGCTTTTTAAACCAAAGTTACCTGCCTGCGCAAAGGCTTTTACTTTATTTGATTATCTTAGAAATTTAGTTTTTTATATTTATCAAAAACTTTCTTTAATTTTAAACTAATCAAATCAATTAGAGTTGTAATTGGCTTGTTTGTTTATGCAAAAACTGTTACAAATGGTTGTGTGCTTTCTGTGTACAAACAAACAAGCATAAAGCTGTGCTTTGTAAATTGAGCAGCAAAATTGCTAATTTTCTAGGTATCAGTTGATGGTGATATGTTCACATTACGAGAAACGCGAAGCAGTAACACGAAAGGGGAATTGATGCTAGAAGAGACGAGTATGCTGCAAGTGAGTGTGATTTTTAAATAATCCGTTTCAGGGATCAGGAATATTTTGTTTCAGGGAATATTTTTAAATAGTGAACATTTCTAGGACGGTACACTGATCGATTTGTGCGGAGCAACGTTATTGTATCGAACAGCTGACGGTTTGGCGAGAAGTCCGACGGAGAGAGAATTGAATATTTCCCTCGATCGGCTTAATGCTGGTTAGCTTTTTTAAGAGTCATCTATTTTAGAAAGCTACCATACTGCCTCTAAACTTTAAAAGCTTATCTTTTCTAGGCAAACCCCAGTGTCCAGTCAATCTAAACACCCTGGTGATTCCAAGAAAGAAAACAAACGAAAAAGACAAAGATTTCAGTCGACAACCCTATGTGAGTTAAATAGTTTTATTTATTTATTTATTTCTGTAAGATAAAAGTATGGTTATTGTACGAAAAGTACTATAAAAGTAAACGTATCCAATGAAACTTCTCAGGTGTACTTGCGATGTGGACATGTGCAGGGGAAACACGATTGGGGACTTCAAGTCAGTGCTGGTGGCACGAGGACCACACATAAATGTGAGTAGAGAAATTAAGAATAAAAGATTACAGTATGGATAGTATGGACAGTATGACTTGAATAGCATAGTCAGATCCCAGTCCCTGAAGGTAGTTGATAAAGAATATTTTGAGTAATGTTTGTTGGCTAAGAGTACTCTAATCCATTGTGATCCATTATCTCTCAATTTCCAGGTCCGGTGTGCCTTATTGAGAGTGAACGCGTACTCTCACTCACAATGGGAATGGAATCCGCTTTTCACATCGATTCGGGCGTTCTCGATTATGCTTTCAATCCGTGTGGCCATGTTGCTTCGTTGAGTACTGTTAGGTGAGCCTTATAGCTGTTAGGTGAGCCATAAATGATCCAGTGAGTAGCGTGTAGCCTAGATTCTGTCAGATTAAAGCAAAGCCTGGTCAAATGGCAAGTTCAGAGCTGGCTGAGCTTGCCTGAGGCTGAGCTGGCTGAGTAATGAACTGGCTGTCCTGTTGGTGAATAAGTCTTGAATAAGAATAAGGTGAATAAGTTTTAGTTCCTTTTCATACTTTTATTTGTTTTGTCATTTTGCAGAAAAGAAAAATAATTGACTTTTCTAATGAAAAAACCGTATTTCAACTGGTGCACTTAAACGGAAGTACGAAAAAAAAACGAAAATACTCCACCAATCCAATAGTAAAGGACAATTTGTCTGTCGGACAATGAGTGTCTGTCTAACTTCAACCGATATTCAATTCCAATATTTCTAGGTATTGGTCTCGTATCCCGCTTCCCCATGGGACGAATTCATTCCATCCAGTATGTCCCTTTTGTACATCGCTTCTCGCCTCGAAGAAACCCTACGTTCGGCTGATCTTCCAGGATCATCTAGGCATTTGAATAAATTCTTGTAATCAGATGAATTTTGGGATTGTTGGGATTGTTACCGTACTCGTAACGCCTTGTTACGAAATTACTAGAACTGGAGTAGAGCTTATCGTACTCCGAAAAGGTTTCTGGAGTCCGGGAGGTACAGCAGCTACAGAATGAAACTTGAAAGCTTTAAAAGTTGGTCAAAATATGCAATTTTCACAGTATAACTTGAAATCGATCACTCTATATTGTGACGACGGTAACAGTTCCGAACTTTTGTCACATCACACCAAAACTCTCATCTCAAATCCCCTTTCTCTTCTTTGGTTATTCAAATTGTGATCATTGACAGTGTCTTCTTTTAGACTTTTCCTTTCAATTTTCTCATTTGTAAGACTTTTGCCCATCAAATCCATCAAATAATACCTCGGCAATAATAATTTTTTAGCTTTTGTCTCTAAGACTTCTTCGTTTTGTCGTTTCTCGCATCGTTTCTACAACGGGCTTTTACTATTTCGCGAAAATGTAACTTTCTATGATCTTTAAGCTGGCTCATTTGACTGAAAAGTTTTCTAAAAGTGCGGGAAAGCTACCGTAATCCGATATGAACACAGTACCTGCTGGTTTGATGCTAAAAGTCAGAAGTACGGTAGCTTTATCCGCAAAAGAGAGAGCCTTTTAGAAAACCCTTTAGTTCAAAAGAACAGTCTACTTTGAGCTAAAAATTCATGGCTAGATCTCGTTAAACTGGCTTTTCCTTCATCATACTTTAGTTTGAAAATGAAAATGTAAATAGACTTTGATTTGTTTCGATTTTTTTTTGTTTTTAAAACTTCCATCATCGAATTTCCTAGGGTGATCATTTGTAAAGATGCATAAAAAGATTTAAAATTTCATTTTTAAGACATGTTTTCTTCGTTCAGACAATTTGAGTTGATTATACAAAGAATTAAAAACTAAAATGTGCGCTCAAGCAAAACTACCGCAATCCGGGGCCAGAGCCAATTCCGTAGACTTTCCGTCAATTTAGTAAATAGAAATCACAGACAAACTGATTGTGAGTAGGTATTACGTGTAGCTATTTTCTACTTCATTTTTATTTTGCACTAACTTTAGCCGATAAATCTACATAGAATACAGCAATCTATCAAAATACACTGCATTGGCTAAAAAGCGGATTCGGCTATAGCTCTACTTTAATCTTGAGAAGATATTCATTTAATGCACTGACAGACGGCTTTGATCGCCCCAAATTATACTTTTGAAGCACCACTGCCAAGTGTCCATATGTCGCAGTCGCTCGTGATTTTCAGCCGCTAGTGATTGAATCACTAGCGGCTGCGACGCATAAATTTTAAATTTTTGGGGTGGAAGTGCTGTGTTTTTTTTTCCCTGTGTGTTTTAAAAATGTAGAAGAAGGGGATTATTAAAATATAAAAATCCCATTTATCACAGATTTTAAAAAAAAAAGAAGCATTTCAATCAAAATGGGCTATTTTGGGAGCCGGGGGGGGGGTGGTAAAATTTTAAGATCGGGGGTAAAATTTTATATAAGTTATATACGACCCCTTTTAAAGATATTCATCCGCTTGAGTGATTTGGTGGCAAATTCCCTTCGAATGTAAAGATATTCAATTTATTCGAGGTGATACTCGAAAAACGTAACTTCTACAAAATTTCATTATTAGGAATGTTGATACTGTCCTAGTTGGCGGGTCACTTTTTTTTTCTTCAAAACCATTTTTTGGGGTAGTTTTATGTGTTGATATTTGGCCTCCTGGCCTAGAAGTAAATTCGATAGGTTTTTACAAGTAGTATTCATTGTCACTGTTACAAATAGTCACTGTTGTACTTCACAAATTTATTTAATTATTAAAGAATGGTTTATGTTTGTGCTTGCTTGCATCTTGTTTATTCGTTGCTGGTATAGTTCTAAAATTTAGTTACCATACGCAAACAGCGGCAAAGCCATATTAACAAAAAAAACATTTTTGCGCAAACAGCGGCAAAGCCATATTAACAAAAAAAACATTTTTGCGCATTTGGTTGGTTTTTGAAAGTTTACCCCGGATCTTAAAATTTTACCACCCCGGATATTGAAAGACCCCCCCGCCCGGATACTCCACAAGTACCAGGGACACTTGGAGCGGTACTTCAAAGGGATACCCCAAATGACATTCTCTTTGATTTTCCATTTTGCTCCTTCGCTAAAGGCACGTTCTTTACACTTTCCCGTGTGGTCAAAACGTTTTTTGTCGGTTTTGATCTTGTTTCCCCTACGACCCATCCATTTTACGAAGCTCTCTTGCGCGTTCTACCCATTTCTCGTTAGACAATTCTTGTTTTTCTTCGGGTTATCCCTCTCTCCTTTTGCCACTTGCACTTTCTCACTTGTTTTTGTTTGTCACAAGTACATTGTTTAGGCACTTAATGTGTGAATTCTTTAGATGAAGCTACGGGAGACACTCGGCAAATTCGTAAGTCAAACGCCCGGCGTTCAACACATTTGGATAGCCGATCGAGACGGTGTGCCACTCCTCGGCACTGGTAAGCTTTTAATGTTGTTCGCCAAAGGGTCGATTTCTTGGTTGGAATCTGTTGACCAGACCACTCACCCAGACTGTTGTGAATTTAGTTACGGATAAGTTACCGATTTACAGAGAAACCGATTTGCCCTCCCCCCTCCCCCCGATACTATAGTTGATCCATAATGCATTTGCTGTTACTTATAATGTACATACTTGCTTTTTAGGTGAAGATCATCGCATGCGAACGGGCATTATCGAATCTCAAGTCGGCGCCCACGATCAAGTGCAGAAACTGGATTTAGGTAAGAAAAGTGGCAGAACTTAATTTTCTTAGCATTTTGTTTTGGGTCAACACCGATCATCAATGTACTTCTACCAGAATCATCAACTCGTCGTCTTTCAAATTCCGCCCGTTGTCGTCTACGTGTTGGCTGATGGCGATGCAAATACAGGATTCATTTTAAAGGTTCAGTAGTTTTTTTGTTTTTGAGAGTGGCACAAATAATAACTTAGGGATTTATCTGTGTTCGAACATTGGTGTATATTTTATCTTTTCAGCTTCGCGAGAAACTCGAGCCACTCCTCACCCAAATCGAACAACTCTTCCCACGTCTACCGGTCTTTTAAACAAACGTGTCGTGTACATCTTTAAAAACTTTGATTACGTAAAGTCGTCTAATTTTTCTCACATTGTGATTTTCCTTTGTTCATTTCAGCAATTGTTTCATTGTGTTCTCATCTTTTAGATTTATAGCTAGTTAGCTTTCCCATTGTGATCATTTCACTTAGCCGGTACCTTTGGTATTCTTTTTGTAAATATTGATGCTTGAATAAAATTTCATCGGAAAATTTTAGTGAATTCAAAGTTTTATTTTACAGTGAAATATCTTGATCCATTAAACATTCAAAGAATGCTCTTAACATGTTTTTAGCGATGTTTTCGTCTCGAGGGGTTTTCAAACGACATTTTTTCAACCTAAATTGGCAACTATGGATACGAAGAACACTTGGATCTAAGCTTCCCTTCAATAAATTTAGGTAAATTGGAAACACGTGAGACTGGTGTAAAGTTTGTTTAGATTATTTCGAAATCACGTGCTTTTGGCTTTATCGGGTGGAATCTTTACTTTTCAACAACATGGACTATCGAATGAAAGGCTACAAGAATGCTCCGGATTTGCGTTTGGTAAGAAACAAAAAGTTTTTCTTGTACTCTTTTAAATTTTTAGATAGAAACGATCAACGAGATTTGAAAGAAGGTTGGGAGCCGCTCTATGAAGACAAATCAAAAAATCTACGCGTTTTCCGGAGGAAAGTCAAAGACGACAAGCTCGATGTCTATGAATACAGGTATTTTGCGTTTTATTGGTTTATGAAGAGAGGAAATTCAGGGTTGCAGGAACATTCTACGACATAACACCGCGCAATTACATTGGTTTGTAATTGTTTTGTTTTCTAATGGCAACCAGATGTTCAGATGCGCAAAGTGATGTAGCCTACAGATCAGAATGGGATGCCAATGTAATGCGATTAGAAGTTATTCAGGAAGACGGCGATCAACAAGTAACATTTTAATATTTTTCTATTTATTTGGTCTTTTTAGTTGATAAGATGGGTCTCGAAGTATCCATATCCTATGTACGCACGCGAGTACGTCTTTATACGAAGAACAACAGTCAGTGATGATGGCCGAGTTGTGATGATTTATTGTGAAGCGGTTCCAGAAGAGGTAGAACTTATGATTTTGTTTTTACAAGCAAAGTGTTCAGGTGATTCCTACGTCATCACGTAAAAATGTACGAGTCGCCACTTATGCATCACAAAGTGCCGTACGAGCACACAAAGATTTGGACACTGATGGTTTAGGTAAATATCTTTTGACGTCACTCATTTCTTAGTGACCGATGATGAAAAGCCTATATGATATGTGTTTGCTCATTGAGCAAACGTAGAAAAGATTATGAAGCAGTGAGCAAAAAGATTGCTTACTCCAAAAAAATCTTTTCCAACAGTTTTGCTTTGGTAAATAGGGAAATCGTAAAAAGTTCAACGATTTTCTACAGATACAGAGCTACATTATGGCTAACAACTCAACAGTTGTTATCCTAGCACAATGATTACTAAAAGGCGAAGCTGAGGTCAAAAATAAAGCTTAGTTTTTGCATGATTTTCTTTAGTTATTTCGACAGTAATCGTTAAGCTTTAGATTACGTGCTGACTTACTTTGACAATCCGGAGGCAAACATTCCAAGGTATATCTACAACTGGATTGTAAATCAAGGAGGTCCCTACTTTGTAAATCAGGTAATTTATCTTGCATGTTAATTACTTAAACATTGTTTTTAGGTGCATACAGCGGCTAAGAAGTTGGAAAAAAGTGGGCGGAAAGTGAAAAGTTTCCTGAACTCTGACAAGGTTAATAAAATTAATAAATTGTCATTATTGAGGTTTAGAAAGCACCGACGGTTTGTGAGGCACCAGTTAGCGACGATCATTCAACATGCACACATTGCCCAATTCATTGTCCAAAAGCTGAAGAAACGGTGAACATTTATTCTGTTTAACAAATTTTTAAGAAACGACATCTTGGATTGCATTCTGTTAATTTCAGGTAACCTTTGAAGCTCTAGATGTTACGGAAGATCCTACCGAAATGGTGTTGCCCTCAAAATTGGCTGAAAAGGAAGAAACTAGCAATGGTTCGCTATTTTTTTGTGTTTCTTTATCGTTTAAAAGTTTAGTGATTGAAACACTATTGACAGTTCTTCAACCGGCTACCAAAACGCGTGACAAGGTCTCTAATGGGGTGTTTTTAACTTCAGAACAAAATAACGAAGCTAAAACCAATGATTTTAAAAGACGATTTACAGCTGATGAAATTTTTGCTCAAATTGAATAGTTTCCTTTGTTAAGCTTTTCTCATTTTTTTGCCTTGACAATACTTTAAGTGCTTTTCGAGTTGATGAATTCGGCATTAAATGGTGTTTTCTTGTTGGTAGCTCTTAAGTGCTGTGATTTTTGATTGTTTAGGTTCTGTTAGAGTGTAAGTTTAGTTTTTTTTGATAGAATAGGGTATTAGTTTCTGATATATGATTGTACTTATTGCTTTGCTCATGAAATATTTGAATTGATAAAACATTTTTATTAAGAAAAAACAGTGTTAGAGCTCTCCACAATTTTCGATTCGAATTTCCTTCAAAGTGCGCCCTTTTTGGCGCCCATATCCCTCGATGACTCCTGGAATTAAAGGTTCGACGTTGATTTATTGGAAACTCGCCTAGTTTCTCAATTTTATCCAGAGTATCCCATCCCGAAACCACTTCACCAAATGCTACATGATAGCCGTCCATCCTGAAATTAACTTTATCCCTTTGCATATTTGAACTTACCATCGACACTCATCAAAAGTGACGAAAAAGCGCGACGAGTTAGTGTTCGGCCACCTGACCAGCAAAATTGCTTAAAGCTCTTATTTAGACAGACTCACCCGAAGTTGTCCATCGATAAAACACCTCGTTTATCATGCTAAATATGAGGATTTTATTTTGTGAGAATTCTTTACCGGTTTCTCAAAATTCTCATCGTCAAACCACTTCCCATAGATCGATCGACCGCCTTTTCTGTCCTGGTTCTGTGTCTCGAAATCTCCGCTCTGTGAAAGTGCGATTTTCTATCGGAATTCCGAGATTTGAACCAACGCAAGCACAAAATCCGGGAATCACTCGGTAGAATAGGCACCCTTTGTAGCCGAAACCGCGGTCTCCACGACATAGCGACAAAAAGTTTTCGCAAGTTTTTGGGCATGTTGCTGAATCAAGCTGAAAGTTTTAAGTAATATTGGGTTGATGGAAAAGTCCTTTCCGATTTTTTGGGAGAGTACCTTAAATTTGTCCAATTTTGACGTTTTATAGCTATGCAATGCCTAAAGGGCCGGTCCGGGGTTCAACTGCATTAAAATTCCCAGCAAAAACTCTAGGAAATTACCTCAAAAACGACTCTCCCTAATGATTCTCCATTAGCTGAAAGATCGAAATAGCAACGGGGAGATAATTTTTGAGACATTGTGAAAAGAAATTTGTGAAAATGGATCCAAAATTTTCACATTACATAGACGATTGCAGCCAATTTCACTCCGATTCTCATTCTCTTCCAACTATGAGATGTGTTTGCGTTTTGAACCAAAAGTTTATTTAGAAAGTATAAATAAACTGGCTAAATTTTTGCTAATTAGAATCACACACACACATAAAGAATGTACAAAAATGTACACCGGGACTGATAAGATGATTGTAAAAGCTGATCCAAGAAATTCAATGGGATCAGTGAAAAATGAATAAATGTCAAAAACAATGATGAGCGTTGGAATGAAAAGAATTTGGAAAAAAAATAGAAATAGGTAATTACGTTTTATTAAGCGGGGATCCGCGGCAGCCCAAACTCGTCAACTTCGATTCCTTCGGCCGTCTAAAAAGATTGCACTTTTAGAAATTAAGATACCGTATTTCTTCGAATAGAAGACCGGGTAAAGTGTATCATCGCGTACACCTGCGTAGCAGCCCTTTTTAAAATTTCTTTTCTGGATAAAAGCTTTCAATCAAGTGTTATAGAGCTGGAAAATGGCTCAAAAATCTGTTAGCTCATGTGGTATTTTTGAGCCATTTTCCAGCCCTATAGCACTTCATTGAAAGCTTTTATGCAGAAAAGAAATTTTAAAAAGGGCTGCTACGCAGGAGTACGCGATGATACTCTTTACCCGGTCTTTTATTCGAAGAAATACGGTAAAATAGTTTTAAAGATTAAAATATATCTAGTTTTCTCTACAAAAACTCTGCTAATTAAATAGGGTGACTAATAAGTTTTGTATGTAAAGTATCGCTAATACCAAGTTTAAATTCACCTTATGCGCCGTTGGTTTAGCTTCGGGAACGGAGGGAGCGTTGAGAGCCTCGTCCAGGTAGGCTGAATCGGCTTCGCCCAATCCAATTTCATCTCCCAAAGCCGCCAATTCCGCTTCCAAATCTGTCTCATCAATCTAAAACAAAGTTCTTTTTTCTCTATTCAATAAAACAGTTCTTTCTATCCGAATACTACTCACATCAGGTGTGTCATATTGGCGACTCATTGCATCCTGGATTTCGTTGTTTAGATCAAGCATGTCCTCCATTTGGTCCTGAAAAGGCAAATAGAAAAAAACCAAAGTAAAAATTACCTGTAAATCTTCAATTTTGTTGATGTCGACTTTCTTGTACTCCTTCTTGAACGCTTTAAGGCCATCTTTCATGGCGGCCACTGTTATCTGCACAAAAATCATTGTTGATGAACAAAAAGGGTAAACTTACTTGAGTGTCCTTCATCCCTTGAATGGCAAAATGGCTTTGATCCTAAAATTTATCTGTTAGTAAAGTCAAGTAAATCTTAAGCCTACCATGTTGAAGCACTGCTGATCGAGTTGGTCCTTTTGGTTCTCGTACATTCGCTTCTGCTTGAGAATTCTAAAGCACATGTTTTGTTGTTAAAAATAATAATTTTGGTTTTGGCTCTAGAGCTATAAGATCACGAACAAAGAAAACCTGAGAGCTTTTTGTTTGATCATGTTCTTGCTCGGCCCTTCTCGCATCTTGCCCATCTGATCACGGAGTTTGACCTAAAAATCGATATTTATTACTTAAATGGTTAATCTTATGAATGATCAAAGATCTACCAATTCACCATCGAGTTTCTTGATCTTAGTGTCAATCGATTCCCCTCTGGCGCCGACTTTTTCGATGGCCTAAAATGGTCTTATGAATGATCAAAGAATGATCAAAGAATGATCAAAGATTTACCGCGTTGAGATCTGGTGGTGGCTCCTTCTTAGCCGACCCAAAGATTCGCTTCATCTAAAATTTTTTATCACTTTCACATAGTATACAAAAACAAACAACGCGAAAACAATAACAAAAAGATACGCCTAAAAGCAAGAATAAGTCATGAGGGCTCAAGCCTTTTCCAAGTTTTTGAATCCTTTGATGGGTATCTCTTCAAATAATACCAGGTGCCTGTTTCTTTCTTCTCAGTCAAAAAGTACATCGACATGTCATCCCTCCAGTATCGGGAAAAGCGCTTATAACCGGCTCGATCAAATTCGGGAATGGTGCGATCGGGGAAGAGACCAGCCCAATGCGCTTGCATCACACAACGTTCCAATCGCAATTGCTGACTCTTACAAATTCCTGTTAATTGCCGTGGAAGAACCGTTCCATCAGGTCTCATAAATTGCTCGAGTACCAAAACATCTGTGTAGGCCAATTTGATTGGAATATTGCAAGTGCAAAGCGCGCATCGATCCTCGGGTTTTCTTGGCGGCTCGGTGTCGACCATTTTCACGGCTTTCACAGTAGTTGTATTGCCGTCAGTCTTTTCAACTAGTTTCCATTTGTTCTGGAGAGCCGTTGTCGATATTCGTCTCAGCGTTAGACATTGTCGCAGCGGTGCTGTTGATGAGATCGATGGAATCATTACCTGAAATTAGAAAAAGTAGAGTAAACGATGGATCAACAATGCACGACGAATAATGAGAACGAAAAAGGTCCCACCCTCGAAAAGTCAAGCTTGGCAAACTTTAAGTACCGTATTTCTTCGAATAGAAGACCGGGTAAAGAGTATCTTCGCGTACTCCTGCGTAGCAGCCCTTTTTAAAATTTCTTTTCTGCATAAAACCTTTCAATCAAATGCTATAGAGCTGAAAAATGGCTCAAAAATACCACATGAACTAACAGATTTTAAATTTTAAAAAGGACTGCTACGCAGGAGTACGCGATGATACTCTTTATCCGGTCTTCTATTCGAAGAAATACGGTACTTTAAGTAGAGAGTATGGTACACTTATCAAAATATTCAATTGAAAAAACAAGAATACGGATACTTTAAACAAAACAAAACAAAACAACGGTGAAACAAGAAAGGCGGCTACATTTTAATGTTAAAAGGGCGAATTTTTCATTTTTTCAACTCTGGTGTAAGCGTAATCAATGCTAGCAATGATTTTGAAACCGTTTTATCTCTTTCTGTGACTCATTTTTCTATAGATTTCTATTTCGGTTATCTCAGCTGTTGGCTTGGTGCCAATAAGGGCTTAGAATGCTGCGAGACCCGTTTTCTCTTTTTTCAAAAGACCCTCATTCACGCGATGCGAGCACGCAACGAGCCCGCCGATTTCTTTGCCAATTTCACTTTGTGAAATTTCGACCCCAATCCCCTTTTCGCGTCATATTACTATTTTTGGGATTTCGTTACGTATCGATTCTTCTCTCGTCCATACACGTTTTTTTTCTTTCAGTCCGTTGGATGTTCAATTGAGAGGCAAGAAATGACCGACACACCTCCAGCCGCTAAAAGCCTCGATGAGGAGTCTCCAAAGGTTTGTTTTATTAGAGTAAAATTCTACAATGTCACTTAAAAACGTTTGAATCAATAATTATCGCTAAATATTAGTATTTTCTGGTACTAAATGTCCCAAATTTTCTTATTCAATTGGTTAAAAACCTTCGAACCATGAAACCTTCGAAATTCTTGACTTGGAAAAAGTTAAGCTTTTTTAAAACGAGTAAGGCATTTTGTACAAATTTTTTTAGCCATACTTTGCCAACATATGACACACTTTGCCAATTAATACAAGTGTGCTTTGTCACATGCAAAGGCATTAGCCAAGTTTTGGGGACTAAACTCAGTAATTTGTAATTACGAATATTTACTTTACCAAAGTTCAACTTTCAACCAAACTTATCCATACATTTTACATCATTTGTTTTAGAAAGAAGAAACATCAAATGAATCAGAAGAGAAAGAAGAGCCAAAGACGAGTCCACTTGCCGACATTGAATTTTTCAAAGTAAAAATAATTTTCTTTAAAATATAATCATGGTTGTTTAGGAGGCTAGGAATCGCGTAAAGTTGTATGTGCTATGCGATCAACGAGTATGGGACGATAAAGGGACCGGTCATGTCGCTTGTGTTCCGATGCCCGAGCAACCTTCTGTGTATTGCATCGTTGTTCAACTAGAAGCTGCAGGTGAAGCCTTGCATATTTTATTTGAAGACGATCGTAGATACATATATGGAAATTGTGTGTGGAAAGTCGTGAAAAAAATTTGATTTACTTTTTGATTACAAAGGCCAAATAGCAGGCTACCTTTAATTATTTAGATTGATAACATGAAACCTTTTCATATGTTCACTAAGACGTACTGTTTTTAAATATTGCAAAAGTTGCCAGCTTCAAAATTTGTATTGTAACACGCTGATTTAGAAAAGAAGAACGTATTGGAGTCGAAAATTCAAATGGATACAGCATACCAAAAGCAACAAGTTAGTTTTCAAGTAACGATCGCAGGTTTCAAGTAACTTCCTTCAAAAATCGTGACGAAGAACTAGATCTTTTTTCTTGATTACTGGTGCAAAGATTCGGTTGGTCCCTCCTATTTTTCTTGCCGTCATCACCGTGGTAACTAACAGGCTTTCGAGAATTCTCTTGAGATTTGTGAAACTCATTTCGCTAATCTGCATTCGTTTTCACGAATGCAAAAAATTTTCATTGAGATATTATTCTTTTGCGGTAAAAACATCGATCCGCACTTCTCAAACTAAATTCCAATCGTTTGGTATTTTGACTCGACTACCTATTTAATGTCTTCTAAAGGATTAATGGTATCTTTTGGTTAAATAAAACTCCTTGTTACTAACAGATAAGGTTTTCATTTTAATATTTAGGAGACGCTGATTGTTTGGTCGGAATCTGAAACATGTGACCTCGCTCTGTCGTTTCAAGAAAAGACCGGATGTGAGGAAATTTGGGCAAAAATTTGCGAAGTACAAGGCCGCGATCCTGAAGTAAATTTTAATTATTGAATACGCAAGCCTAACTCTAACTACGGATTCAATTCCTTCATCTTGTGTTTTAGGAGGGATATGAGGACATCGAAGATGGAGACGCCTCAGATTCTGGACAGCTAAATCAAACAACAACGGTTCGCCTAGAATTATTTTTTGATCAAATGCTTTTTTAGATACGTGGAAATTTGATCCCGATGCCACCATGTGAGATGTGTCGTTTACCAGAAATAGAGGTATTGTGAACAACTGATGATTCTTGTACGCGCTATTCTAGGTTGTACTTGGCAGCCATGTGCAGTCACCAACATTAAGAGAAAGAATGGCAAACACCATTGAGAATGAAAAGTAAGATACCGTAAACTTTTGCAAAAATGAAAAAAGTTTAGTTTTATCTCAAAGTTATGTGATGTCTTTCGGATGTGTGAAGATCTTGACAATACTGAAGGGCTACGAACTTTGTTCAATATTGTTCGACATCTGTTTCATCTTAACAGGTACACTAAATGTTTTCTTTTCCGTTAATTTATTATTGTTTAGAAATAACATTATCGATCAACTATTCGCAGAGGAACACGAGAAAGAAATTCTTGGAATGCTTGAGTAAGTGTTGGTTATTTAACGTTGTCGACCTCAAAGCTTTTGTAAATTAAGAATTTTAGATACGATCCGTCGTGTCCCGAACCACGGAAGCATAGAGAATTCATCTATGAGAAAACGAAATTCAAAGATGTATTGCATATTGAGCGTCAAGAATTGAGGTAAGCCGAGTCAATTTAAGCTTTAACAGTATTGTTTTAAGGGACAAAATTCGACATGCCTACGTGGTTCAATATGTGCAAGATGTTTGTTTCCCGGCCCCGTCAATTTTTGAAGAAAATCTTCTCTCCGTTTTGAACAGCCATCTATTCTTTGTGAGAGTCGAGATTGTTACGATGCTAATGGTGAGCTTGATGTTATGGTTTGTATGATATTAAATTGATTTAGGAAGAAAAAGTGCTGAAGGAGCTTTTCAACGAGCTCAAAGATTCAGCTTGTCCTGTGGCAAGACGGGCTGATCTTGTAAAATTTCTTCGCGAGTTGTGCACCTTCTCGCAAGCTCTTCAAAACAACGGACCAAATAGCCGAGAATCGTTTTTCAAAGTAACTTTTAATAACGGCTTTGCTGCTTAAATAATTAACAAGGTTTAGAATGAAAATTTATTCTTTCAGACTTTGATGCAAAATGATGTTCTTGCAACGATTGAGCCCTCGATTCTTTCACCCGACATTGATACTCGGATCACAATTATTGAAGTTCTTGTAATGCTTGTTGAATACAATCCACAAACGGTTCGTGACTACGTGATTCGACAGGAAAAAGATCATAAAGAGGTATTTGTTAAAGCTAGGGCATAAAGGACACCGTGAATTCAGGATGAACTTCTTCTAAACCTTCTAATTCATCACATGCTCAATGATAAGGACGCTGAACTTTCAAGTGCTGAGCAAGTAGCACAGGTGTGTTCGGGTTTGAATATAAAAACTAAGATTTATTTAGGTGCTCAGAGCATTACTTGATCCCGACAATATGGTTGCCCATAAGACCGAGAAATCGGAATTTCTGATGTTCTTCTACCGGCGATGCATCAATACGTTGACCAAGGAACTCTTGAAGAATATCTCTTGCGAGAAACCAGTTAAAGGTGACGTTTTGGACTTACCCCATTGATATCAACAAACTTTAGATGATTACTATACCGCGAACGTCTCTTGTCTAGCAATGCGTTTTCTCTGTTTCTGCGTGGATCACCATGGGTTTGTGAAAACGATTACCTATGTTTCTTATGTTTCATCTTGTTAAGGTACAACATGCGAAGGTTTTGCCTATCAACCGGCTTAATCGGAAAACTCATGTCATTCCTACGCAGCAAGCATCATTTGCTGGCATTGAGTTGGTTTAAATTCGAAAAGCTAGGTTAAAATCAATTTAGGCACATTGAAGCTACTTCGGTCAGTTTGCACGCTGAAGGACGATTTCTACATACAGGATATCATCAAGAATAATGCAATTGATAAAGTGGTTGCCTGTTTTGTTGCCAATGGTCCACGCTACAATTTGTTGAATTCAGCCATCATTGAGCTATTCGATTTCATTCGACAGGTTGTGACTTCTTTTTCCAAATTTCATCCTAGTGGTTTTAGGAGGACATCAAACGCCTGGTTAAATACGCCGTTGAAAAGCATTGGTCAACTTTTGAAAACATTCGTTATGTAAAAGTTTTTAATGGATTGAAGAACAGGTTTCTACTTTGCATGTTTTTAGTAATCTACGATTCCTGTTTTAGATACGACCAATATGTTGAACGAGAACGTCCATCATCGGCCAATGATTCACAGAAAGAGGATAGCAAAGGAACAAAAGAGCGCATGGTATGTTTTTGTTGAAAAATAACCTTAGTTGTGATTTAGTTCGATGCCGAAGATCAATGGTTTAGTCAGGAGGACGATGAAGAAGAGGGTCAAGGGGCTACAATTGTAGCCGCAGGTATTTAAGCCATAAGTTTCATAACATTTTGCAATTTAGGTGGCGACATGCCCGCAAGAAAGACTGCAGCTGAACCGCATTTCCCATCAGTTTCTCGCGGACGTGTACACGATGAGGTTTAAAATAAAAAAGAATATTTTCACCAAATCCTTTTAGGAAGATGAAGATGGTGTCTTCACTCCTACGGCAACTTTGAATGTCCGAAAACAACCATCTATCCGAATCTTCTCTTCTGGTCGATCTTCAAACTCGCCAAATTCGCTGGGAATTTCTCCTGAAAGAAGCCGCTCCCCTTTGCAATCTGTACTAGGAGTTGACGAGGTTTGGCATTTCCTATGATTTTACTATTCTTTTTTCAGGTAACCAGCAGCCAACAAAGTAATCCCGGTAGCCCAGCTGTTAGTCATGCATTAAAGGTTTTGTCCTTCTTTTTTGAAAAAAAAAAATAAGATTTAGACTCTTTCTGAATATGGTGACTCGGACTCGGACAATGAAGATGAACAAAATGAAAGTGGGGACAGTCGAGACGAGGAGGTTTCATCAACTAGCAAGGTGCGATTTAATTTGTAAGATTGTTAACAGAAAAAAAATAGGATGAAGAATCAGCTGTGCCTTCAAATGATGCCACCGCCATGAGTCCTGGAAACAACAAAAGAAGGCGCACCGAATCGCCGGACTTGGCTGATGGCAAGGTGCAAGGTGATGGGGAAGCCGAGCAAACGTCTCCAATAGCACAGTAGGCATTCAAAATCTATCTACTAATGTTGAACCATGTTTACAGAAGTCCATGCTCATCAAAAAATTTAGGCAACCAGCCGGAAAGAAACCACGACCAACGTCTCCACCAATGGGCGTTTCGACACGAATTGTGCCACTAGCGTTTGCGGATAGAGATTTGGATTTGGAGAACAAGGCCAAAAGTGACTAACTTCGTCTTTCAACTAGTATTTTAAGGATTGTGCCTTTCATTTATTGAAACTTGATTTTAAAATTTCTCTTTTCTCGCTTGCTGGCATATAGGCTGGTCCTATTGATTTTAAACTTCATTTTTTTGTGTTCAATGGTCTCACTTATTATTGGCAGCTTTGTTGCGATCTGATTTTAAGCAACCCCAATGATACCTTTGTTGTTTACTGCCCAGGTAGGATATTTGGGGGCAACTCTTTGCCGACTATTTTGCATTATTGTGTTCCGGTTTTTGAAATAGTCGAAAGTATTGTTTTTCGCAAAATCTCGTCTGTGCGGTTTTGAGTGCGTTTGTCCTCTTCCATTTTAGGTGTTTTTGACTGTATTTTTTTGATTGATTCTCGTATTTTTTGAACTATAAGTTTGTTTATGTCATTGTTACAGTCTGATCGATAAAAAGTTTATTATTTGCTGCAAGTTTAAATACGATTCAGGGCTCTCCAGATGGTACCGAAAAAAAATCCCAATTAAAAGTTAAAAATGCTTTTACATTGAATGTTTTTGTCGAACTATTTCGTGGATATTAGCGAGATTGTAGTTTGTAGGCGCGGCCCGGATCTCTGAAATTTCGAATTCCTTTGAGTTAAAAGTTTGTTAGTCTTTTATTGTCATGGGCTTAACCACAACTTGGATTTTTGCTAACAAATCACTTAGATTCACGTTTTGTAAAACTTTTAATAACTTTTTAGCTGATATTGAGTCTATCAGTTCATTTTTTCAACTCAGCTACAAACTTGTTAATGTTTTTAGTAATGGTGGCGAAAGGAAATCCAACAAATGCTGCCGTCACTGTCACAACTTTGGAGAAGGATCCAATTATGGAGGTTTTTTTTGTTATAACTTGATAGTGAAATAATAATAAAAGTAACTTAGTGGCAAAGCTTGATTGAAATGTTTTGTACTCTGTGTTTTAGCTCTCATTCGAGCATTGGCATCCAGCGACCGAGGGAAAACACAAATCATTTGATGTATCGTTGATCGTGTCGTTGTACGAGAAAGAAATACGCGGCTCTTCGTTCAATTCAAGAAAAATTGTTGTGCTGGAGTTGAGGTATACTTTGGAATTACCAACTTGTCGAAAAAAACTAGTGTCGTGCACAAGTAAAAGTTAGTAATCTAGCCAAAGAGGTTAATCTTTATCAATTCACGAGCTTATTGTACTTAAACAAAACTATTAGGTCACCTAACATTCTATTACTCAATTTAGTCAATATCTGGAGCGCTACTTATGGAGCCACTATTCACCAGGGCAGTGCTCTCACGCTCACGTTATGTCGATCGTCGTGATGATGAATGAGAAATTCAGAGAACGAACAAATGGATGGCAGGTAGTTGTTAAATGGTTGAACGCGTATATTTCTTTCTTTAGTGCTTTGTTGATTCGCCTGAGCATTTCTCGCATTTCATGTCACGGGTCTGCACATTGTCAATTGATGATGCGCCTAACACCATAGAGCAGTGTCAACTCTTGCGTTTCTTGGTCAACTGTTTCAATTCAGTGGTAAACACATAAAAATGCTCTATTCAAGCTTCAAATAACTATAAATAAACAATAAAATCTCAAATGCTTAATTTTCAGGAAATCGACATTGTGCGAGAGCATGTCGGTCGACTCACTCATTTAGCTATTTGGGAAAACCTACTTCCAGTGAGTTTCTTTTTTTGATTACAAACTAATTCTGTTTAGACGCAGCGAAGTGACTACTTTAAAAAGAATAAAAAGCTTCGGAAATATTGGGCAGCTTTAGAGAAGCAAATAACTGTAAGCACTGCAAGTTGTGCGGACAAAACGTTATCTTTTAGGAAAACTCGCCTAATGTTCCCAGCAAATTTGAACGGGAGTATTTATGGAAACTTATTCAACGATTCATTCGCGTATTGAAATCAGTAGATGATGAGTCAAAAGGTTAACATTTTTAAGCTATCTAAAGCAACAGTAAACATTTAGAAGTTGACGTCGATGAAATTCATTACTGCGAGCGATTCGTTGAGCTTTTGATCGATCTAGAGGCACTTTTACCTACAAGGTTTAAAATAGCGTATTTTTTTGTAATAGTATATTATTCTTTCAGACGGTTTTTCAATGCATTGCTACATGTCTCACACGTGATCGTTTATTGTGTAATGTCCAAATTGATTATGGCTGAAGCGGGATCATTGTTCTGCCAGGTAAAGTGAAGGCTATTCGAGATAAAATTCTTTCTTTAGCTGGTGACAATGCTCAAATTTTACTCACGCTTTGAGATCGACGAAATCACTGGACAACAACTCTCACAAACTGAGGTTTGAATAAACTTCAAACTTTAACAGCCTTATTTAGGTCACAAATCGCCATTACGAATATGTGGTTGCTCTGCAAAATGCTGCTTTCAAATACTTCAAGTGACAACGACTTATCAATTTTTAACTAATCTAAATTCCAGGGAAAGCATGCAAGATTTCTATCTACTAAATGTGAGCTCTGTTGATACCCGAAAATCGTTGATCACCGTGTTTTCACGAATGGAGTAAGTTAAGAGCCATAAAAAATTAGAAAGTATCATTTTAGGAACAATGAACTTTATCGCTTTGCTGAATATCTTCACTTGGTGCCACCCGCAAACCCTGAAGATAAGGAAAACCAAGCGATCGAAAAGTTTGGCCGAGAATTCCTGGCTGAAGCTATTGTATGTTATTGTGTCTATTGTGTTTAGCAATAGCGGAAATGCAACTTAAAGATAAGAAATTCAATTCAAATTCCAGACTTTGCATTGTGAGCGACGTCAAAATCAACTTCAACAATTGAACGAACAGCCATTATTTCCAACCGAAGCCGTACTTTGGGATGAGAATGTGGTTCCGTATGAGCACTACTCCGGAGAAGGTGCTACTTTTGATTATTACTCATTCAACAAAAGTTAAGGAGTGCTTGCATTGAACAAGTTGAATCTGCAATTCTTGACTCTTCATGACTACTTGCTCAGGAACTTCAATCTTTTCCAGCTCGAGAGCACATGTTGGTCTTTCGTCCGTAAACTTATTTGCCAAAATGATATCTTTCTTCAATTTTGTTATTGTAGATGAGATTCGGCAAGATCTGGAAGATGTCCTGTTTCGGATGAAACCCTGGCGGCATGAGGTTCTGATCAAACTGTTGGCTTTTTGAAAATTTGCTTTAGACAAAGAATGAGACAGTTTGGGGTGGATGGAATCGAATGGCTCAACCACTTGTTGACATGAAAATCATTGAGGTAGCAATGCATTTCAACGTGATGAATAAATAATTTAGGTGAACAAACCAAAAGTCAGCGAGAAAGCTCCGGCTAGAGTGCGAGCGGAGTTCACGGTCAACATTGGGAAAAGACACGATATTCGGCAGGAATGGGAAGGTAAGAAAAACGCATATTTGCTAACCGTATAAAATTTAGCTCTTCGAAAACACGATGTCGTTTTGCTAGTTTGTTGTAGACCAAAGGAACCCGTTGGAACAAAATACGACATGAGAAAGCCCTTCAAAAATCAGGTACAATATGGCCCAATGCTAAATAAGCGCCTGTTGTGCTTGCTAAACTAATATTTTAATTTCAGATAGATGTTACGTATGTTCGTGGAGCCGAGGTCGAAGGAATGCTTGATGAGTCGGGACAGCTGATTGAAGAATACAGTTTGTGTCGAAATCTTGACACTTACTCTGAAATTTTAGCTTCCTACGAGAGAAAGCCAAACATCAAAGGAGATGTCCGCCGGTATCGTATTCTTCTCGACGCCAACCAGTATCGACTTGATATGGAGAAGACAGCGTTGGCTGGTCATGAGGTTTTTAGCTATTTTTGTGCGTATTTTGTCTCTTTTAGGACGTCTACTACACCTTCAATCTTGTCGTTCGTCGTGATCCCAAAACCAATAACTTCAAGGTAGATTGTTTTGAGTATTAAAACGATTTGAGGCTTTCAGGCTGTGCTCTCTACTATTCGTCAACTTTTGAACACGGATTGCGTAGTACCAGACTGGCTGCATGATAACATTTTGGGATATGGCGATCCAGATTCAGCTCATTATTCAAAGTAGGCTTCTAACCATAAGAATAGCAAAAGATGAGAAGATAAAGATTGTATTGCAAAGATTCCAAAACGAGTAGAACGCAATTTAACTGCAAATTCAGAATGGCGACCACAATTCCATCGCTTGACTTCAACGATACTTTTCTTTCCTACGAGCACTTGGTTGAATCGTTTCCCGGCTATGAGATCCGATCAACAACAACTGATAAAGAGAAACTCAAGGCGCCTTTTAGGTATAAGTTATTATCTAAATATGCATAAAGTTTTTTTAGAATAACGTTCAATGATTTGGATCGAAGACAGAACGTGGATCATGGAAAGGTTGAAACTTTAAGCAGTCGTCTCTACGATTAATTTAGGTGATCAATGTTGAGCCAATCGTTAAGCCACCGCGAACACCATATCCACTTAACATCAAACAAAATGCCATCAAATTTACGCCATCGCAAGTTAGTTACTTAGTTCAATTGTGGAACTAAAATAGAAAAGGTAAGCAATCAGTCTATTGTACTCTTAGGTTGAAGCTATCAAATCGGGAATGCAACAAGGCCTGACTATGGTCGTTGGGCCTCCCGGAACCGGAAAAACGGATGTGGCTGTGCAAATCATCTCAAACATCTATCACAATTGGCCACAACAAAGAACTTTGATTGTCACCCATTCCAATCAGGTTGCGCAATGCGTAGAACTTGCTTACAGACTCATGTTTAGGCTTTGAATCAACTGTTTGAGAAGATCATGGAGTTGGACATCGATGAAAGGCATCTTTTGCGTATGGGACATGGAGAAGAAGGACTCGAAACGGAAAAAGACTTCTCACGATACGGACGTGTGAATTATGTGTTGAAAGTAATAATTTTAAGCGGTGCTTAGGAAACACTTTATTTAGGAACGCATTCGTTTACTTGGTGAGGTCGAGCGTTTGGGCAAGAGCATTGGACACCCGGGTGATGTTGGGTACACATGCGAGAATGCCGGGAACTTTTACAAATATGTGGTGAGTTTTTACTTCTGTACTTCGCAAAATGCAATCTTTCTAGCTCTCATTGAAATGGAGTGATTTCAAGATCAAGATAGAAAACGATTCAAGCAATCCGCGGGTGATCGTCGATAACTTCCCATTCCACAATTTCTTCAGCAATCTTGAACATTTGTTTTCGGTAATCCTTTTTATTGTTTTCATAATTATTTTTGTTCAGGGTACATCATATGCAAACGATTTTATTACGGCTGAGTCCTGCTGGAAACACATAACTCACCTTTTCCATCAGCTAGCCGAGTTCCAAGCTTTTGAGATGTTACGAAATGGACGCGATCGAACAGAATATCTTTTGGTATGGAAATTCATTGGCAATTCTCGATATAAAAAATATTTTTTAGGTCAAGGAGGCAAAGATTATAGCCATGACGTGCACACATGCTGCTTTGAGACGGGACTATTTGGTCGAACTCGGCTTCAGGTTTGAAATTTTGCGAATGCTAAAAATTTCTTCCCTAGGTATGACAACATCTTGATGGAGGAGTCGGCGCAGATTTTGGAAGTGGAGACATTCATTCCTCTTCTTCTTCAAGTAATGATTTGTGAATACCTAGATTAATAACGAAATCTAGAACCCGGACCAAGGGCGCAATCGTTTGAAGAGATGGATCATGATTGGAGATCACCATCAATTGCCACCAGTTGTGCAGAATCAAGCTTTCCAGAAATATTCAAACATGGAACAAGTAAAATTGAAGCTTTTTACGGCTAATCATCACTATTTAGAGTCTTTTTGCTCGTTTTGTACGTCTGGGTGTTCCCACTGTGCTACTTGATCGACAAGGGCGTGCTAGAGCAGAGTAAGTATGATTGTTAGACAAATGTTGCTTGTATTATTTCGTTGGTGCTTGATTTATATATCGTTCATCAATTTAGAATCGCCTCGTTGTATTCATGGCGTTACAAAGGTCTTGGAAATCTCCCCCACGTCGAAGCTCTATCACAATTCAAATTTTCGAATGCCGGATTCCTCTATCCGTTCCAGATGGTCAGTTATATTATCTTAATGCTCTAAATTCGATTTTAGATTGATGTTGGTAATTTCCAAGGAAAGGGAGAAACGACACCGAGCCCATATTTCTACCAGGTTTAATCACTATGTTTAACTTTCTAAAATTCTCTTTAGAATCTTGGTGAAGCTGAATACGCAGTTGCCATTTACACCTATATGCGAATTCTTGGGTACCCGGCTTCAAGGATTTCAATTATTACTACGTTTGCTCTATTGTTTTGCTTTAATACAGCTGTTTTAGGTACAACGGACAAGCGCAACTTTTACGGGATGTCGTCGAACGACGGTGCACCAGCAATCCTCTTATTGGAGCTCCGGCTAGGGTAAGATCAAATCATTTCAAACAAATATATGCTAATTATTTTCTTTTTAGATATCGACTGTTGACAAGTACCAAGGACAACAAAATGGTAAGCGCGCGTGTCGCACATATCGTGCACTCGTACCTTTTACTAACAGATAAATTTCAGACTTTATCATTCTGTCATTGGTGAGGACATCCAATATTGGACATATCAGGTACTTGAAATTTGGGGATCTTTTACGAATTTGTTTATAGGGATGTCCGTCGTCTGGTTGTAGCCCTATCTCGTGCGCGGCTTGGATTGATTGTGCTCGGACGAGCCTCACTCTTTAGGAATTGTTACGAATTGACGCCTGCATTCAAGCAGGTTGTATAAGTTAATGTATCAACGAATGGTTCTTTTTAGTTATGTGGACGTCCTTTAAGATTGCTACTCGTACCTACGGAAACGTATCCATCTGAAAGACCGGTTCGAATTTAAGTCCTTATTACTCAATTTGTTTTTGTTTAGCTCAACGAGAAGCCAAAAGGTGAGGTCTTGGAAGTGACGAATACGGAACACATGGTAAGACTAATTATAACAATTTTCCTCTTTAGAAACAGATAAATTTTAGTGCCACTTCGTGCATGAGTTCTATAAGGCAAACATGGACCATATGATGCAGCGATACGAAGTAGAGCAAGCGGCTGAGAAGGAACGAAGAAAGGTTGGCAATTGAAAATATTCGTTGAATAATTCAAATGTATTAAATCGTTAAGCTGAAACATTGCGTTTCATGAGCTCATTTGTTTTGTTCTTCAAAATGTCATTTTAGGTGTATGTGCCCGAGATTGAGCCCGACGACGAGCCAATGGAGACTGAAGAGCAAAAGCAAAAGAGGGAAGAGATCGAGGCAAAGAGAAGAGCCGAAGAGGCAAAGAAGAAAGCGGCTGAAGCGGTAGGGATATTGAAAATTTGGTGTTTATAGAAAGGCTTGAGTAAGTACCAAGAAGCTAAAAGCTATAACAGTTACTATGTGTTAAGCGTTTGACGGTAAAGCATTTTGAATTATTTCAAAAGTTTCATTCTAGGAACAGGAGATCGTCTTCGAAGAAATGGATTTTGAGAAGCTCGAGGAAGTACCGAAATATTGAGTTGTTAGATTTCAAGTTTTATGTGAAATTTGTTTCATCTTATTAGTTTTAAATTATTCAATATTGTGTTATGTAGATAATTATGTTACCTCTTTGTTTGTTATCATCGTTTCAAAAGTTTGTGTTGATTGTAACGGTTGACAAATTCTCATTGGTCTCTTTTATTTATGTGCTGTTACCGAAATAAATCGTCAAATTTTTGTCTTTTTCTGCATGGACTTGTTTTTGCATCGCCATTATTACGACTTAGCATTACGAAAAATGTTAGAAATTGAGTAGTCTGACGAATCCGTTTTGAAGATAAGCTTTTAAAAGGGAATCCCGTCGTTTAATGATAGTTTTCAATGACTCATAAAATGGTTATAGATTTGTTGAGTGACATGTAACAAAATCCCACACGCGGTTTGTCCTCACCGCTGATTTGCTCACGTCAATCTGATGTAATGCAGCTGAAAGGAAAGTGACTGCTGTTTATAGGCGCCACGTGTAGTTTTTTGGTTTTTTCCCCATTCAGAACTCGGCTATCTCTGAGTTTTTCTTTTTGTGGAAAGTTGCTATTCCAACTTATCTCCAGGTTTTGCAATTTTTTGCTTCGAAGCTCGGAATGAACGCCGAAGAAACACTAATAGCTGCCGTCGAGAAGGCCAGCGTTGAGAATGGTTGGCTTTTGTTTAAAGTTCATATGATGTTATAGGCTCTACTACGTTTAAGGTCAACTTTGCACTGGTCATTAATATGTTTTTAAAGTTTTCTAAGTGTAATGTTTGCGTTGAGTCGAACTGTGATAGTTACATAAAGTTTAAGGTAATCCGAACTAGTATTTTGAGGCGCTGAAGCCTTTTTGGTACAAGCCTTTTTGGTTTGGTTTTTGTTTCTGTGCTGAACCGGATTTTGAGCTTCTTAAAGTTGATAATAGCCTTAAAAGTCATTGGCGAAATTGTTAAACTTTTAAAATTGCTTTACTTTAGGCGTTGCTGAAAAGGACGTGAGCAAGGAGGATATTGTGACTCCTTGGGATGTTTCCTCGACTTCGGCCAAAGGAGTCGACTATATGAAATTGATAGGTTCGAAGGAGATTTATAATAATCTATTCATTTTAAAGATTTTAATTAGTAAAAACAATTAATAATCTATTTTAGAAAAATTCGGTTGTCGCACAATGACGAATGATTTGGTTGAACGACTTGAGAAGTTGACCGGTGCGAAGCCACACGTGTTTCTGCGACGAGGAATGTACTTTGCGCATAGGTAATTCTTTTGAGTGTTGAGTTGAGATGAGCTGAACAAGAAAAACGATAACCAATTGTTATGGTTGTTTATTTAGGGATCTAACTGTCATTCTTGATCGTTTTGAGCAAAAGAAGCCATTCTATCTATATACGGGGCGAGGAGCATCCGCAGGCAAGCTTTTTGATTAAAATTTTAAAATCTTTACCTAGAATTTAAAATGTCATAATATTTATTATCTAATTGATGTATTTTAGGTTCTCTACATCTTGGTCACTTGATTCCATTCATTTTCACCAAATATCTTCAAGATCTCTTCGATGTCCCACTTGTTATTCAGGTATTTATTATGCGTTTCAGGCTCTGGAACATTTGGTTTAAGTAACTTTAATCAATTATCACGTTTAGTTGACGGACGACGAGAAATTCCTCTGGAAAGGAATGACCGTGGAACAGGCCAAGAAGATGGCCATGGAAAACATGAAGGTTTGGCTTTTTTTGTTGAATTTTGAAACCTGCTCTTCAAGGACATAATTGCTGTCGGATTTGATCCAGAGAAGACGTTCATCTTTAATGATTTTGACTACATGTGGTTGGTTTTTATTATTAATGTTAGAGTCAATTACTCGTTTTAGTCCTCCGTTCTATGAAAACATTGTGAAGATCTGGAAAACGGTCACAAACAATCAAGCACGAGCAATCTTTGGCTATTCAGGTAGCCAATGTTTTAATTTGTAGGTTCAAATGTAAACGAGAGCTGTCAATATCATTTTTTTAAATCGAAACTAAATTTTATATTGTTTTAGGAGAGGATCCAATTGGTAAATCAGCTTTCCCAGCTGTCGAGTGTGCACCATGTTTTTCTTCGTCTTTTCCACACATTTTTGGAACAAAGAAAGACATCCCATGTCTGATTCCATGTGCTATCGATCAGGTTGGGAATTTAATCTGAGCCTTTATTATTTTTGAAACTTTTAGGATCCTTACTTCCGAATGACTCGTGACGTGGCTCCTCGACTGAAATATTCCAAGCCGTCACTCATCTTTAACACCTTTCTCCCGGCGTTGCAAGGTAGCGTTTAGTTCAGCCTAGAAGTATTTTTGGTGCTTGCGACTAGAGTATATTCTTCATAATAATCATTAAAACTGCCATAACTTTTAACATTTTAGGCGCTCAGACAAAGATGAGCTCGTCGGATCCAAATTCGTGCATTTTCATCTCGGACACCGCCAATCAGATCAAAAACAAGGTACGTATCCATTGGATGAATTATGGAGTTTACCAGAATATAAGCAGACTGGATGTTTTAGATCAACAAGTATGCTTTCTCTGGCGGTCAAGCCACCATCGAGGAACACCAAAAGATCGGAGGAAACTGCGACGTTGACATTGCTTACCAGGTAAGAATCGGTGTTGTTTTTAAATCATTTATAAACTTTTAGTTCCTCACCTATTTCCTCGAGGACGATGATGAGTTGAAACACATTCACGAGGAGTACACGGCTGGACGAATGCTGACTGGTGAATTGAAGCAACGTGCCATTAAAGAGGTGAGTTTTTATTCTGAAAAGTGTGTGAATCCTTGGCATTTTTTAGAAATATCCTGGAAATAATTTTTTAAAGGGAATAATGATTCTTAGATTACTTTTTGTTTAAGAATCTAGTTGGCATATTTTCAAATTGTGGACTGAGCTTTTTTCTTCTAAAAAATGTTACAAGAAAAAAAGTTACTTGTCTTTCTGATAAAATACATATTTCAATTTGATTTTCAGGTACAACGCGTCGTTGCGACTATCAGCGAGAGGCGAAAGTCGGTCACCGATCAAACTGTTGAGGAGTTCAGAAGGGTGAGCCTATCTTAAAAGTTTACACTATGGGTTTTCAAAGGTACTTAAATCGATCTCCATTCAAACTGTTTAGTCTGACTGTTCTTTTTAATGTTCGTTGTTCGAGTTCAAACGGTTTTGACAGAAAACAATTTTTTTTTCCCAAATACTCAGCAAAATTCATATTTTTAGATTCGGAAGCTCAAATACGATTTTTGAAGGAGCTTGGGCTGATTAACGGATCAACAAAAATCTAATCAGGATGGCTGATCTATTTATTTCTTTGTTGTGTTAAGTCGTGAACGTGTTACGCCTGGGTTTTTCGTTTTTTTTTTGGGATATCTATTTATTTCCTGTGAGTTTTAGAAATGAATTGTTTTTTGTTAATCCATATTTATCAGCAATGTACAATATCTACATTTCGATATTTCCTGGCACTTTTAATCAATAATGCAAGCCCTTTCGCATTCTTTTCTCGTCGTGAATCGGTTCGGATTCCCCTGACATCCGCCATAGACAAAATAGACGCATTGGCCTAGATTTCGATCGAAATAGTAGCTCCGAATGTAGGCACTGTAAATTGAAGTGATAGAAAAAGAGTACGTAAAGTAGTTTTAAAAGATCGAGTACATTCTCTACACTAATACTTTTGGATAAGAATTCTCTAAAATCTCACTCGCATGGCCCGGGATCGGCCTCCAAACGACATAACCAGGCTCGATTCGCGGGTCGTTGTCGCAAGAATTCACTCATCCCATCCACGATCTCTGAAAAAGTCTTTTGGTATTTTAGGAGAGATTTCAAAAAATTTATCATATTAGTGCTAGACGGTTGGTTAAAAAACCCTACAAAGATAAGAAGAATTCAATGTACCAAATGGTAAACGTTTACGCGTTTTTAATCTTTTTCAATTTTACAACTCACCCGATCGCATCACTTGCAGAAGAAAGAAAATAATCGTCAAAGAAAAGATTTTCATTGTTTAATGCTAAATTTGGACTTTGAAATGAGAGATTGAAATTTTTTTGATGATTAGCAAGCAAAATATTTGAAAGGGTTTCAGTCAAAACTGTTTGTAAGTGCGATGTTCTTTCCTTTTTTCTCGTTATCCTATGAGTATCTTTCCCCTTTTTTTTCTTTATTTCTTCACTCTTCCATGCTGTTGACACTTTTTGAGATTAGAAAATTTACTTTCCATCTCGGTAAACACGCGAAAAAAAAAAGTGAAAAGATATTTTTACCTCAAAGAGAGCAATCTCATCTTGACATTGACAATCGGATTGCGTGACCGAAACGATTGCCCAAATCAGGTGTGGACCACAGCCAGCTATACCATTGAAAAGGGGAACAATGATTTGTGGACGCGTTTAAACCACCAACGAATTTCAGGCTTGGCCTGGACTTGGCCGAGCCTCTTCTGGCTCTAGACTAACTTGAGTTTTAACAAGCCTAGCAACTAAGAAGCCAGCAATACTGGCTGGCTGAACTGAGCTGGCTGGCTGGCTGGACTGAGCTGGCTGGCTGGACTGAGCCACCAACGAATTTCAGGTTTTTACTGAAATGCAATTACTCGAATAAAAGCCGGATGGGCTTGGATTTTTCAATCAGCCAACCCAAAATCGGCCAGCAGAAAAAGTAGGTAGTCAAAAATTCATTTTTTTTTCATAAAAAAACCACTTTACTTGATACCCCTTGGGCTAAAAAGTATGAAAAACGAGTTTAAAAGTGAAAGAATTCTCTCAATAGAAAATTTTGACGAAAAATTCCTGTGGTCTCCCAAATAAAATTTTTTTCGAAAAGTCTTTTTTCAATTTAAAAAAAAATTGATATTATAAATTTACTGCCGATCCCAAATTATTCATTTTTATACTAAAAACTTTCTATAAATGGGTCAAATGATCGGTTAAAAGTGTTCAATCTTTCGAGGGGTCACAGGCTCAGCTTCTATTCGAGTTTTTACTGTTTACTAGCAGCTTCTAAACAGTAAAAACTTGTTTGCCGAATTGTGCAAATTGCGTTATGAAAAGTAAACCCACTCAAGGTTGAGTCAACTTTGAGACTCACCAACAAGTATTTACCAATTTCTCGCTTAAACAAAGCTGCTCGGAGCTCTAGAATAGACCTATAAAGAACCTATAAAAATATAGAATTTATTTAGTAATTTAGTCATTCCAATAGATAAAAGATTATTTTGTTAAAAAGTTTTCAAAAATCGGCAATATATACAGTCCACAATCTCCAATATCAATCGCTAATTCACATCGTGGAGTCCACCGCTTGATAGGCACAGAAAAGGGCTAAAGTTTTATATAAAAACTGTACAAATACGAAAAATTACCGGTTAATAGTGAAAAGGGGAATAAAAGGGGGGGTGGGACAAATGCTATCTTTTTTTTTGCTGGAAAAGGCCTTAGGCAAGGCCGTAGAGGCCGTAGAGCATCAAAAATGTTTCCATATAAGGAAATCGTATGCGTAGATTCCGAATTTCGACAAATCAGACCTCGTTGACACGTCAAATTTGGGCTAAAAGGCAAAAACTACGCAACTTAACGCTTTTCCGCAGTTTTTGCCTTTTAGCCCAAATTTGACGTGTCAACGAGGTCTGATTTGTCAAAATTCTGAATCTACGCATACGATTCCCTTATATGAAAACGTTTTTGAAGCTCTACGGCCTTTCCTAAGGCCTTTTCCAGCAAAAAAAAGGTACGCAAATGTTCAGGCGCGCAAAAAAAAGGTAGCATTTGTCCCACCCCCATAAAAGGTTCATTTTGTTGGGGAAACAAGTGATCTTTTGAAAAAGAAACAGGAAATTCTTGTGGTGAGAAATAAAAACATCGTGTTGTTTACAATGACATGAGTTTCATTGTAAACAACACGATATACAATGAAATTTTCCAACAATTTCCACATGCGATTAATAATGACAATTATAAAATATTAGAAGAATGGGAAATAAACGATAGCATGTGGAAATTGTTGGAAAAAATGACAATCCTCTATCAGTCAATCCGCGTACTTTCTGCGCCCATGTAAACGCGCGTTCTTCATCCGCCTCCATCAGTCAACCCCCGTACTTTGTGCGACCACGTACACGCGCGTTCTTCATCCGCCCCATCAGTCAACCCCCGTACTTTGTGCGCCCGTGTAACGCGCGTTCTTCATCCGCCTCCATCAGTCAACCCCCGTACTTTGTCGACCACGTACACGCGCGTTCTTCATCCGCCTCCATCAGTCAACCCCGTACTTTGTGCGCCCGTGTAAACGCGCGTTCTTCATCCGCCTCCATCAGTCAACCCCGTACTTTGTGCGACCACGTACACGCGCGTTCTTCATCCGCCTCCATCAGTCAACCCCCGTACTTTGTGCGCCCGTGTAAACGCGCGTTCTTCATCCGCCTCCATCAGTCAACCCCCGTACTTTGTGCGACCACGTACACGCGCGTTCCTTCATCCGCCTCCATCAGTCAACCCGCGTACTTTGTGTGACCAGGTAAACGCGTCCTTCATTCGTCTCCATCCAACATCAATGACTCCCCACACGGGAGACTATCGAATGCAACTTCAAAACCATCTCCCCCAAATTTAGAGCTTATTCTCTTCGCCAGAGGACTGATGTGTGAAAGGAGAGAAACGATAACCACCACCGAAGAAGCTCCCTATCTATAAAACCCCTCCGCCAGAAAGTACGCGATTGTGCGCGCGCACAAAGAACACCCATCCACCCACTAAGCATTTTAGTTTTTAGCTGTTTCTCAGCTAAACTTCAACGGATCAAGCTCATTTTTATGTCAAATGATGCGCCTTGAAAAGCTGCATTGAATCGGCCAAGGGTTTCTTTGGCAAAATTGAGTTTGAGTGGATGAAAACGAACGAAACTTTTTTCGAGACTATGATCTCAACTTCAGTGAAAATTTGCTTAATTAATGAAATTTCTTGCTTATCAAAGCAAAACGATTTCAACTTGATGTCAAAATTCACCTTAACCCTTTCAAATTCTCCGGTCAGCCTTAAAGTCTTATCTTATTGTGAACAAAGCCGTCACCCTTTAGCCTTTCAAATTCTCCGGTCAGCCTTAAAGTCTTATCTTTCCCCCATTTCCCCCTCTTTGAAATGACCCTTTCCATCACTATCAGCTGATATCATTTGGAAAAGCTTAAGAAGAAAGAAGAAAATTGAAATTCTTCAAACTGATTCAAAACATTCAGTCTCTGTAAAGTTCAACACTAGCAAAGTCACATTTTTCAATCATTTAATCGATTTTTCTTGTTTTCATTCTTTTTTTTGTTTAGTCTTTTTGAGAAAAAAACATGAATTTGGACAGATTTTGGAAAGGAAATGACAGAAAAGTTTTTCAGCTGCTTTTTATGAACCTAATCTAACTACGATACTTTTTTTTGACCTACTTTTTTTGGACCTACCCTTGTTACCGTACTCTTGTCTGAAAAAATACATAACTTGCTTGAATCGTTTTCTAAAAGATGCCTAAAAGCATAACTACCTCTATCTTTTTATAAAATGATCGGCTTTTATAAAACGATCGATCGGTTTCTGCTGCTTATTGCAGAAATGTTAGTTTAGCCAGAGCCAGTTTAGCCAGAGCCAGTTTAGCCAGAGCCAGTTTAGCCAGCTTTTCTGCATCTTTTAGGAAACTGTCTGTCTTGCAAAGCTTTCCGATTACGGTACCTTTTCTGGGCCATACAGCTTCAGCTTCAGCTACATCAACTTCAGCAATAAATCGATTCAGTGAAATGCTACTCAAATTGGTGCTCACGTTTGCGGTGCTTGGATTTTTGGCTGAAGCAACTCCACACAAACATTTGCATCGAGGGAGAAAGGGAAAACCGCTTGATATGTAAATTCATTGATATTATCAAAGCTATGCTAAAGCTATAAAATATAATGAGGGGATTGCTCGCAAAGGTCGATCGAATCGGCGTTGATAAGGTGACAAGGGAATGATCCAAACTGGGGCTGATTTTTCAAGAAAAGCTCAAACACCAGTCGAACAGGGCATTTCAAATCTCTTCAGTTTTTGCCCCAAATTAAAATCCTGGCGAGAAAAACTAAAATTCAGGGCGGACTCGAACCCACCGCAAGAACCGGCGACCGTTTTGTAGCCCAGCCCGCTATCCCCTAGGCTACTACTGCCTTATCGTTACGGTATTTTTGACGGTCTCTGGTTGGCTCTTATTATTTGAAGTTTCGACAATTTTCGAAAAATCGCCCCTAGCCGATAAGAGACCGTCAAAAAGACCTTGGCGATAAGGCAGTGGTGGTCTAGGGGATAGTGGGCCGAACTACAAAACTAACGCCGGTTCTTGCGGCGGGTTCGAGTCCGGCCTGAATTTTTGTTTTTCTCGCCAGTTCAAAAACTGAAGAGATTTGGAATGCCCATGTCCGACTGCTTTTGGCACTGCGAGCTTATCCTGAAACATCAATCGCAGTTAGGATTAATGCGGAAGTTCAGATTTGGCATGTAAGATAAGCGGAAGTTAAGGTTTGGCAACGAGGCGTCGATTCACGCAGTGTTGGTGGCCGGATCGAATGGATGGTTTAATTATAGGCATCAGGTGGGAAAAGTTCAGAAAAACTTGTTACGATCACCCGGTAAAGTCTCTTTTCTCTCTACAGTATGCCGGATTGAAGATCTGACCACTAATACCTTCAAATTCTTTACTGAAATGAAAGATATTATCTTTTTTGTCACTGGTACACTGTAGTAAGTTGAAAAACTATCGTAGTTTGATAAAAGACTACCGCAATCAGCTGTAAATCGGTTGTAAAGCACAAAAACTAAAGTATTATGCTAGAAAAGATATGTTTACGTTTGTTGGTGAGCTCCACAAGGGCACTTATCCTTCTTCTAGGCGGATGTAGCGCACGCATATCACACTTTGATCGCTCACGGTGTGCCCCGAGAGAATATCATCACGATGATGTACGATGACATTGCGAACAATGAAGCGTAAGGAAATTCGATTAAGAAAATAAGAAAATAGATTAGACTATTAGATATTTAGTCAAGTATTAGCTTTAAGCTTTAAACTTTAAAATTCGCTTATCCTTTCAGCAATCGGAAATACAAGGGGAAACTCTTCAACAAGCCGCATGGACCAGATGTATATCAGGTTGGAAAATTGTACACCGTACGATTTAGTACGATTCATCGTACTCTTTAGTACGATGCATCGTACTCTTTAGAATCTTTAGTACGATTCATCGTACTCTTTAGAATCGTACTCTTTAGAATCGTACTCTTTAGAGCGTAATCTTTAGAGCGTAATCTTTAGAGTCGTACTCTTTAGAGCCTTACTCTTTAGTACGATTCATCGTACTCTTTAGAATCTAGCTTTTTAGTATCTAGCTTTTTTTAAAGATGATTTAAAATCTAAATAATCTATAAGAGATCTAAATGCTAAAGTTTTTAGAACATTTCAATCGATTACAAGGGAGAAGCGGTGACACCGCAGAATTTTGTCGCCGTTCTTCTTGGCGCTTCGGCTAGTACGAATGGAGGAAGTGGAAGAGTGCTCAAGAGGTTTGGAAAAAACAAACATAGAAACGCATCCCCTCTGGCGCACTTAATTCTTTCCATTTCTTTCACAACAGTAGGCATTAGTCCGAGAAAAAGCGCAAAAATCGAAATCTAGAATCTAAGAAATCGAAATCTAGAATGTTTGCATTGCAAAAGCACAAGTTTACTTCATTCCAGTGACTCCAACGACAATGTTTTCATTTATTTCACCGATCATGGAGCCACTGGGTTGATCTCGTTCCCTGAAGCGACGGTGAGAGCCAAAAAAAATCGACTGGAAATTGCTTTCAAGTTTAGATGACCGCTCAAACACTGAACAATGCTTTGAAGAGAATGAATCAAAAGCGGAAATATGGAAAAGTTGGTGACGAGATTGAGAATAAAAAAAAAGCCTCTTTTAGTTGGTCTTTTACTTGGAGGCTTGCGAGAGTGGAAGCATGTTTGAGAATATTCTCCCAACCGATCTCAATAGTTTGTTTGATTCTTTGATCTTTGATCTTTGATCTTTGATTCTTTGATTCTTTGATTCTTTGATTAGATTTAAATAAAGCATAGTAAGCATTTGGATTGTAGATTCTAATAAAAGAAACCAAGAGTTGATTGGGTTTCTAGACCTGGAGTTATGGACATTGGACATTGGACATTTAATTGGATCGACTCTTCTAAGTGGATAGTCTGACTTTGACAGAGATTTTCTCTATTTTTTTTACACTAAGGTGTATTAAATGACTTATGGTTTTCTATAACCGAATTTCATAAGGAACATTTTAAGACCAACCACAAGTTGATCGGTCAATTACCAATCGTTTCAGTCTATGCTATCACTGCCTCAAATGGTCACGAGTCATCGTGGGGATATTATTGTGACACGGATATGGGATTGCCGTGTTTGGGGGATCTTTTCTCGATCGCCTGGATGGAGGACTCGGACGTGGTGAGTGGGGAAAGGAGTTAACCCCCTCCCTCGCGACGGGGCCAGGTGCTATTTGGTGTAGCGGTTAGGGTGGTTCCGCGGTAAGCGGAAGGTCGCAGGTTCGAGTCCGAGCGGCGCTTTTTGGTCTCCCCTAGCGCCCAACTAACGGGCAGAGTGGATTACTGAGTTAGACAGCCAGTCAGTATTTGATTGGTTTCTCAGTCAGTATTAGATTTTTCATTATCTGAATATTGTTGGCTAGTTCCAATCGGACTTGTAGATGGATAAAGCTTCTTTTTAGAAGCCGATTGGACTGCACCAGCGGGTTTTCGGGGTCAAGGAATTCGAATCCATTATTAGTTTTTAAAGAAAACGGCTCTAGACGGCTCTAGACGGCTCTAAACAGCTCTAAACGGCTCTAAACAGCTCTAAACAACTCTAAACGGCTTTAAACGGCTCTAAACAACTCTAAACGGCTTTAAACAGCTTTAAACAGCTCTAAACGGCTTTAAACAGCTCTAAACAGCTCTAAACAGCTCTAAACAACTCTAAACAGCTTTAAACAGCTAAACAGCTCTAAACAGCTCTAAACAACTCTAAACAGCTTTAAACAGCTCTAAACAGCTCTAAACAGCTCTAAACAACTCTAAACAGCTTTAAACAGCTCTAAACAGCTCTAAACAGCTCTAAACAACTCTAAACAGCTCTAAACGGCTTTAAACAGCTCTAAACGGCTTTAAACAGCTCTAAACAGCTCTATTACACTCAATTTCATTCAATTTAACTCGGTTTAAACTTCCCCTATTAGCTGATATTTGATAGCAAGACGATAAATATTTTCCCTTGTAAAATCGCATACAAAACGAGTTCTAAAACCAAGAACATTCAATTGTATTGCATCAAAAAGAAGCTAATTTTTTTTAATTTACAATATTTAGGAAGATCTGACCGGGGAAACCCTCGAGAAACAATTCGAATTGGTGAAGAAAAGAACAGACAAAAGTCACGTTCAACATTTCGGAGATCTCTCAATTGCCCAAGTTGGAAAGATTTTTGAAATTTTCGAGATTTGTTTCATCGAGATAGATTCTAATTAATTCTAAACTTTAAAACTTTCCAGGAACCAGTCTCCGATTTCCAGGGTTCAAAGAAAGTATACACTGTTGGATTCGAGAATCGCGAGGTGAAAAGATAAAGAAAAATTGAAGGAAAAGAATTTAGGTGAATCCAAGAGATGCCTGGCCTTCACGGGATATTCAATTGAATTACTTGAAGAGAGAATTGTGAGTTTCAAGTTTTAAGAGTTAATCATAACGAATGAATGGTATAAGAAAATTCTAGAGAAAATGCGAATGAAGCTGGTGAGGAGAGGGAACTCCAGCGGCAAATCAATGCCATTTATGCGGTGAGTGCATTTTGAAAGCCTTTTACTTACAGTAGCCCAAGCTATTTTCTTAGTTTTTCTCTAGATTTTCTAATCCTAATCCTTCTGGCTGAAAGGCTGAAAGTACCTCGTGACTCGTGAGTTGTCTAGTTTTCTAGTTCATCGATGATATAGTAGGCAAGCTGATACAGTAATCGAGCTGATACAGTAACCAAGCTGATACAGTAATCAAGTTGATACAGTAATCAAGCTGGTACAGTAATCAAGTTGGTACAGTAATCAAGCTGGTACAGTAAACGAGCTGATATAGTAATCAAGTTGGTACAGTAATCAAGCTGGTACAGTAACGCTTACAGTTTTCAACGTATAGATTACTGTAACAGGATGGAATCATTACGATAATTAGCTTTATTTCAACTGACTTTTCCAGAGTCGCAAACAGATGAAAACGTTGTTCACACGACTCGTCGACGAGCTTGTTGAGGGTGATTTCGAAGAAAGAAGGGACATTTTGAAGACACACAGGTGAGGAAAATGATCGAAAGAATTGTCGGCTCTTGAATGTTTCTAAAAGATGTGCTTACTTGAACTGAACCTGCCAAAGTCAAAGCCAAAGATTACCTGAAAAACACGAAAGTCTTTATGTCTTAGATCTCTTAGATGAACCAGATGAGATGCGTTGATCGAAATGAATATTCCCTCTAATAGTAGTGCACCCTATTCAAACTTTTTCAGAAAACTCACTCAATTCAAATGCCACAATGCGGTCGTTCGCGGCTTCGAGAACGTTTGCATGAAGTTGGCCTCGGTAAGGGGTTTTTGTCGAAAAGCTATCGAAAAGTTCTTGCGTTTTCCCTGGATTTCTTAAGCTATAAACGGAATTCAGCTATTCAGATTTCAGAATTCGATTCTAAATAGAATAGAATTCTGAATAGAATAGAATTCTGAATAGAATAGAATAGAATTCTGAATAGAATAGAATTCTGAATAGAATAGAATTCTGAATAGAATAGAGTTTCGAATAGAATAGAGTCCTGAATAGAATAGAGTCCTGAATAGAATAGAGTTCTGAATAGAATAGAGTTCTGAATAGAATAGAATAGAATAGATTTTTAGAATGAGGACGCTCTTCGGTGGGTGTATGTGTTAGCGAATTTGTGCGAGGAATTCGAGGATCCCGAGAAGATCATTGACGGAATCGCCGCCGTTTGTAACTAAAGAAATTTTTGGCTTGTAGATTGCCATCTTATTTGCTTATTAATGCTTTTTAAATGCGCTAACGATAAATATTTATTGGAAAAGTGCAAAAAAAAAACATTGATAAAAAGAGTGAAAATAAGAATTTAAGAGAAATTTGCATTTATTGACAATTTATTTATTGGCAAATTTCTAAATTTGCATACGACTTTTGTCTGACTTTCGTCTGGCTTTTGTCTGGCTTTCGTCTTTTTTCTTGCTTAATTTTTCTGGGGCATTTTATTTAATTTTATTCTTTATTCTCGTCTAATTGTTCTTGTCAGAGTTAACGTGAGTTTTTTTATCGTTTTTTTTAATATTTTACTCTTGAAAGGTGATTGTGACCTTAAGGTGACCTTTATCGACAAAAAGCTCTACTTAAGTAGGGCTTTTTGCCGATAAAGCGAATTTTGACCAAATTTGATCAAACCAATTGGAAACCTATTCCTAATTTTCATTTTTATTGAGCCAAAATGAGTTCCCACAGTCAAAATCTCAAAAAATATTTTTTCAACTTGTTTTGCCAGCCAATTTAAGTTTGAAAATGGATATTTAGTGGTTAAAAATGGTTTTGGCGCTAGTTTTGACCTTGAAAAGTGCCCCAATAGTCGATAGCTTCGGCTCCACATAGTGAAGTACACTATAGAAGCGTGCACTTTGAAGCCCTGAAACTCGGCTTAAAACACGTTTTTTCACAAGCTGTTTTTGTTTTTCGGAATTTACGCATAAACCTATCCCAGAAAAAGTGGTTTTGAGAAAAAAAAGTGCCCCCTCCCCTTCCCAACTGGCCTAGTACCGAACTTTCGACGATTGAGGTAGAATCATGTGCCGAGATATAGCCATATCAAGACGTTTTTCGAAGTCTTGAACATCTAGTAGCTTTTGAGCAACAGAACGAGCAGAACATCGTGAAGTAAGAGCCTAAATCTTGAAACATTAACTAAACTTTAAAAACACAAACTTTTACTAAAGAATTTTAAGATTCCTGAGACGAGTTTCTAAGTCGTTCGCCACGACAGCCTTCCAATACTCGTGTCCATCTTCATCGTAGAGTAGCACTCCACCTTTCTGAGGTAGCCACATCCCTAAATGAAAAAAGATGATGAGAAACAAAAATTTTGCAGAAAAGAGTAAAAACTAGCTTAATCTATCTTATTTCATTTATTTTAGCTCAAAGAAACAAAGTTATTAGCTTAAACAAGTAGAATTTCTTTGCAAACGATTTTGTGTGAAAAATTGCTGTTGCTAGCCGCGTTTAATCACTTGCAGCGACTCTCCGATTCCTTCAGGCGACGTTCTTTTACCTGAAAACACAAAATTAAGTACCAAGAACAGTAAAAAAAACAAGAAAAAGCGGTGAAAAACAAAATGTGCTGCATTGTTTATTTAAAATGAGCCATAAAACATGATTCTGATGATGAAATAATCGTTCTGTTTGTCAAAACACGCGCAAGGTGCTTAAAAATGTTTTAAAAATAACAAAAGTTACTAGTTGTTATGAGAAGTATAAAAACATTGGAGTTGAAAGTTGAAAATATTAATCGCAGTCTCTTTCAATTTGGCGCTGTTTTGGCGGCGCTATTTTGACTAGATCTCGAAAAATGCTATTCTATTTTTAGCTGCCAACACAAAACCTTTCTCAAATCATATCTAATTATTTTGTTCAGGATGATCGAGATGGTGTTACCCGTTTTCTTCGCCTCTTTCATCCCAGCGTTGCTCCTGTGCGGCAAGAAGAAAGCGGCTCAACAAAGTCAGGCATTTTATCGTTTTGTTTTGATCGAAGCTGAGTTGTTTTGGAAGCAACTTTGGAGCAACATTCGGAAGCAACTTTGGCTGTTTCCCTGAATCGTGGTCTTTTGTTTTGCCAGTTTGCCAAAAAGCCAGTTTTGTAGTTTTTTTTCTTCATTTTTTTGCTTTGTCATATTGTCGTTTTTGCGCTTATTTTGAAATGTTGACTGTTTATTCTTAAAACATTTATTAAAGAAGAGGATAAGCTGCTTCCATGCGAACTAACAAATGTTGAAAGAGCTGTTCCTACTCTGTAGCTCTTCTAAACAAATATTCAAATAAATAAGTTGGAAGTCGGTCTTTTGTTGTTCCCCGGGGGTGACGAAGCTTTCATTACACCCCAGGTTATTTTCATCTGTAATTATATAATCAAAGCTTTAAATATTTTGTATTATAGGGCCTTTTTTGGCAAAAAACCACGAAACTGACTTTTTTTTGACAAAAGATCACGATTCAGGGAAAGAGCTGCATTTTTTTGGTTTTGCCACTGTTGGACTGTGGTATACCGTATTTCTTCGAATAGAAGACCGGGTAAAGAGTATCATCGCGTACTCCTGCGTAGCAGCCCTTTTTAAAATTTCTTTTCTGCATAAAAGCTTTCAATGGAGTGCTATAGAGCTGGAAAATGACTCAAAAATCTGTTAGCTCATGTGATATTTTTGAGTCATTTTCCAGCGCTATAGCACTCCATTGAAAGCTTTTATGCAGAAAAGAAATTTTAAAAAGGGCTGCTACGCAGGAGTACGCGATGATACTCTTTACCCGGTCTTCTATTCGAAGAAATACGGTAATTTTTGAAGAATGCACCAAAACCAATGAAATCCTTCCGAAATTGAGTGAGATCTTATGAATTAGGTTTAAAGCAGCAAAGTCGTAGTATTTTATTTTTAAGAACTTAAACCTGTTTAGACTTGCAAGCACAAACAAGGTTCGACGCTACAAATTCATCTTTGGACCCTTTAAAACAACGAACGGTCGGTTTATTATTTTTATGGCTAAATTATTCTATAGCTTTTTATGTGGGCATTCGCAAGAAGCTTTTCAAATAGCTTTATCTAGCTTTACCTAGCTTTACCTAGCTTTTGTCTTATAGTAGATGTTGAAGTCTCAAAATAATCCTTGACAAGATAAACTCGCGCACTTTTAGAGTCGACGAATCGCGGAAGCGTCGGTTTCACAGCCGTGTCAAGCCCGAGAAACATTCCAGCCACCGCCCGTCCAGTCCACACCGTTACAGGAATCCATTCAACAACAGCTCCTACAACAACCATCACCACAAAAAGCATCGAGTCATGAGAATGTAAGAGATTTCAATTGAAACTTACTGATTTCTGATTTCTAGAAGACGGGCTCGAAAGTCTCTCTTGCGCAACGAGCACCTCAGAACAGCCACCACTCAGTACTGAAGCCAAAGGCGCAAGTGCCCGAACGAGTGCCCGTCAAAAGAAAGGCCGCCAATGCGTCGGAGGTAAGGATGGTCATTAGGAAGATACGAGCGGGCGACTCCAAAAGCGCGACTCCAAAAAACGCAAGAAACCGAATATAACTTTTTAAGGATAAAAGGACTTTTTATTTTCCAATATGTTTTTTTTGTTTAGGTTGAACGACTCGGGCCTATTTCAGCGCGAGACGACGAGAAGACATTGGAGGAGGGCGATCCCGATCGAGTTTTCCCACTCGCCTACGTCCTCAAGGTATTGCTTTGCTTAATTTATGGAGAGAATGATTATTGCATCTCCTAATAGTCAATCTCGTATGGGGAAATCATAAAAATTGATATATTATTAAACTTTTAAACTAGTTAGTGCTCCTTTATCCGTACTTTTAAAGTAGCATAGTGATTTTATTAAAGATCTTGATACTATTTCCATTTTCAGGATTTCAAACTCCGCTCAAAGGAGCGAACAACAGACCAATCGAAAAAGCTGGTCGGTATTGAGGAGAAAATGGTAAGAGTTTTACCGTAACCGTCTAAATTTTGCACTTTTTATAGAAAACAACGCGAGAGAGGCACAAGTCACCGGGATTCAAACCCGATCGCACCCAATCGAACAGTGATAAGGAGCCGTACGAAGAGAGAGTTTGTGGCATTTTTCAAAATTTAATAAGCCGAAACTTTGCATAGGGCAAAATTAAGCTTGATTCATATTTAGAATTAGAAGAGTACTGTAATCTTTGTAATTGAAATTTCTTATCCTTTAGGTGACTCGCGGTTGATCAAACGAGGTGCGGCAATGGATTGCGAGAAGGTGTCAACAGAGATTTAATATGTTTGTATTCTTCTTTCGTCAGCGATTCATCCCATGACTATCTGTTTGTTTGCGTGTCTAAATGTTCTCTACTTATCTCTTTTTTTTGTTTCGTTTCGTTTCTTCTTGTTTCCGGGCACTATGATTCTCTTCATTGTGATCAGCTTTCCCCCCTCGATTCGATTAAGTTGAGCCCGCTTTTCTTGTGAATAAAGTCGATTCTTATGCAGGTGATTGGGGAATGGATGGTTATTTTAGCCCTAAATATTTTAATTGGCTTTTTAATAGTACTACTAAACTTGGAAAGCTTAGGGTAGCTAGAGCATGTTTTAAAGCGGCTATTCGATTCGCTGTTCAGGTAAGTTCACAAGAAGTCTGGCCAAAGAGTCTAAACCAATTAATGGAGCATAAAATCGATTACCAAGACAATCTTTTTCTTTGCGAAACCAATTTTTGCCGAAGGATTTCAGGAAACAAACGGTTTTAAGTTAAATCGGCCGGATTACACGCTAGAACCTAGAAAGACATTGTGATTACGGTAGCTTTTTCCTATTTTAATTAACTTGAATCTCTCAGACATCGATCAAACGCTATCTTTGAGCAAAAAAACTCTTCAACCGCAAATTGATGAAATCCCTTTAGGCAAGAAAGGGGAGTGGGACAAATGCGACCCTTTTTTTGCGCACCCGGACATTTGCGCACCTTTTTTCCGCACCTTGCCCATTAGTGCACCTTTTTTCGCGTTTAAAAAAGCTCTAAAAAGCTAACATTTATCAATTTCTATTCCAAAAGTTGTTTTTCTAGGTAATTTGAGGGCATAGAAACGGAATTTTGACATATCAGAGCTTGTGGAACCAATTTGAAAGACAAAACGGCTAGATCAAATTACAGAAAATTGTCGATTTTTCTCTTTGTATAACTCCGTCCGTTTGTTTCCACAAGCTCTGATCTGTCAAAATTTCGATTCTACGCCCTCAAATTACCTAGAAAAACAACTTTTGGAATAGAAATTGGTTAACGTTAGCTTTTTAGAGCTTTTTTAAAATGCGAAAAAAGGTGCGCAAATGTCCGGGTGCGCAAAAAAAGGGTCGCATTTGTCCCACCCCCCAAGAAAGATTTAAAAATCAACTGAACCGACTACTTAAAACCAAGACATCATTTTTCCAGAAGCGAACCGAGCTGAACAAACTCTTCACGCGACCCGTCAACGAGCTGATTGAAGGGAGCTTTTGAAAAGAGCGAAATTTAGAGCGCTCGAAAGTATACAGAGGCATTCGCTGAAATTTAGTCAAAAATTTTCAGAAAAATCACTCATTTCGAATACCATCATGCATTCAATGTGTTTAGCAAAGTGAGTTCAGCTAAAGGACTTAGCTAGTAGCACCAGAAAGAGAAGAGAACAGAACAGAACGAGGATGCTCTGCGGTAGGTCTTCATGTTGGCCAACCTTTACGACGAGTTGGAAGACTCGGATACGATTATCAAAGAAACCAAGAGTCTCTTGACAAAAACCTTTCAATTTTCCTTAATCATGCCTTGCAATTCAATTTCATGTTTTTGCGATTTTACATTCAAAAGTTACGCAATAAATTTCTCAAATGACAAGTAGAACGAGATCACAGTGCACAAAATTGACAACAAAAGACGAAAAAGTTAGATGTGCGGCCGACTTTCTAGTTGAACGGTGGCGATGAGACCCAATTTCTGCTCGATTTGCTTCGACAATTGTTCGCCCTCGGTCACCGATGTCTCGAGTTCTCGCATTAACTGAAAGGAGTAAAATTACTAGAAAACTTAGTAGCAATATCATTAACGAGTTAATTCATTTTGATTTCCCAAGCTAACAGTTATTAACTTTTCCAACTCACTTTAGCCTTTTCTGAGTCTTTTCTTGCCATTTGTTCGTTGATTTCTTCTATTGATAGTCCCTCACTTGGAAAAGAGTCAATCAGAGTCTAAACAAAAATTTAATGGCAAACTCTTACGAAAAATCACCTCAATATCTTTGGCGGTTCGTGCAATGTGTTTCGCAAAAAGCTCGCAGTTGGCTTCTGTCATAATTTCCTGAACAATGAACATTGCCACATGTAAATTTACTCAAAACAGTTGAATGCATCGACTAACTACGACTAGACCTACTATCTTCAAATCGAAAAACAACTCACATTATTAGTCGATCCAAGATCACATTGCGGGGCTGTATCTTGGAGAACGCCGATCGAATTACACATCAATTGGGCCATTTCGTTAATCATATCCTGTAGCTGAGTGAGTAGTTCCGCCATCTGAAAACTACCGATTAATAAAAGCTTCCATAAACATATTGATAGGAAATATTCGATTAGGATTTCAACGTTTTAAAATACTTTTTTCGGGCCCAAAACCCATAAAGCCTTCAACAGTGTTTATTGAAAAGTTCATTCAGTTCGAAACAAAAACTATAATACAATCGCGAGATCAGCAAAAATAAGGTCAACTCTATAAAGAACAAAAAAAGCAACAAATTTTTAAACACATATAGACAAAAAAATAAAATATCCAAATATTCATTAAAAATCCAATCATTCGTCAAAAGCTGTCGGTTCCTCAAACTCGATCAATCGTTTTACCTAAATATGAAAATTTAGGTTTAACACTTTGCAAACTTGATTCGAATTCAGAGGTGAGCTGATATTTATGTGAAGCAGTACATTTAAATAATTCTTTAGAGGAAAACAGTACCTGAGAAAGCAGTCCTTCATTGTTGATTTGCGATTGTGCTTGCGATCCATTATCCATTTCAATCGTCTAAACAAAGAAATGATTGCAGAGCTGAAAAAGACTTCAAAGTACCTTTCCATCCCGTTGAATAAGCTCACTCAGTCGATCGCGTAGGAGTGAAAGCAGCTGACGGACTCCCTCCGTTTGTTGATTTTGAGCTAAAATGATACATGGCACACTGATATATTAACAGCAAAGACACCAGACAACTTTAACGTTAGACGAGGACGTTTCAACGAACGATTTATTTTTTAGAATGACAAGGGTGTGAGACTAGTGATGGACAAAGTGCCAGATGTGCCATACTTAAACTCACTGCCATTCAAGATGAGAATCAAATGATCTTCTGCAAGTGATCATGAATCAATTTTAAAAAGAAAAAGTTACCAGGCTTCGCTTTCTTCTTGCTGGTTTCCATCAGCGAAGCGTCCGTCAAATAGGTTAGCTGTGCGGCGGCACCCAATCTAAATGTTTTCAGGATTCGGCCACTAAAATTGTCCAAACCTGTAAGTCAATGCATCGAGATTTTCGACACTTGGCAGGAAGAAATTGTCAGTAAGAAAGTTTGTCAACGTGACCGTTATTAATCTAGGGAAAGTAGTGTTAGAAAAAATGAAATGCACATACTTGTTCATGGGTTTAACGCGAAAAGCTACACGATGAACAAAGAGACGAACCATCGGCGACGCTTCAAAGTCGTGCTCTCTTGGATCTTCAATACTGTGGATCTAAAGTTCGAGTCAATTGAGCAAATTTTGATAAAGCGAAACATACATCTTCCAATCTGTCGGCTCCTTTTATTATCAGATGCTTCACAAGTGAGCGAACAACCTAAACACCAGCTAAATGAAGAGTCAAAACAAAATTCTCACTTTCTCACGCATGTCGTTCTCTAAGATATTTTTGCCAAAGATGAGCTGGTAAAAGCCGAAAACTCCTTGGAACAACTCTGAATAAAATATGAGTTAAGAAATAACTTAAATAAACGAACGATCACTGTCCATATCGTCACCCAGACTGCAGGCCCATTCCGGGAGAAATACACCAAGTCGCACGGCCATCTTTGCGATCAACGAAGTATACAACGGGTTAACCCAAAATAAATTGTTGCCATAATAAATAATTGTCATATACTCCATGCAAAGCAGCTAAGTTTTTCAGGCCGGTTAAGGCCAGTAGCAGTTGTTGTAGAGGGGATCCTTTGTTGAAGAGCGCCTCGTAGAGACAACACAACGATGTGAAAAGGTTGTCGCAAACTTCTAAAAAAATAAAGCGTATGTTTAGAAGCTTTTTAAAAAAATACCTCGAGTTTCTTCCTTTGATGAACTAAGAGTTTCTCCACATTTAAGCAAGCCAAGCACTAAGGGTTGAACTTCAAAGACTGCCTAAAACTTTTCGTAGGTTGCGAATCGAAAGTCCGCAACTTCAACCTCAACTATTCTGAAAGTGTCCAACCAACGGGGATCCTCGTTTTCCAGTAGCTCGTTCAGTCTCGGGATTGCACTTGCAATGAACCAACTGCAAGCAACTGTTTCATGTGAAACAATTTATTGAGTACTTACTCGACAAATGCCCTTAAACTTTCCAAGATGTTAACCAATGGTGGTGCACCACGACCGGCGTTTAACTAAAAATTATAAAATAAAGAGTCAGAGAACAAGTTTCACTCACCGCGGTGGCTAGTAGTTGCTCGAAAATCGCCAAGTGTACCTAGAAATGAAATCAAGTTATAATATAACTTGTATACACTAAACCTTGAACAGCTCCACCGTAATTTGTCCATTGATCTTCACTCGAGCATCCGTCGATAAGTACATGTCGAATATGATTGGAAGGCTCGGCGAAAGTTTCTAAACAAAAAGCATATGCAAAGTTTTGCAAGAGCATACTTGGAAGAATCTTTCCAGGTAAAATGCATGATTTGTTGTGATATCGGCGGAGATCTTTTGAGACGTTGTCAAATGAGAGAGCACAAGAGGAATCTAAAAAGATGATAGAAGGCAATTGGACAGCACTAATTACTCTCAGCAACGAGTCCACAGGTGATTCACTTTGCTTCTTCATTTTCTTCGGTGGCGATTTGTGAACATCACCTCTCAGTTGAGAGAGCATCGATAAATCTAAAAAGTAACACAAACAATCAACACCGTTGAAAATTTTAGCACTTACCGTCAAGGACCAAATTGAGTAGTTTTTCTGGCTCCCATTTCCATATGAAATTAAGTAAAAATCCGAGGTTTTCCGATGAGTAGTCTCCTTTTCTAAAATTTGAATTTAAAAAAGTTACATAATCAAAAAGGTGGACCCGGAAGTGTTTTCAATCATTCACATGGCTGTCACAATCGAGCCTGCTAATGGCTAATGCCACCATCGTCACAACAGGTAGCTTTTTTTTTTTTTTTACTTTAAAGGAGGGGAGGGGTATTTTTTATGACCGGGTCCCCTGTCTAACCTTTTTTGGCAAACCCTGGTTCTAATGTTTTTAACTGATCAAAGTAGATGTAAAAAGAGTAAAAAACACAAACGTTATACAGTGAATGTGTTAAGCCAGGAATTCTACACATAGTGCCACAAATTGCACCGAGAAGCTCGTTTTTAAGGTAACGCACATTTTATTTTCAAAGTCAAATTTCGTTTTAGTTTTAGTTTTAGTTTTTAGTGCTCAAATAACGTGCAATACCGAGTGAAGCAGGTGTTCGGTTGCAAAACATTGATTTGATTTTTTTAGGAAGATAAGTTTGTCCTCAAATATATTGATGCACCAGCTGATGGAAAAGATCTCAGGAAATCTTTCGGTGAGTAAAATCCTGCTTCCTAGTTTTGCAACTTTTTTTTTGTTTTTGGTCAAATCGGATCGGCTCAAGGAAAAGTGGCATTGCCTGCAAAAGCCGAATAAGACGCGACATTAATCCCGACAAAAATAAATAGAGACTCATTAAGACGAATAACTTGCCATCTAATATTAATAACGTACTTGAAGTTCTCTATTTCTTGCGACGCAAACTTTTGCATATCCATCGCGGCGTTTTTGGTGCGAACCAAAGCTCCAAGAATGAAGCTAGCGCCAATGAGTGCCGTATCCTAAAAGAAATAATGTAAAGTCTATAAAAGACATTCTCACTGAGTATTTCTCGTGAAGTATGCGAAAAATATGCAGAACGATTCTCTCTATTTGACATTCAAGTTCACTTTCTGGCTCCAGATCCTGAATAAATCCCATACGCACAATTATTTCGATGAATACCTTTTGGATTGCTTTCCACATTACAACGCCACATTCGAAAAGAACAAGATGTCTGGAGAATTCAGGAGTGGTCGCTTCTAAAATAAATTCATTAATAGACCACTTATAGAACTTACTATCATCAAGTGTTTCCTCTGGCTCGTCGCTGTCCGCATTCTCTTTGTTTTCCGAGTTGTAGTTTTTCACCGCATCAATGATCGACTCATCCAACGCCAGCCGCGATAAATCCACTCCCAAATCGTTTTTCTTCCATCTGCCATAAACATTGAGGCCCAAGATTGTTTTGATGAGTACGACTAAAAGTGAAATTACATAAAAGCTTGAAAGCTTTACTTACCGGCTTGCTCGATCGTGATCAATCCCAAGCGGTAGATGTGCCGACAAAAGTTTACCGCCGCGTTTCTTCCGCCATCTTTCACCAATCGTTCTAATCGAGCCACGATTTTTGTTGGCGTTTGGTCCTTCGGGTGAAAAGACTAAACCAAACTTTATTGCCGTAGATGAATGATCAAACTCACTCGGAAGAGAAGCCGAACAATTTGCTCTAAAACTTTTTCGTCGGTTTCCACTTCGAACCGAGCTAATAAAAGGTTGACTTCAACGACGTCCCAGAACTAAACTCAATTTAGAAACAAAATCAGCTAATTATAATTTACTCTGATAAAGCGATGTTCACGCACGGCATTAAGAAGTTGGAATGTGGCTAGCCGAACCTAAAAAAAAGTTATAAATTCATTTTCACAAAGTGAAACCTTTTCATGTTTATCGTTGACACCATCAACAATGATGCACCTCATTGCATGCTCCAGAATATTCACAGCGCCAGCACATTGACTTAGAGAACGTAGACCCTAAATGATTTGTTTAAAAAACGTGAGTAGCGTAAATCACTTTGTAAACACAGGCTCGCACAGATGAATTCGCGTCTTTTGCCATCGAGTCGATAACTTCAATCATCACATGTTGAATGAAGTCCTCGGGAATGATGTTGAAAAACGACTCAAATATCACCATCGTCTGCAATAAAACACAAATTTTAACATTTTAATGGGATTTTAGATGTTAACAACAACAGATTTTAATGTACCTTCATCGTCGCCTGACACCGGATTTCCACGCATTCATCTTTCAAATAGTCCAGGATGAGCTTCTCACGATCCTAAATAGGAACATAAGAAAACATTTTAAAAAATAAACCTCTTGCAGTAAAGGGAACAGTGGGTAAAAGCGGAAGACGTAATTCATCGTCTCGAAACGCGCTCTTGCATCAAGACACTAAAATTAGTTGATAACTTTGATTCACATCCATCTAACGTTTGCTATGTGCAAATGTTAATTCATTATCGGGGTGAGCTTTCAAGAATCAATCCGCTTAATGTTTGTTAACCCACCCTTGCGTATTGAGGCAAAATCGCATTGAGCATTTTCTGCAGTACCATCTCAAACTTCACTCGATCAGCATCGTCAAGAGCTTTCGTAATCTAAAACTCAAATAACTCCAAAGAAAGTTTTTAAAGCGCCTCCAAAAAGCGTTCATCAAGTGGCACTGCAGCAATCACCGAGCAGTCGATGACCCATCGCCAGACTTCTTCCACGCCATTCATACTAAATTTGGAATTCAATACTGCATTCCGGCGGAATACTCACTCCATGACTTGATCATTTTTCTCGGCCAACTTGTAAGCGATGACTAATGCTTCACCGATTCCACGGAGTTGTGTCCTAAAAATTATTTGGCTTCCACTAAAATTTTTCGCACATACTTTGTTACGTTGTTCTTCTGCACGATTTTTGCCAACAAATCCATGAAAGGCTCATAACCGATCTCGGCAAGAAAATAGCCGGCAAGTTTCGCGCCTAAATTGAAAAATTATAAGTTTATACAGTGTTCGACTGCTTACCCTCTGGTTCACTCATAAAAATCGGCTCCCAAAACGCCCTTCTCATTTGATCCTTGTCGGTAAGTCGAACAAGTTCCATTCGTTGTGTGTACAATTTGCGAATCAACGTTTTCTAAGGCAAAACGTTTTTAAACAACAAAAAATAAACAAACGTTGGGTTTTGACAATTGTAGGGCTCGTTGGAACTGAATGACGGCACTCTCGGCTTCTACGTCATCTTTTGCCACCACTTTCATCGCAACTTTGGGTCGAGTCTAAAAATAAAATGTAAACAGCTCTTAATTTCTGCTACTTTAGACTTTTATGACATGGATTGCAGTTTTTAATAGTTCTTTAAGCTTGATTCAAACATTTTTAGACTATTTTATTATATTTTGACCCAATTTGACTGCTATTTGAGCTACTCGGCATCGTTTCGTAATCTGTTTAATTTGAAATTCAATACACTACTCTACGTTAGAACTAGAAGATCCATAAACCTGCTTTTAGGGGAAAGCGCCGAAGTTCATAAACTAAAGCTCTTGCCTTTTGTGCAGTGGCATTTTCTTCCTCCTCTTCGGGACACGTTGAGAGGTTGATCGGCGCTTGCGAAATCCGCGTTGATTTCTTACTCTTTCTCGGGGGCATCCTAAAATAACAGGTATATTAAAGCTGTAAACAAAAATAAACAAATCAAAACGCTAGAAAAGAAACGAAGTCAAGGCATTTTGTAAAAAACACACGCTCGAGTGTTCGAGTGAATGTTCACACGTTCGAGAGTTGCCGTTCGGGCTAATATGTCACGTTCTAGAGTCAGAAAGTTAGTTCGCGCTTATTACTACCACTAGACTTGACTATCGAGATCTCGATAAGTTTTCCAAAATCTTTAAAAATTGTAAAATCCAGGTTTAGGATATCAAAAGTCGTATTCAGCGCATCGAATTACCCCAAAATAAGCATCAGTTAAAAGGATTTGACGGAGAATCAACTAAAGTTTTACCATTATCGATAAGCTTATCGATAATATCGATAAGCCTCGATATCGATAAGTTTCGATAATAACTTATCGAGATCCCGATAGTCAATTCTAACTGTCACTACTCTCGAACATGTTAGCCCTCGAACGGTAACTCTTGAGCACATGGAAGTGAAAGTTAACTCTCGAACATGAACACTCGAGCGTTTGTTCTTTACAACGTGCCAAATGGCTCAAATTCCATGGTCATAATAATTATGAAAATTGAAAAAGTGTGAGGAAGGGAAGAAAAATCAACAAAATCACGATAATTGGCAAAGCTCGTCGCCGCTCTTTAAAAACCAGTAAATGTCAAACTTTAACTACTACCTAAGCAACTCTCGAACATGAACACTCGAGCGTTTGTTCTTTACAACGTGCCAAATGGCGCAAATTCCATGGTCATAATAATTATGAAAATTGAAAAAGTGTGAGGAAGGGAAGAAAAATCAACAAAATCACGATAATTGGCAAAGCTCGTCGCCGCTCTTTAAAAAACACAGTAAATATCAAAATTTAATTACTACCTAAGCAATTTCATTTTGATTGTTTCTTTTTCAAAAGCCTTTAAAAGTTTTTCAACTTTTATCAAAACTTGCACCGTTTTTGAATGCAGGGTCGACCCGCCGAGCGCACAAAAGATGGCTTTCAAAGAGGGATAGAGGAAGCATGTAGCAAGTACAAAACGGACTATTTACCGTAATCAAATTAAGATCTGTATTCGAAAGTTGCATTTTGATTAGGCAGATGTTGAAAAATGAAACAGATACTCGATTAGAACTGTTAGAATAGAGATTGGCAATAACTTGTGCGAACTGTACTTTACTTCCTGTACTTGTACTGTACTTTACAGGGTGAGTTTTTGGATTAACCAAAAACACTGCTTTAGTTTGTAATGCTTTTAGCATGGCCCCGAATGACTTTTGGCAAGTTTTCAGGGTCTATATGTCGTAGCCGATTAAGGATTTCAGCCGAAGAAGTCTCAGACTTCTTCGGCTAGCCGATTAAGTCTCAAACATGAAATCTTGCGTTATGTATTGACTCAAGTCAATACCACAAACTCAAGCTCTCTAAAAGGCGCTTAAAAGCTAAAAACGCATTCTAAAGAGTGCGCATTTTATCATACTATAACCAAAGGCTATGAAAGGGCCCTTTTCGCCATTTTCTATCTGATTCGTCATTTATTTGAAATAGAATTGTTTGTTTTTGTAAGTCAATTTGCCCCTTTGTTGGATCATCGATAAAACTTATTTACCACTAATCTGTTTATAATCGAACATAACCCCTTATTTCAATCCTATTTTTTCTTTTTGTTACTGTGCATTTTTTGTTTAAGCTACACTAATTTCTGTTGATCGTTAACCGGCCAAAGAGCTCCTCGTTCTTGACGACTTTCTTAGGTTTGTCCAAATTGCCTTTGATCCCATGATTGTAAAGCACCTCTTGATTCAATTCAAGAGAGAATAGCACTACAAGTTTTTAGTTTTTAGCGCCTTTTAGAGAGCTTTTAGAGAGCGTTTTTAGCTTTTAAGCGCCTTTTTGAGAGCTTGAGTTTGTGGTATTGACTTGAGTGACAAGATTTCATGTTTGAGAATTAATCGGCTAGCCGAAGAAGTTTGAGACTTAATCGGCTAGCCGAAGAAGTTTGAGACTTAATCGGCTAGCCGAAGAAGTCTGAGACTTAATCGGCTAGCCGAAGAAGGTTTCGCTAGCGAAAAAATTTGAGACTTAATCGGCTAGCCGAAGAAGTCTGAGACTTCTTCGGCTGAAATCCTTAATCGGCTGCGACATATATAATTCAAGAAGAACAGATAAATTCATTGTTTACTTTATTGGGCTAATCGATTATCAAATCGACTACAAATCTATCAAATCGATCACTGAAATGGTTTGAAACTGTCTTGTTTTAGCTAGACAAACACTTGATTTGAGATAAAAGTTTCACAAGGCAAGGCACATAAAAGATGCCATCTTTTGTCATTGTCACATCTTCTTGAATCAACATTGCGTAGGACTTGTGAATGGGATTTTTATTTGAAGGAAAGGGTTTCCAGGATCAGAATTTCCGAAAATGAAGCTTCCTCGACTTTATTTTCTACTCTCGATCATTTGCATTACAGTGGGTTTTTGGTATTTCGGTGGGTCTGATGAAGAAAGAAAACTAGTAAGTCTATTGTAGGAAGTCAAAGATTTATAAATTTTTAGTCAATAAGATCAATAAGTCAATAAGATGTAAGTCTCAATATGCTGGAGTAAGATTGTACATCCATAGCTAAAGAAATTTAAGGAGCTTTTTGGGATACTTTATGAAGTAATGAGTCGAGAAATGAGAATAATAGACAGTCGGACTACTGTAGTAAGGCATACTGTAGCTAGACATGAAATGAGACTAACTGTTTATTCAAATTTTGAATTTTCAAACTTATTCCGACCTTGTTCCATATTTTACAGATCTCAAGTGAAATCAACAATAATTCCGGTGAAATTCCATCTTTACGGGAAAAGCGAAGCGGAAAAGACGCGATTGTGGTGCTGAAAACGGTTTACCTTCATAGTGCACTCTCCGAGAATTGGATGACAAATATGGTGAAGCAAAGGGTGAGTCAAAGATGAGAAAGTGGAAGAAAAGTTGAGATTTCAGGTGTCGAATTTGGGTGGTGAAAGAGTGAGAGTCCGGGTAAGAAGTGATGAATAATGAGGAGATTTATAAAAAATGATACCATTGTTCTACACTCTGTCAAAAAATTATAGACGCACCCTGTTTTTTGCTAGTTTAAAGCCGGACATAAGCGCTAGTCCAGTGAAAAGTATTTTTTTTAGTTTCTTTATTGTAAAAAAACAACTCATGCAAAATTTTTTCCACCACATCCAGTTGTTTTCCAAGTGGCATATCTGAAAATGTAAAAACATTTATAAACATAACTAATAAGCAAAAAAAATGAGAAAAAAACTAAGAATTATCGATAGAATAAATCATCAAATAAAAGTGCGTCTGTAAGTTTTTGACAGCTGTTAAAACGTTTTTTGTACGATAAAGTACTTTGGATGAGTGAAATGACTTGAAATTTTGCATGGGTTGTTTTTTTACATTAAAGAAACTAAAAAATACTTTTCACTGGACTAGCACTTATATCCGGCTCTAAACTAGCAAAAAACAGGGTGCGTCTATAATTTTTTGACCGAGTGTATACCCCTCTCCTGGGGTCTTCTAGGGTCATTATGCTGTTACAGGTATTATGATGACATTGTTTTAAAGTGAAATGATAATCGATTTTATGCTGCTAGTAGAAGACACATGAGTTTTTAGGGTTTCAATATGCGGGGTTACTATGCCGCTGAGATCATCGTTCCAAATGGGGAATCGGCGTGTCGAAGCGTTCAGAGTTACGCGCGAAGTGCGGCCAAAACGAAAGAGGTTTAACACGTGAATGCTTAGGCAAAATCTAAAACTCTAGCATATAATGCTTTTCTAAAATGTGCCAAATTACCAACGCAAGTACCGTAATCAAACCTTTTTCTTTCGATTAATGTGTCGAGACGTGGCACAGTTTAGAAAACGCTTAACACATTCGCGACGACGGCATTTTGGGCGTACAGTCGCGTAGTCGTTAATTGTTTTATCGATAAGTTGAAGATTAAAAAATAAACTAAACTATTATAGTCATTCGAAAGTACTGAATCTCCTCTTGAAAGCTAGTAAAAAGTTACAGAAATTTCTACGAAATAAATAACAAAAGTCCTTAAAAACCGTGAAAAATAGAGGGGTGGGACAAATGTGACCTTTTTTTGCTGGAAAAAACCTTAGGAAAAGTCGTAGAGCTTCAAAAATGTTTTCATAGAAGGGAATCGTATGCGTAGATTCCGAATTTCGACAAATCAGACCTCGCTGACACGTCAAATTTGGGCTAAAAGGCAAAAACTACGCAACTTAACGCTTTTCCGCAGTTTTTGCCTTTTAGCCCAAATTTGACGTGTCAGCGAGGTCTGATTTGTCAAAATTCTGAATCTACGCATACGATTCCCTTAGATGGAAATATTTTCGAAGCTCTATGGCCTTGCCTAAGGCCTTTTCCAGCAAAAAAAAGATGCGCAAATGCCCAGGTGCGCAAAAAAAGGTCGCATTTGTCCCACCCCCAAAATACAAAAAGAAAAACAAAAAAACGACAAAAAAGCTAATGACGATTATTTTTGGTGAGTTGACACTAAAAATAATCGTCGTCAGTACGCCATTAGTCATTAGTCCGTCATTAGTACTAATCGTCATAGTCATTAGTCCGTCATTAGTACAGTCCGGTGGGCCGTATCGTCGTGATTGTGTTAAATTGAGAGATCGCTCTATTTACAGCTTCAATCGGTGTTCTTTCGCTGTGGTCGGAAGAAGTCAATTCAGTACAAGAAGGGTTGAGGGTTGATACTTTGCCATGTACAATGATGATTGTAACGTATAAAATGTTAAATTTCCTTTCTTAACTCACACAAAAAAACTATCTCAACTTAGAAAACGCAACAATTTGCATACAAAACTTGCATATCTATGTTGCTGAAATCGGTGCAAAACCTTTGCGACAATCATTTCATATTTGTGTGACTGTTTATTCGGGTTATTTCGCGTCGATTCGATTGCTATTTTCTATTTTGTGTCGCGTGAAGAGCGCAAAAAAAGGAGAGAGTGATGTCATCAAACGAGAATTCTCAATCGGAAGAGGGAAAAAAGGTTCAAGGTAAGGAATTTTTTCATTTTGGCCACCTAATATTAAGCCTAATACTTCTACTTTTTGTTGTGTTGTGTATTTTGCGCATAATCTACCTTGTTCTAAAGTTTGCCTTTAGGAAAATCACCAGCCTTGTCTCCAACAGTTTCTATCGCATCAGCGGCTCCATCTCCGTTCCTTCCTCCACTTCTGCCCTCTACCACCATTGCTCATCAAGAGGTTGGCCAAAAATTGTTTGATTTTAGATCTTGTAGCTATTGTCTGTATGTTTTGAAATAAGCTTTGTAGAGCAAACGAGTAGAGCAAACGGTTGTGTTGTTGTGTTGTTGTGCTTTAGCATGGTAAACAAGATTGAGTAATAGACGGTTTCTGCTCTTTTATAGGATCTGTTATTAGGTTTTAGGGTACTTCTTTAGTATCCATAACGATTTTGCAAACTTCAACCCACAATTTAAACACTTTTTGGCGATAGATTTGAAAAACTCAACAACTATTAGAAGCTACAAAGCCTAAGCTATCTAATAATGCTTTAAAGTCAAAATTGGACAAGTTTAAGATAACGAAATCAGTGATCAACGAAATCGAAATAACATAAGTTTGTCAAAATCGTTACTAAAGAAGTACCGCTTTTTTGTTGAGTAGATTAAACAGCTGATGTGCTTTAGCAAGCTAAACAAGATTAAGCAATAGACCGTCTCTGCTCTTTTATAACATCTATTATTAGGTTTTAGATGGAGAAGCTTTAAAAATTGAGAACTTACTTTGTTTTCAGGAGCTCCGTCAAATATGGCATTCGACATTGGGCGCCTTTCTCGACGATCCTGCCAACAAACATCTCACCATGAAACTTTCGTAAGCGCTTGCATTAAGACATCTCAATGCTTTTATTTTAGATTTGGTGCTCTGATTGGAGAATCAATGAGTGGAAATTTTCGACAACCGTTACAAAGGTAATTTTTTTTCTGAGACGATAACAAAATTATATATTAGAGAGGCTCGCCTAGAGATTTCGTTGTTGCAAACACAAAGTGACAAAGAAAAGGTTTAATTTTGTCGTGTAAACATTAAAAGCCTTAAGTACACCATTAGTCATTAGTCCGTCATTAGTACTAATCGTCATAGTCATTAGTCCGTCATTAAATTTTAACATTTCATTGATTTAGGAAGACGAAAAGGATGCCGAGATTGTGGCCAAACAAAAAGCGGAACGTCGTCAGCGAAGACGGGAAAAGAAACAGCGGCAAAGAGGTTTATTTTTAAAATATTGGTTTTTATTTAAAAAGTTTAGAATTTTATGAGTTTAGAAAGACGAAAAGAAGCTGACTGAAAAGCTATAGATCTTGAATTTTGATCTTATGTCAGTTGAGCAATTCCTATTTTAGCCTCCGATCGAAACAGTTGGAGATGGAGCGATCTCTCGACGGCCTCAACTATCTCCACTTCAGCTCTTTCCAGCACATCATCTGTTCGAGTAATGAAAAAGACTAAAGGTTTAGCTTTGATAGTGAAACTTAAGGATAGGTTTTTATGATTAGAAGCTATTTTTATTGCACATTAACTAGCTTTGTTAAACTAATGCTTAAATGATAGCTATACATTCTTTTTTTAGACAAGTCACTCTCTCCTCCTCAATCCTCAATGGCCACGACCTGTGAATTGCCCACTGGCGAGCAATATTCGGTGGGTGTTTTAAAGCATAGTTACGTTTGAATACATCTTTTACACTGTTCTAATAAACGTTTCTTTAGGTCCGTTACATGGGAGCTCTTGGTCGAATGGGAGCACTCGGTTTGATTGAAGGATCATCGATTGTGGTCGGGGATTTTAATATATTTTTCTTATCAAAAAGCATTCATCTATTGCTCATCGTACCTTTTAGAAGCTTTTATCAATGTAAACTTGTAATTAGATACCGTAAATACTGTAATAGTACCCCACCCCCCTCGGACAGTCGCGTAGTCGCAAAAGTTTTTTAGTATTTCATTTTTTTCAAAGCGCCTGTACTTTCAAAAAATGTGTCTTTGGTGTCAAAAAATAGCTGAAATTCAGGGCTATTTTTTGATACCTAAGCGCGCATTGTAGCATAAACCAGTGTCGAGAAAAACTCGTTCAAAGCTAGACTACGCAACACTCCGCACCGTCATTATGGGGGTGGGGGTACTATTACAGTATTTACGGTAAGTTAATATTCATTAATAAGTGAGTTTAAACTTTTGAAAGGTGTTATTTCTTGTTTAGAACACAGATCCAACGATACGCGAACCGGGGGTGACGTCGAGTGAGGATCACACACTTAAAGAGGTACGGTACATTTGATGCTATATTGGTAGCCGAATACTATCAACCGGTAAATTTTATACTACATAGCTGGATACTTATAATCATTAAATAAGCATATCATATATTTTTACCTAAATTTGAACTTTAGGTGGCCAGCATTGAGAGGATTTCTCCGTCACAGTCAGCAGATGTATGAGATTTGAGACTTTTAATACGGATAGAATTGTTAGTTTGGTTTTTAAAGCGTTTCGTTGTGTTTTATCCTTTTATGGTTGTATTTTAGGCAACGGACCGCTCTCGATCACCGCCTTGTTCTCCAATGAACGACTTGAAATGAAAGAAAAACTGGTTTTTGTGGTGGAATAAAAGTTTTTTTTATTCAACTAGTCTAGGTCAAAATTTAAGATTGACCCCGTTACCTTTCTGGTTTTTTTTTGAAACGCTTGCATTTCTCTATAAAATAATCGTATCACCGAGAAAAAGAAGTGAAAGTCAATCGTTTCTCTCTTTGTTTTTTCTCTTCGGGAATTTCTTCCCAATCTTTTTTTCTAATTGAAATGTTCATTTCTTTCGCTTCTTTGATCATTTTCCGGGCCATGCTCCAATTTTCACCCCCAAACGACTCGTTTCATTGAAGTAAGAGCGGAAAGAAAAGCGAAACGATAGACTTTATCCGATCAAAGAAAATTTATAGAAGGCTAAGAATGGTGTTTAGAAAAGGGAGACAGTAACTGGGGCAGATAATAAAATTAGAGAAATTGAAAAAGCCAAACTTTGTCTGGAATTAAAATGGAAAACACTTTCAAAATCCAGTTCAAAATCCTATCGCTGACTCATAAGCAAAAGCTTTGCCACTATTTTCATTGTTTCAAAATTCGCAAAAATCTCATCGCCAAAATGTGACTCATTGTTGAAGCATTTGGCTATCAGGTTTGCATATGCAGAAAGCTGGAAAAGTTTTTGTGTGAAAAACTGGGATAAAATGGGGAGGGATGGATTGGCGAGATGTGATGGAAGAAGGGGAAACGAGTTCTGTTAGGAAAAAGGAGATGAGAAGATTAGATGGTTTGACTGTTCTGTTTAGAGGGAAAGAAAGATGCCTGGGGGATCCGGACAGGGAGGAGAGGTCATCGAGGAGCCACATCCCCACCCCTAACCCCCCAACCCCTTGAATCGTGGATACACATTTGGATATTCCGAAAACGTTTCTTCTTCCCAGCTCTTCCCAGTCACTAGACTTCTTTTTGAGTACTTTGTGCTCAAAAATTGAAACGCACAGCTTCTAGTGCACCAAATCATGATATATTTGGAGGTATCATGATGTTTCTTTCCGTCTTTTCTGCTATTCTTTTGTAGAGGATTTCTGTTGTTAAGAGTTGTTCTTTTCGGTGTATGAAACTAGAAACTCACAGCTTCTGGAGCACTGGATTATCTATTTGATCTTGAACATCATCCCGTCTTCCTGCTAATTGTTTTTTTGTACTTTGTGCTTAGAAATTGAAACAGTTTATTCAGTTTATTCAGTTTATTTAGTTTATATTGTTTATATGGTTTATACAGTTTATTCAGTTCATTCATTTTATACAGTTTATTCAGTTCATTCAGTTTATTCAGTTTATTCAGTTTATACAGTTTATTCAGTTCATTAAGTTTATCCAGTTCATTCAGTTCATTCAGTTCATTCCGTTCATCCAGTTTATTCAGTTTATCATTCAGTTTATTCAGTTTATTCAGTTCATTCAGTTAAAAGTTCAGTGCACATTTTGCACACACAACTTTTCACGTGTTAATCCCTCTTCTAATCTTTTAAACTCAAAAAAAAGAGTAGCAGGAATTTTCGATCTATAACCATTTTCGATCTATAAAATTATCGGGGTAGGCTAGTTTTCGCAACTTTTATTTTGCGCAATAGGGTCATTTGCGCAACTGGGTCGTTTGCGCAACACGCCAGAACTTTCTTCTAAATCGGTCAATCTTTATGATTTTGGTTTCATTTTGTTGCACTTATTGAGATCTACAAAATGAGACCAAAATCATAAAGATTGACCCACTTAGAAAAAAAAGTTATAGCGAGTTGCGCAAAAAAAATTGCGGAAATTAGCCTACCCCAAATTATTGCTTCAATTCCATAGCTAGAATACGAATTGGTGAAAAAGTTTTTCATATTCCGGCTCTATTATGTCATTTTCCGGGCATTTCCGTCACAATACGCTTTACGGAACAGGTTTCGTCTTGAAAATGCACAAAATTTGTTCAGCAGGTTGAGAGAATTGTTAGTGTTTTGTTGCTGTTGTTGCTGCTGTTGTTGCTGTCGTTGTTGTTGCTGTTGTTGTTGTTGCTATTGCTGTTGCTGCTGTTTATGGCTGCTGTTGTTGCTGTTGCTGCTGTTGTTGCTGTCGTTGTTGTTGCTGTTGTTGCTGTTGTCGTTTTGTCGTTTTGTGTTTGTCTTTTTGTTGTTTCGTTGTTTTGTGTTTGTTTTTCATCCTTGCCAAGTTATGCAGAGAGCAAAAGAAAGCAATATGCAGAGATTTGTACGCTGAGAGTTGTTGAAACATGAAATTTTTCACTAATTCCCCTTTTTTTTTGTTTAAAAAGAGACTGTTCTCAAGTCTACAAAAGAGATCTGGCGAAAGGAAGAATGAAAAGAAGAGAAGAGAAAAGAAAAGAAGAGGGAAGAGAAAAGGAAAGAATGACCCCGATTAGAAAAGAAAAGAAAAGAGAAAATCCATCTTTTGTCAAAAAAAGGAAAACTGAAACCATTTCGAAAGTGGCTTTCTTTCTTTCTTGTTTGTTGGTGATGATTTGAAACTTTGAAACTTTGAAACAATCTTTCTCTGGGCCTTGTATCATTTATTTGCAAGAGTACCATAAAAAAAGCTTTAATTTTTACAAGAATCAGTGCTTAAATCTAACTACCGTATTTCTTCGAATAGAAGACCGGGTAAAGAGTATCATCGCGTACTCCTGCGTAACAGCCCTTTTTAAAATTTCTTTTCTGCATAAAAGCTTTCAATGAAGTGCTATAGGGCTGGAAAATGACTCAAAAATAGTCATTTTCCAAAATATGAGCTATTTTTGAGCCATTTTCCAGCTCTATAGCACTTGATTGAAAGCTTTTATGCAGAAAAGAAATTTTAAAAAGGGCTGCTACGCAGGAGTACGCGATGATACTCTTTATCCGGTCTTCTATTCGAAGAAATACGGTATAAGTGTAAGTTTCGTAGATTTCTCTTGATTAAAGTATTTTCTAAAGATCTTCTTGAAAAGTGCTTGAAAGTTATCTTTTTTTTTAAAAGTTTAAGTTGATGAGTGCCTTGATTATCTTTGGATTAGTTTAAATCTTTGATTATCTTTGATTATCTTTGGATTAGTTTAAAACAAGACTCAATTTGATATTTCGAATCTCAAAAGACATTGAGATTACGGTAGTTTCTTTAGAAAATTCGTTAAAAGATTAACATTGAGATTACAGTAGTTACAATAGCTTTACAGTAGTTAAGATAGCTTTACAATGGTTACAGTAGCTTTACAATGGTTACAATAGCTTTACAATGGTTACAATAGCTTTACAGTGGTTGCAATAGTTTTGCAGTTGTCACAATGGCTTTACAGTGGTTACAATAGTTTTACAATGGTTACAATAGCTTTACAGTAGTTAAGATAGCTTTACAGTAGTTACAATAGCTTTACAATAGCTTTGCAGTAGTTACAATAGTTTTACAGTAGTTACAGCAGTTACATTAGCTTTACAATAGTTACAATGGCTTTACAGTGGTTAAAATAGCTTTACAGTAGTTACAATAGCTTTACAGTAGTTACAATAGCTTTACAGGTACAATAGCTTTACAGTAGTCAAAGGATCAAATTCTTTGTGTTTCTAAGTCGCTTTTGTCGAAAAAACTTTAAATTAAGCACTTTTCAAATTGGTTGACAAAAGAAAGACTTTAGAAATGCACTTTTGTGTTAATTTAATGTACTATTATTCGTTATTTGCTCTTTCCCAATACTGCAATTCTTTTCCTTTCTAAACTAGACTCTAAACTTACTAGCCTTTCTATAAACTAAACTATAAGCTAAACTTTCTATAATCTAAACTTTCTACTAACTTCCTTCTCACTTTCCCTAAGCATCTACTAAATGAAAAAAAAGGTGTCAATTCATTTCCCACTAATGCTATTTTGGAGAAAGATTTGTAGTGCAAGAGAGATCGAATGGGAGAAAGAATGGACTCGATCCATCCCAGGGTATCGTCTCGAGAAATCAGTCCATCTACACACTCGTTCATCAGGTCAAGGCCCCGCTCAGTCTCTGGATTCACCGGGTATCTCCATCCATCCCGAAGGAGACTGTCTTTTAGTGAATGTCCAGATATCTTTCCTCTATTTCGTCGACTCTTTTGTCTTTCGTGATTTTCTTGAAACCTTTCTAAAGACATTCTCTCATCCACAAAGGAGATGGGACAACTTGGGATTGACATTACCTTGCTGTGATCGACATAGCCATTACCAAGGCTAGCACAGCTATTACCAAGGCTAGCACAGCCATTCCCGAAAACTGTTCTTCTAAGCTCAACAACCAGATCTAGATGTCTTTCTCCTGTTTGTACTGTTGCTCTAATCACTTTATACTGGTTCTCAGCTCTTAGACTTGCTTTAGGCCACTGGCCAGTACCGATCCGTTAAGATTGCCGTTAAGCTAAGTCTATCCTTATCTCGAGTCTAGATTAACCCTAGTTAACCCTAGTTTTTACGTTAATTAACAGCACCGGCATTGCGGAGACTTTAACGATACCAGTCCCGTTCTCCCAAGACCCAGCTCCCAAGACCCAGCTTCTACAAGTTCTGTTCTTTGTTCTTTTCATTATCCAATCTTCTATTGGCTGCAGTTCCTATCCTCATAGGCTACAGTTCCTAAGTCTCACCAAAGTATCAAATTCCGAGTCCACTGTCTAAACTGTCCACACCCCCTCGTTGTTCTCCTCTCTTCTGATATCTCATTCGACCATCTCGATCTCCACCCAATCTCCCCCACTAAAAGACAGCCATTTTGAGGCCGTGCCACCCGGCGATTCTCCTTTTTACCTCTTTCTCCTCTTGATTCCGAAAGCGATCACCCCAAATCTCGATCAGGATTCCTTTTTCGTCTTTGACTTTTTTTCATTACAGATTTTCTATCACTTTTACCATTTTGTACCCCTTTCACGGCTTTTTCCAAATCTATTGATCAACTTTTTCTTTAATTTCAATCATAATTAGAAACTTTCTTTGGTGTTAAAGGTGTTTAAATTGAAATATTTGAGCTAGTTGAGCTAATTGAGCTAACTGAGCTAATTGAGCTAGTTGAGCTAATTGAGCTAACTGAGCTAATTGAGCTAGTTGAGCTAATTGAGCTAGTTGAGCTAGTTGAGCTAGTTGAGCTAACTGAGCTAATTGAGCTAATTGAGCTAATTGAGCTAATTGAGCTAGTTGAGCTAGTTGAGCTAGTTGAGCTAATTGAGCTAACTGAGCTAATTGAGCTAGTTGAGCTAGTTGAGCTAGTTGAGCTAATTGAGCTAACTGAGCTAATTGAGCTAGTTGAGCTAATTGAGCTAGTTGAGCTAGTTGAGCTAGTTGAGCTAGTTGAGCTAATTGAGCTAGTTGAGCTAGTTGAGCTAGTTGAGCTAGTTGAGCTAATTGAGCTAGTTGAGCTAGTTGAGCTAGTTGAGCTAGTTGAGCTAATTGAGCTAGTTGAGCTAGTTGAGCTAGTTGAGCTAGTTGAGCTAATTGAGCTAACTGAGCTAATTGAGCTAGTTGAGCTAACTGAGCTTGCTTGTTTAAAGGCATTGCATTTGAAATCTTCGGTTTAGTCATTAGTCATAGTCATATATTCTTTTAAAACTCTACATTTTAGTCACTAAAGTGGAATATTTTGAAAAGAAAGTGCTTTCTAGAGTCGAAAAGTGCTAATTGTATGTTAAAATTGTTCAAAATAACCAATTTTTTTGTTAAAAATCAAAAAACTAAAGCAGTTTTCGAGCTTCTTTCTCAAGAAAACTTTGAAACTCATTACTATTAAATCAATGATTTTTCGAAAACAAAAAAAAAGAACCGCAACAGAACCGAATTTTAGCAAAAAGAAAAACAAATGAAAAAAAAAAAGAGAACTTTAGCATTATCTCGCGTAATTTGTGTCTTTCTTTATGTAATAATGTAAATAAATCCCTTCTACATCTATAAAGTCATAATAAATCCCTTCTTTTGACAGTCAATTCCATTTTTTTTGTTTGTTTAACAAAGTTGGAATTGTGGCTGACTGGTTAAGTGTCTTTTATCTTAATCGGAAGGTCGAGGGTTCGAACCCCACATGCGACATGGTCACCCCCTTCGGATTTCCTTTCCCTTCGGGTTGAGAGGTTTTCTGGAGGGCAGTCTGGTGGTTGTGGCCCCAGTTCTTTAAAGTGACAAGCCACTCCTTCATCGTCATCTTCCCCTCACCACCAAAAAAGCTATTTAGTTCCCCATTGAGCTTAGGGTTAGGGAGCCGTCTGTCATGACGTGGGTTAAGTTAAGATATAGCCTAGTATTGTGTGTGTCGTTGTATTGTGATTCATATATTTCGTGTATGCGATAAATTCACCACTGGTAGCCCCAGTCGGTATTTTTTTAAATGAAACAAAAAAAGAGAACTTTAGCATTATCTCGCGTAATTTGTGTCTTTCTTTATGTAATAATGTAAATAAATCCCTTCTACATTTATACAGTCAAAATAAATCCCTTCTTTTGACAGTCAATTCCATTTTTTTTTGTTTGTTTAACAAAGTTGGAATTGAAATAAATTGAAATAAATTGAAATAAATTGAAATTTATTAATTTGCCGAGAGTTGTTTGGCTTGAAACTGATATTTTGAAGTTTTCTAAAATGTGTCCTTCTTTCTACCGTAATCTTGTCTTTTTTTATCCAATTTTTTTTTCTATTTCTATGAAGGCTCAGAAGAGGATATTAAAAGATTCAAAAAAATGAATAGATTAGATAAAAATTCGAGGTAAGATTAAGGATAGAAAGAGAAAGGACACATTTTAGAGCTTACAACTTAGTTTTAGAGTTTACTGCTTAGTTTTAGAGTTTACTGCTTAGCTTTAGAGTTTATTGCTTAGCTTTAGAGTTTATTGCTTAGTTTTAGAGTTTACTGCTTAGTTTTAAAGCTTACTGCTTAATTTTAGAGTTTACTGCTTAGTTTTAGAGTTTACTGCTTAGCTTTAGAGTTTACTGCTTAGCTTTAGAGTTTACTGCTTAGCTTTAGAGTTTTTTGCTTAGCTTTAGAGTTTATTGCTTAGTTTTAGAGTTTACTGCTTAGTTTTAAAGCTTACTGCTTAATTTTAGAGCTTACTGCTTAATTTTAAAGCTTACTGCTTAATTTTAGAGCTTACAACTTAGCTTTACAGCTTACAAATGGTACTACTACTTTAGCTACTTAGCTACTAACTACTTTAGCTATTAGTTTAGCTTAAAGTAAAGCTCCAATTCTTCTGACCAATTGCAACAAGTTGAATGTGAGTAGTTGAACGAATAGGACAAATATGGGGGAAAGAGAATCGCCCCTTTATTTCCCCTCCAGTAGTTTTTCTTTCTGTTCTTTAGTTGTGTCATTGAGCCGGACTTTTTCTCAGCTCTAGGATTGAAAGAATACCGGTCATCTCACAAAAAGAAAAGAAACGAGAAAAGAAGCTTTCTACACATAAAAAAAATGAGATTCAGCCATAAGCCTTGGGTTTTCGTTTTTATTTTTCCCAACTTTTTTTATCCTTCGATTTGTACAAGCTTGTCTTTTTTTTATTTTAAAGCAAATTTTGTCAATATTCATTTCATTTAGAACTTGATATTGTATTTTTGTTTTAAAGTTCTTGATGTTTAAAGATGTTTAAAGAGATGTTTAGAGATGTTTAAAGATGATGTTTAAAGGTGTTTAGAGGTGTTTAAAGATGTTTAAAGATGTTTAAAGATGTTTATAGATGTTTAAAGATGATGTTTAAAGATGTTTAAAGGTGTTTAAAGATGTTTAGAGATGTTTAGAGATGTTTAAAGATGATGTTTAAAGGTGTTTAAAGGTGTTTAAAGATGTTTAAAGATGTTCAAAGTTCTTTTTAAAGATGTTTAAAGGTGTTTAAAGATGTATTTCAAAGTTTGTACTAAAGATAAATGCATATTTAATCGTATTTAGTGAGCTTCACTATGGGGAGTCGAACCCGAGAGCTGTGGGCTGTAGACAAGCGTGCTCTTGACTGCGCTATGGGGACAAAACTCCCTGTTGAGCTATAAATGAAGTCAAAACTATAGTAAACTATCGTAGCAGTCATTTTAAACAAATTTTAGCAAAGCAAGCAAGCAAACAATACAATTTAAAAAGTTTCAATTTTGTCAAATAGCTTAAATAATAGCTATTTTTTAAAATTTTGATATTTGTCGAGAAAAATGATGCAATTTTGATTTAAATTTGATATTTAAAAGCTTTTATTGCTCATTATTTTCTTATTTCTTATTTCTGATTTCCCTTTATTCTCATTTTTATTTATTTTACCTTCAAATTCCAAGTAAGAAGCTTGAATTCTAAGTTTTTGCCAAATTTTTGCCATTCAATCCGGTTTAGAGATAATTTTTTATTTAAAACTTGTTCATTCATAAACTCTCTTTTGAACTATTCGTTCATAACAGTTTTCTTTCCGTAAATTGAATAAGAAAGTAAAATGAAAGTAAAGAAAGCAAGATGGAAAAGAAAGATTTCCGAAGAGGGGATCGAACCCTCGACCTTCCCTCTCGACCCCCGCCTTAAAGGCCGTTGCTCTAACCACTGAGCTATTCGTTAGCTGTTTGCCAGCGAAGAAAGAGGGGATATAAGCAAGGAGGGAAACGAAGAAAGACAAGAAAAGCTTAATTTTGAGTGAAAATTTGGAAAATTTTTTTTTGATCGCTTTTAAAGATTTCATGATCAAATTTAGTATTCTGGCGGGATTTTTTTGAATAAATAAGATAGAATAGAATACATTACATAGAATCCTTAATTAATAGAATTCTTTGCTCTTGTCTTCTTGCTAAAATTGAACTTTTATGGTTTAAAAATCTTAATTGTTTCCAATTTTCTATTTCTTATTATTATTATTTTCTTGCTAGCTACTGGAAAATCTTGTTTTCTTTGTAGATTATTATCGTTTTTCAATTCCTTATTCAAATTTACGGGGTAGGCTAATTTCCGGAACTGGGTCTTTTGCGCAACTGGGTCATTTGTGCAACTCCATAACTTTCTTCTAAGTCGACCAATCTTTCTGATTTTGGTTTCATTTTGTAGATCTCAATAAGTGCAACAAAATGACACCAAAATCATAAAGATTGGCCAACTTAGAAGAAAGTTATGGCAAGTTGCGTAAACGACCCAGTTGCGCAAAAGATCCAGTTGCGCAAACGACCCAGTTGCTCAAAAGGCCCAGCTGCGCAAAAGACCCAGTTGCGCAAATGACCCAGTTGCGCAAAAGGCTCAGTTCCGGAAATTAGCCTACCCCAAATTTACTTCATTTTTAAATCATTTCTCAATTTCAAATGGGAAAAGGGTATAATTTTATTAATTCAACTTGATTACTATGAAAACACTTAGAAATTCTACCCTTTTTTCCATAAAATTCTTTCAAGTTTCAACAAAAACCAATAACTTTTCTTAACTTATAACCACAAAAATGTTTTTTTTTATTTTAGAGGCAGCGCAAATGCGCTTACCGGCGCTGCTTTTGGCGGCGACCCTTGCCTCACTTTCGTCTACAATAAATGGCAAGTTATTATGGAAAAATTGGAGTTGGAAGTTGAAAAAAAGCAGATAAACTGAACAAATATAGAATTTAAACCTAATTTAGACCTAATTCAAACCTAACTTTAAATTTTCACAAATTCTAGCATAGAATTCTTAATTAATAGAATCCTTTATTAATAGAATCCTTATTTAATAGGATTCTTAATTAATAGAATCCCTAATTAATAGAATTCTTAATTAATAGAACCCTTGATTAATAGAATCCTTAATTAATAGAATCCTTAATTAATAGAATTCTTAAATCCTCTTTTTCAAGAAGGCTTCAAAAAGCATGTTTCAATTTTGAAAGGATTCGTGAAAGGAAATTCGAGTCAATTTTTTTCCACTTGTCAATTGATTTTTATAAAATAAAGCTTAAATAGAGCTTTAATAAAAGTTGAAAGCTACTTAAATAGAGCTTATCTTATAGAGTTAGGCTTATAGAGTTAAGCTTATAGAGTTAAGCTTATAGAGTTAGGCTTATAGAGTTAAGCTTATAGAGTTAAGCTTATAGAGTTAAGCTTATAGAGTTAAGCTTATAGAGTTAAGCTTATAGAGTTAAGCTTATAGAGTTGAAAGCTACTTATATAGAGCTTATAGAGCTTATCGTTAGCATTTTCTTTTGTCCAAAACTTATATTTCATTTTCAGGAGAAGTGGACCTATGTAAACGACAACCATTCCGCGGTCGATGCCCCTCAAAGTACGTGCTTTTAAAAAAGCTTACCATTAGTTGAAAATAAAGATTTTTAAGGGGAAAAACAAGAAACTTTGAAACATTAGTGCAATAAATAGTTCTAGTAGTTCTAGTAAGTAATGAGCAATAACTAGTGATTAAAAGTGAACCGAAAATGACTTAAAAAGATAAAAATTGATCAATAAACACTTTATTAAGTGAAAATTGATCAATAAACACGTTTTATTTAGAGAAAATTAAACAATAAACACTTTTTATTAAAAGGAAACCATAGATTCATTGATAAATTTGTTATTTTTCAACAAAAAGTAATAAAAAGATATTCTAAAAAAGCATGTTTCAATTTTGCATAAATAACAATCGTTTAAGTTTTGTTAATTTCGTTCCAGTTTTTTTTTTCGTTTAGAAGACTTACAGTCGGCAAAAAAAGTCTTTCACCATTGTTGTATTCTGTTGTTTACTATGGTATAGACGACATTTAATGCCTTCTCCAAATTGATTGTTTTTGAGTCAGACTCACAGTTACTAAAAGTACAAACGGAGAAGGCGTTAAATGTCGTCTATACCATAGTAAACAACAGAATACAACAATGGTGAAAGACTTTTTTTGCCGACTGTATATCTTTTGAATTTTTCAATTCTTACACAAGATAAAATGAATATCTTTTCTAAAATCTTATTCAAATCCTTTCCAGAGATGGCACAAGTCAAATGCGATCCCAATTCGTTCTTCGGTATTACATGAGAGACGGGGAATGTGTCTCGTATCCATACGGTCAGTGATTACTCGAAATTTTAGTTCTTAATCGAATTTTAGCTATTTTATCTCAAAATTTAACGATTTTAATTTAAATTTATATAAAACTTTAATCTGAATACGTTATCGTTCGATCGTTCGATCAATTGAAACACGTTTTAGCCTATTTTGTAGAGCAACTTTGTTATCATTTATAGAAAGTATTTTAGAATAGAAACTATTTTAGAATAGAAAGTATTCTAGAGTAGAAACTATTATAGAATAGAACCTATTTTAGAATAGAACCTATTTTAGAATAGAAAGTATTTTAGAATAGAAACTATTTTAGAATAGAAACTATTCTTTAAAAACTCATGTTTCAATTTTACTTATAGTTGACTAATTTAGCTTTTCTCTGAACGATTTCCCCTTTTTAGCCTTTTTAGCCTTTTTTAAAGCCTGTTTCCTCTTCAGATCATTACCTTTTGAGAGCAGAATATTGTCGGGAATTTTGAGAGAATTTAGAAGAAAGATTTTGATTGAAAGAGAATTGATATATAAAAGAAAAATGAGTCTCGCGAAAGTCAACGATTACCAAAAAGAAAACCATCGACATACACTTGAAATTGAAACATGACTTTTTTCGACTTCAGCTGCTAGTAACAAAAATGCTGAAAACGTCTTCTTTTTCTTTTAGAATTGATATTTCGAAAGAAAAATATAAAAGATATGAGCTGCTATCATTGTTATGATTGTTATCATTGCTGCTATCATTGTTATCATTTATAGAAAGTATTTTAGAGTAAAAACTATTTTTGAAAAAGTTATGTTTCAATTTTATTTATAGTTGACAAATTTTGTTTTTGACAATGGTGGCATTTAATATCTTTCATATTTTTCTTTCGAAATATCAATTCTAAAAGAAAAAGACGACGTTTTCAGCATTTTTGTTACTAGCAGCTGAAGTCGAAAAAAGTCATGTTTCAATTTCAAGTGTATGTCGATGGTTTTCTTTTTGGCAATCGTTGACTTTCGCGAGACTCATTTTTCTTTTATCTATCAATTCTATCTATCAATTCTCTTTCTCAATTCCTTCCAAAATCTTTCTTCTAAATTCTCTCAAAATTCCCCAACAATATTCTGCTCTCAAAAGGTAATGATCTGAAGAGGAAACAGGCTTTAAAAAAAGGCTAAAAAAGGCTAAAAAAGGCTAAAAAGGCTAAAAAAGGGCAAATCCTTCAGAGAAAAGCGAATCCAAATACTAAAATCTAGAAAAAGAAAAGATTTTTCTGATTTCTTTGGAATGTCTCGCTTCTTTTTTGTCGAAGGGAACGGAAGGGAAAACGGGGTCACCGGAGCATCTCCCCTTTGCATTTCCTCTCTTTGTCGAATCTTCTCTTTCCATGGAATGGGTGATTAGGCGTATCCGATCCACCGTCGATCTCCTTTTCAAAAAAAAAGATCTCCCATTTTGAGTCGATCTCAAAAATGATTGTACTATCAGGGGTGGGGAATTAAAGTAAAAATTGGGGTTGGAAAAAATCGGGTTGGAAAAAATCGGGGTTGGAAGAAATCAAATTTCTCAAGCTAAGTCAAGCGAGGGCTAAGGTTTTCGGCTAAATTCAACGCAAGGTTGAAATTCCAGGCTAAGATCAGTTAAAAGCCATTAGCCAGCCATTAACTAGCCATTAGTTAGTCATTTACTAGCCATTAACTAGCCATTAGTTAGCCATTAGCTAGTCATTAACTAGCCATTAACTAGCCATTAGCCAGCCATTAGTTAGCCATTAGCTAGCCATTAGCCAGCTAGCCATTTTTAGCAATCCTGCTAGAAATGGCTTTTAAACTTGAATTTGTTTTATTTGGGTGTTAGATTGAAAATCAAGTACCGTAAATACAATAAAAGTTACCATAAATTCTCTAATAGAAAGCCACCCCTATAATGACGGGCGTAAAGTCGCGTAGTCTAACTTTGAACGTCCTGTTCTCTGCGTTGTTTTATGCTACAGTATGCGCTTTGGTGTCAAATGATAGCCCTTGAAATCTAGTATTTTTTTGGTATCAAAAGTATAGCTGGAAAAAATTTGGGAACTGAGAAAAGAATGATTTTCTAAAAAGAAGTTAGACTACGCGACTGTACGAGAAAATGACGTTCTATTAGAGTATTTATAATAGCGTTTATCCAGAATAGAGACGAATCGACGAATACGAATAAAAGAATTACAAATGATTCGTATACAAACAAAATGTAGAACCAAATGGGAGGAGTGAAAAGAAAAGAAAATGGCACAGACTACGGAGAGTTTCTAGTGACAATCTAGACAGACGATGCACTTTAGAAAACAATAATTTTATGGAAAGTATAAAAGACTATCTTCTTAAACAATTACTTAACTGGCAAAGAAGAAGGCAAAGATCAGAGATATCTCAAATTGAATCCCAAATTGAATCAAGCTAATCATAGACTTGGCTCTGGCCTAGTCTAGTTCTCAGCTCTAGCCTAGTCTAGTTCTCAGCTCTGACCTAGTCTAGTTCTCAGCTCTAGCCTAGTCTAGTTCTCAGCTCTAGCCTAGTCTAGTTCTCAGCTCTGACCTAGTCTAGTTCTCAGCTCTAGCCTAGTCTAGTTCTCAGCTCTAGCCTAGTCTAGTTCTCAGCTCTTGCCTAGTCTAGTCCAATCTGGCTTTAGTCTAGAGTAAGTAATAAAATCGGAAATCAATAAAGGAACAATTTTAAACAAAAAGTATTCAGGACATTGTGCGAATGACGATTCGGAGCCGCGGTTGTTCCGCTACAAAGAGGAATGCGAGGACGCGTGTCTGAGCGCTCCAGGAAACTTGGGAACTCCAAAGGTTTGCTCTTTAAAAACAAAAAAGCTTAATGAAGCAAAAAAGCAAAAAAGCGTCTTTGGAAAGTTATTTTGTTAACAATTAACCTTTTAACTAATTCTTTGCAAACTCTTTTTGTTTAATATTTCATGTTTCAAAAGAGAACTTAATCTGAAAAGTCTTTTAGGAGCAATGCCTTTCTAGTTTGTTTTTGATTAAACGAGATACTTTGTGCTCAAATTTGTAAACGCATCCTTTCTGGTGTACTTAGTTTTTCATTTTCTTAGCGTATTAGTTTAGCAAATCTTTTGCTAATTGGAAAAGTCTTCTGAAATAATGCATGTTTCAAAAGTACAAGGATGAAAAGTTCTCTTAGCTGCTTGATTTTGATTTATCGTATTTTCTCTAATAGTAGTGCACCCCGGTGAGCCGAGTTGATGACTATTTTACGGTTTCCAAGCTTTCGTAGAAGCTCAACACTCGAATCTCCCACTAGATCTCATCGTCAGCTACATTTTCCGACCTCACATCGATAGGTTCTGATAAGCGGTTCTCGAGATTTCGAGCAATTTAGACAAGGCTCAGGGTGCACTACTATTAGAGAAAATACGGTATATTTTCATTAACAGTCCAAATTTTAATAATTTTAACATTTTGCTAATCAAGTTGAGTCAATTTGCAACAATTTTTAACAATTTCTAACAATTTTGAACAATTTCTAACAATTCAGGAGGCTTCCAAAACTTCTAACGATTTCGATTTAACCTATGCCACTCCACCCAATTGGGTTTGTTTCAACGAAATTGTACAATGAAAATAAATATATTAACTTAAACTAATTCATACAACTAATGAATTTTAAGGTCAAATGACTCTGACTGACTGGCGATTAACTTCTCCATTATTAGTTTAATAGGAATAAATTTGAAACAAGCTTTTCTAATATCAATAATTGGGGGTGGGACAAATGCGACCTTTTTTTTTGCTGGAAAAGGCCTTAGGAAAGGTCGTAGAGCTTCAAAAATGTTTTCATAGAAGGGAATCGTATGCGTAGATTCCGAATTTCGACAAATCAGACCTCGCTGACTCGTCAAATTTGGGCTAAAAGGCAAAAACTGCGGAAAAGCGTTAAGTTGCGTAGTTTTTGCCTTTTAGTCCAAACTTGACGTGTCAGCGAGGTCTGATTTGTCAAAATTCGGAATCTACGCATACGATTCCCTTATATGAAAACATTTTTGAGGCTCTACGGCCTTGCCTAAGGCCTTTTCCAGCAAAAAAAGGTGCGCAAATGTCCAGGTGCGCAAAAAAAGGTAGCATTTGTCCCGCCCCCCAATGCTAACACAATTCAATGCTAACACAATTCAATGCTAACATAATTCAATCCTAACACAAAAACTTTTAACAATTTCCTATTTTTTGCATTAAATAAAATCCATTTTACTAACTTTTTTTTAGAAAAATCTTTTCTTTCTTTAATCTTTAATCTAATTTAATCTTTAATCTTTAATTCAAAGGATGAAATTTGTTATTGAATAGTTTTTAGGAAAGCAAAGTGACCGTCGCTGTGTCACAAAGTGAAACAACGGAGAAAACGACGACTGAACGATCGACAACAACAACTTCTTCAACTGCTTCAACTCCATCAACTCCATCAACTCCATCAACAACAGCACCAAGAACTGGTAAGGATTTTAAAGATTGAAATTTGAAATAAAGAATAATCTTACTTGCAAGAAGAAGCTTTAAAATGAAATTAAATTTAAAACTTTAAATTTTAAATAAAGTTCGATGACTTTCTTTAGTATTTGAGTTCGATTAGCTTAAAAATCTTTGAGAAAAAGCTGTATAAAATCTAAGTGAAGATCTGAAAGATCATTTGTTGATCATTTGTTGGAGAAAAATTGTATAAAAACAATTACAGAATGCGAGCGTCGCCGAGCTCACCAAGGCGGGCTTATTCGTGGCGGTTTCGTGCCCGAGTGTACGGAGGATGGAGCTTTTGAGAGAAGACAATGCGAACCAAACTCACACTATTGTTTCTGTGTCGACTCGAGGGTTTGTCTGTTCTTATCGATATCGCTAGGCCACGTCTGTCAGCCGTCCGTCAGCTGTCTGTCAGCTGTCTGTCAGCCGTCTGTCAGCCGTCTGTCAGCTGTCTGTCAGCTGTTCATCTCGAGTTTCCATTTCTTTTTCCTTTCATTCAAAAGATTTCAGTTCAACTTCTAGTCTTCTAGCCTTCTAGCCTTCTAGACTTCTAGTCTTCTAGTCTTCTAGTCTTCTAGCCTTCTAGACTTCTAGACTTCTAGTCTTCTAGAAAACCCTTTGAACACCTTATAAACAAGTACTTAATCGTAAAATTCAGGGAATCGAATTGCCAAACTCGCGAATGCGTGGGAAGCCTGATTGCGAAAGTATAGCCACGGCTGGTGCTTCGAAAACAAACGAATGTGTTGGTGGTGCAGTGCCTGGACCCTGTGTCAACAGTCTCTTAAGGTACTTGAGGATTTGCAAAAATTTGCAAATTACTAGAACTGACTAGATTGGAAAGAAAGAAAGAAAGAAAGAAAGAATCTTTTTAATCGAAAAACAAGCACTTTAAAAATTGCAGATGGTATTATGACGAGACGACGCGCAAATGCAAATCTTTTCACTATTCGGGATGCGGTGGAAATGGGAACAATTATCAGACGGAGATTTCGTGTAACGAACGATGCGCTCCATTGCCGGTTGGATTGCCGAAATGTGAACGGGTGAGTGGAAAGGCGAATCGAGAGAATTTAATTGATTAATTATCAAGATGAAACTCTGGGACCTAGTCAAAATAGCGCCGCCAAAACAGCGCCATTCAAAACAGCGCCATTCAAAACAGCGCCATTCAAAACAGCGCCGTCCAAAACAGCGCCATTCAAAACAGCGCCATTCAAAACAGCGTCGCCAAACGGCGCATTCAAAACAGCGCCATTCAAAACAGCGTCGCCAAAACAGCGCCATTCAAAACAGCGCCATTCAAAACAGCGTCGTTCAAAACAGTGCCATTCAAAACAGCGCCATTCAAAACAGCGTCGCCAAAACAGCGTCATTCAAAACAGCGTCGCCAAAACAGCGTCATTCAAAACAGCGTCGCCAAAACAGCGCCATTCAAAACACGATATTACATTGAATATCTAGATTTAATATCTAGATATTCAATATATCAAATTTCCCCAATCATTTCAGAGATAAATTCTAGGGAGAACCGCTGAAAACGGTGATTGGAGCACCAATCAATTGCGCAAAGAGAGATTGCCCGTCCGGCTACGAATGCTCAGTGGTGCAAGGCAGTAGTGTTTGTTGTCCGCAAAATGATAAAGGAGGTGAGTGAAGTGTTCTTCTAAAAGCTTGAAGTGGAGCTTGAGCTTCTAAAACAACAAGAAAAACTAAACAATTAAAGGTTAAGCAATTTGAAACTTGAGTTTATTTTTCTTTCAGTTGGCGCATTGGATTCGGGTCGACCAGCCGACGTGTGTCAAATGTCGAAAGAGAGGGGACCTTGTGATCACTATGAGCTACGATTCTATTACAATCCAGAGTCGAAGGCGAGTTGCATTTGAGTTATTAAAGCTATCCTGTAGAATAAAGCTGATCAAAGCTTGTCAAAGCTTGTTAAAGCTTGCCAATGCATCTCAAAGCTTGCCAATGCATCTCAAAGCTTGCCAAAGCTTGCCAAAGCTTCTCAAAGCTTGTCAAAGCTTATCAAAGCTCGTCAAAGCTTCTCAAGGCTCGTCAAAGCTTCTCAAGGCTCGTCAAAGCTTCTCAAAGCTTTTCCCAAAGCTGATAGCTTATAATTGGCATTGAAAAGACACCATTAAACTAGATAGCTTTGAAAATTTGCATTTAAAATAGTAAATCAATCAATTTTACGCAATTATGCCACCTTTCCATCTTTTTAAGTCAAATTTTGATTCACTTTCAAGCAAATTCAAAAGTGATTAGATCAAAAAGTTATTAGATGGACAAAATCGGATTACAGTAATCACAAAATGAATAGTAAAAAAATAGTAAAAACTTTTAAACTACTTGAACAATTGATCAATTGTTACTCAACAATAATCAACAATTGATCCTTTAGGAATGCAAATATTTCTTCTACGGTGGTTGCGAGGGAAATGGAAATAATTTCGAGAAAGTCGAAGAATGCGAACACAGATGCAATGTGACAAGGGTAAGTGATTTGGGGAAAATAAAAGCACAGAATAGTTGTAAATTGTTAAATTGTTTTTGTACAATTGTACAATTGAGAAGAAAATGCATCAATTAAACCAGAAAAAGCTTTTTTTAATTTTAAAGTTGATTTGAAAAGTTGATGTTTCAAAATATTTAATTTTAAAGCTTAGAAGGACTAACTAGTATAGTCTAGAATTTTTTTTATGAAAAACCATTTTAGAATTCTAAATCTGATTGACAAGATTTGATTTGATTTTACGATTTGATTGTTTAGATAGATTTAGACTGATTTGATTTTCTTTTCAAAATATCTAGTTTCAAAATTGTTAGCTTAAAGAGTGGACAGTTATGGTTAACGATCGATCATTTTTGGATCGATCGATCTGGTAATGTTACCTTAAAGAGTGTACAGCTATAGTTAATGCTTGATTTGATCATTTTGAATCGAGCGATCTGGTCATGCTCCTTAAAGAGGGTTCAGCTATGGTTAATGCTTGATCTGATCATTTTTGAATAGATCGATCTGGTCATGCTCCTTAAAGAGGGTACAGCTATGGTTAATGATCGATCATTTTGAATCGATCGATCTGGTCATGCTCCTTAAAGAAGGTACAGCTATGGTTAATGCTTGATTTGATCAGTTTTGAATCGATCGATCTGGCCATGCTCCTTAAAGAGGGTACAGCTATAGTTAATGCTCGATCTGATCATTTTTGAATCGATCGATCTGGCCATGCTCCTTAAAGAGGGTACAGCTATGGTTAATGCTTAGCTAGCTATGATCGATCTAATCATTTTTCATCATGAATTTTTAGGCACCCCGTTGGGGCACCGTCTCGCATCCATTGAATCCAAATCAGCCACAAGGAACGATTCCCGGGATTCGCGTTTCTCAGACAACAAGAAGAAATCACCCAACAACAGCCACGACGACCACACAACGCACGACACATACAACAACAACGTCAGAATACAGTTTAAAGCCTAAAAAAATGAAGAAAACTCGTGAAACAGTTTAGTAAAACTGAGTAAAGCTAATTAACAAGTAAAACTAACAAATTTTACTGAGTAAACTCATTTTAATCTTATTAACCTTTTTTTAAAAGCACTAATTAAAATCATTGAGAAGTTGAGTGCTTTTAATGTCTCTTTATGGGCAAAAGCATCACCGCTTTTATTTACAAAGAAAAAGAATGAAAAGACTTTTTGAAAAGCCTTTTTGAACTTCAGATGAGTCAACGATGGCCTTAATTCTTCTTATAGCCAACCGATTAAGCTAAAAATAGAAATATATAATGTAAAAGTGTTTTAAAAATGTAATTATAAAAAAGTATTAAGTAAATTGACAAATTTTAGACTTAATTTGACTCATCTAAAGTTCAAAAAGGCTTTTCAAAAAATCTTTTCATTCTTTTTCTTTTTATATATGTCGTAGCCGATTATGAATGAAATTTTGGTTCTTTTCCAATATCGGGGGAGCGGTCCGAAAATCGGGAGGAGCGAAAGGAAAATCGGGGGAGCAAATTTTGCCCCCTCGAAAAATGCATTTCTGGGACTTTTATTTTAACTGCAACGTTTTTTTTTAATTTTTTGGCAGCGCTACATATGTCCTATATTATCCAAAGTACTGCCATAAAATCCGCGAATTACCCGTTATTCTCACAACCTTTATATTAGATCACAAAAGTGACTTAAATATCTAACACCAAACATACCTCTACCTTCCCTATCGGCCGCCTTCTCTTTTTGCCGAACGCTCCACAATCCCGAACGAACGAATGGCTATCTAAAAATTTATTCATTAATAGTATAATTGATCATAACAACGAAAGAAATGTAAGCGAAGTAACCAAAACAAAAAGAAAAGTAACCAAAATAAAACAAAAGTAACCAAAACAAAACCTTTCCTTTCGCTTTTTTCTTTGGATAATATAGGACATATGTAGTGCTGCCAAAAAATTAAAAAAAAAACGTTGCAGTTAAAATAAAAGTCCCAGAAATGCATTTTTCGAGGGGGCAAAATTTGCTCCCCCGATTTTCCTTTCCGCTCCCCCGATAATCGGACCGCTCCCCCGATATTGGAAAAGAACCGAATTTTTTTGGCAAATCTTTCTAGTAGAGCAACCCTTTAATGTATGAGGACAATATTATATCATCTTGTAGCGAATTCAATTCTGCGTCGATTGGTACCAAATTTGTGAGTTTAGGTTAAAAATTGCCGGCGCTACAACGTTTCATTCAAAATCGGCGGGACTCCCGTAGCCGATTATGAATGAGTGGGTCTAGGAGCGTCAAACCATCAAGTATTTAGTATCATTCAACGCAGAATCATTGATAATTATGTTAAATTTTTCAAAATTAGCAAGATTTGATGAAAAGAAAAAAAAATTAGAGCAAAAAACTGTTTGTTCAAGAGAAAACTTTGAGGCCCCATTATTTGTGTTCTTTTTATCCAATCTTTCTAATTTCAAAAATTTAACATAATTATCAATGATTCTGCGTTGAATGATACTAAATACTTGATGGTTGGACGCTCCTAGACCCACTCATTCATAATCGGCTACGACATATCTATTATACTTTTGTTTAAAACCATTAAATTGATTAATTGAATTAATTAAATTAATTATTTTATTAGAAAGATTATTCTAAAAGATTATTCTAAAAGAAAACTGACTTATATAAGTTTTCTTTATTTTTTTTTCAGCCAAAAACCCAGCACAACTCGTTCCACCACTCCAGCTCCTCTTCAAAACGTTTTCTCGTTGAAGCCACAACAACCGGAACCGGATTTGACTCTTCTCGAGAGTGAGTGAAGAGTTGAGAACTTGTAGAAAACTTGTAGAAACTTGTAGAAATGTAGAAGTAAAATTTCATTGAATTGATAAATTTATATGTTAGCAGTTTTTTTAGAGTTTAAATCTAATAGATTAGAGTATTCAGAAAGTTTCTTTGACTCAATGCCGAATCTCGGACTAGAATCGGTTTCGTAATTCGGTTTCATTTAATGTAAAACATCAGTAAACATCAGCAAACATCAGTAAGCATCAGTAAGCATCTGTAAACATTAGTAAGCATCAGTAAGCATCAGTAAGCATCAGTAAGCATCAGTAAGCATCTGTAAACATCAGTAAACATCAGTAAACATCAGTAAACATTAGTAAACCTTAGTAAACATCAGTAAGCATCAGTAAAAATCAGTTAAACATCAGTTTAACGTAAAAATGCGTAAAGCTTTTAAAGTTACCTGTTTCACATAACTTTTAACGTTTAAAAATTTTTCAGCAGAAAATAATTTCTTTAGTTGACGACGGTGAGAAAATTCTTCCTTTATTCACTGGTTTTTTTGTAGGTTTGAAGAAAAAAAAATACATTGTGACGTCTAAAGCATGAATTAAAATGAAAGCATGTTCATTTTTTTCTAACCGCATGAAAATAGCACATTAATACAAAGATTGTCATTTTTTTTGAGTTGAAGAAGAAAAAAGATAATTGTCGAAAGCCAACCGGCCTTCCCTTTGAATAAACTTGAAACTTTAACTATTTTATTGATTGATCTCAATCTCAAACAATCTCAATCTTATCTCAAATTTGGGAGTAGGCTAATTTCCGCCATTTTATTTGCGCAACTGGGTCCTTTGCGCAACTGGGTCATTTGCGCAACAGGGCGCGCAACTGAGCGCGCAACTGGGCGCAACACGCCATAACTTTCTTCTAAGTTAGCCAATCTTTATGATTTTGGTGTCATTTTGTTACACTTATTGAGATCTACAAAATGAAACCAAAATCATAAAGATTGGCCGACTTAGAAGAAAGTTATGGAGTTGCACAAATGACCCCATTGCCCAAAGCCTACCCCCACATTTGAGGACGTAGTTAAAACAACGCTAATAGAATAAAAACGTTCAACAAACGGCATCAAATTTCTTAACCGGTTTAAGATATTCAGTTAACCGGATTCAGTTAACCGGATTCAGTTAACCGGATTCAGTTAACCGGATTCAGTTAACCGGATTCAGTTAACCGGATTCAGTTAACCGGATTCAGTTAACCGGATTCAGTTAACCGGATTCAGTTAACCGGATTCAGTTAACCGGATTCAGTTAACCGGTCCGGTTACCGGTTCAGTTAACCGGATTCAGTTAACCGGATTCAGTTAACCGGATTCAGTTAACCGGATTCAGTTAACCGGATTCAGTTAACCGGATTCAGTTAACCGGATTCAGTTAACCGGATCGTTAACCGGCAGTTAACCGGCGTTAACCGGATTCAGTTACCGGATTCAGTTAACCAATCGAGTATCACTCGACACATATTTTGAACGCTAATTTTATCTATGAAATATTAACTTTTTAAAAAAACTATTTCACTAAAATATAGCCAAGAATGCAAGGAATTTTTTGATATAAAACTTGAACCGATTTGGTTCTTCGGATTCTAAAAAAAATTTGACGATAAAAGCTCTCAATTTGGGGCTGTTTTAACTCCCTAAATTTGTGATAAGATTGAGATTTGATCTGCAAGAATTAAAGTAATTGGAGTTTAAAAGTTCATTTGTTTGAGAGTTTGTTTGAGTTTTTTGAAACGTTTGCTTGAAGCGTTTGTTTGTAAGTTTGTTTGAAGCGTTTGTTTGAAGATTTGTTTGAAGATTTGTTTGTAAGTTTGTTTGTAAGCTTGTTTGAAGCGTTTGTTTAAAACGTTTGTTTGAAAGTTCTTTGAAACGTTTGTTTGAGACGTTTGCTTGAAGGTTTGTTTGTAAGCTTGTTTGTAAGCTTGTTTGAAGCGTTTGTTTGTAAGTTTGTTTGAAAGTTTGTTTGAGTTTTTTGAAAGCTTGTTTAAAGTCTTTTGAAAGTTTGTTTGAAACGTTTATTTAAAAGTTTGTCTTCAGTTTATTTAAAAGTTTATTTAAAAGTTTGTTTGAAACGTTTGAAACGTTTTTTCTAAAGTTACACGAGTTCCTAAAGCTCGATCTTATCACAAATCTTATTTCAATGCATGCAATGCAATTCACGGAGAATTTTTAAAACAATTACTATAGCACAAGTTTGAAATTTTTAAAATATGCATGAAAGAATAGATTCGAATCGTTATTGAATTGTTTTCAATTAAAAATAAAGCTTTAACTTTTTAGTGAATCGTTGTAAACATCCGCGTGATGCAGGCACATGTCGCGGTCAATTTGTGCGCTGGTTTTTCAACACCGAAAATGCGAATTGCGAGGTTGGGAATCTTCGAATCGCTTTCTGAATATCATAAATGAGATTTTCGAGAGCTGTAAAAATGATTTTCAAGGGCTGAAAAATGATTTTTAATTTGTAATTTTAAATTAAAATCGGCTTATTGTGGTTAAAATTGAAATAAAAAAAAGAAATTTGTTTAAAAAGTAAACTATCGTAAACATTTTGAAGGTGATTTTTCTATTTTTTAATTCTTTAAAATTCTTTTTCATGACCTAATAGTATACTTAAATTTTCAAAAGCTCAAAAATCGATGTTTTTGTTGGATTTTCATTTAGTTTTTGATGTTATTAAGCCTTTTTTTAGTCTAGCTTTTTATTTTTAGCTTGCTTTTTAGCCTAGCTTTATTTAAAGTCTTTAAGATTCTTTTTCATGACCTAATAGTATACCGTATTTTCTCTAATAGTAGTGCACTCTGGCGAGCCGAGTTGGTGACTATTTTACGGTTTCTAAGCTTTCCCAGAAGCTCAACACTCTAATCCCCCACTAGATCTCATCGTCAGCTACATTTTCCGATCCCACATCGATAGGTTCTGATAAGCGGTTCTCGAGATTTCGAGCAATTTAGACGATGACTAGGATGCACTACTATTAGAGAAAATACGGTAGTTATGTTCCAAGCAGGCAGAAAGACAGGCTACAGTCAGCTAGTCAGATCTAGAGTCAGCTCTGACTGACGGACACTCAGGGCTTCCTATAGCACAGGCTCAGCTTGAACAATTGTGACTGGCTTCCTGATTTATACTGCTTGTACCTCTCACTCAATCCCCCACTAGATCTCATCGTCAGCTACATTTTCCGATCCCACATCGATAGGTTCTGATAAGCGGTTCTCGAGATTTCGAGAAATTTAGGCGATGATCAGGGTGCACTACTATTAGAGAAAATACGGTGATCCAAAGGGTAATAGTATACTTAAATTTTCAAAAGCTCAAAAATCGATGTTTTTGTTGGATTTTCATTTAGTTTTTGATATTATTAAGCCTTTTTTTAGTCTAGCTTTTTATTTCTAGCTTTCTTTCTAGTCTAGCTTTATTTAAAATCTTTAAAAGTCTTTAAAAAGTTAAACATTTTGCTTTTGAGTTTGATTTTGAGTTGGCAAATCCGAAAATAATGAAAAATTTCGTTTAAATGGGGCTCTTCTAATAAAGCGCTTCTAATAGAGATCTTCAATTGAAATAAATACAGTAAACTAGTATTATAGTATTTAAATTTCTTTATCTAGGTGTTTACCTATTCGGGTTGTGCCGGAAATGGGAACAATTTCGCGACGAAAGAGGAATGTTCATTGACTTGTTCGAGAAGCGCTCAAACGACGACCACTCCAGCGCCAGAGACAGGTGAAACGTTGAAACATTGAAAATTGATAGAGGGCAACTAGTACAATGAGAAAGTTCATGCTTACTTACCTTTCACCTTTTTCTAAAAAGTAATAAATGTTCTAAAAAGATTATAGAATAGCTTTTAACAGCTTGTGGGAGGTTTTTTTTAAATCTTTTTTCGTTTATTTTTATAATCTATCTAATGCTTAAAGATTAAACCAAAAAAGCAAATAAAAGAAAAAAGTGGAGCTCAACTTTTAAAAGAATTACATGTATTTTTCATTTTTTACGAGAATTTTACTCGTTAACAACCTTTTTAATTAACTTCTGAATATAGTTTTCAGTCAAAAAAAGTTGAAACTTATTGTTTTTAGCGTTAAAACAACTGTTAAACTGTTAAAACTGTTAAAAAAATAAGTTTCAACTTTTGTTAACTGAAAACTATATTCAGAAATTAATTTAAAAGGTTTTTATATGGATATAATAGGTTGATGCATAAATTTCGTTTTTTTCGTACTTCTGTTAAAAAGTAACAAATTCACCAATTAATCTATAGTTCGCTCTATATAAAAAGTGTTTTTTTTGTCCAATTTGCATCTTTTTAAATGAATTTCGGTTCACTTTCAAGCAAATTCGAGAGTGAAAAACGCCTTTTTCGTAAAAATCTATAAAAAACTCTACGGAAAAATTGGCTGAATGAATTTCTCTGAAATATCAAACGTTTTTTTTCTCTATCTTTTATCTATTGACACGAAGATAGGTTTTCTTTAGCTAAGGTGTCTAAACCGCATCATCGAGTTAGCCCTTTTTGACTACCCGACTTCATACTCTCAAGAAAATCCAGGCATCAAATATTTTTAAACCCGTTTTAATGTTATTTTGCAGAAAAATAATTGCTTTTTCTAATGAAATCAACCGTAGTTTAATTGGTGCATTTGTTGGCTTGAAACGGCAGACGAAAAGGAACAAAAACACTTATGCATCAACCTATTAGATACTTTATTCAGGATATGAAATAAAATGAACTAGATTTAAGATTAATACACATTTAATTCATATCCATTTATTCAAAGTTAATCCCACGGTTAGTGCAAGGAAGATCATATCTGTAGATCAGGAAGATCCGCAGATATGGGTAGCACAGATAACGTCAAGGATCCACTAGAGCTTCAAGATCAAGATCATCTACAGATATGGATAGCATAGATAACATCAAGCATCCACTAGAGCTTCAAGTTCAAGATCATCTAAAGATGATTTAAAGGTTTCAAGACTATTGAACTCTCTCAAAACTCTAGGGAGTCGATTCCAAATTCTGGCATTTCTTATTGGAAAAGAGTTGTTATAAAAAGAATTTATTCAAAAAAATTTATTCAAAAATCTAGTTCCACCAGAGATCGCGAATGTCTGTTTGCACGATGTGGATGCCGGTGAATGCAATGGAGTGTTCAAGGTAGGAATTGATAAATAGATTGATGATTTCAATAAACTCATGACAAAACTTGAAACATTGATTTACAGAAGAGAAATTTTGACTCTTTTATTTCTTTTTATCTAATGAAAAAAGGAATTAGAATTTGAAGAGACAATTGTTTGACAATTACAATTGTTTAAAGAGATTTTTTGAAATAAAAACCTAAAATAAAGGATTTAATGTATAAAAAGTATAGTTTCAACATTGTGGAAATGAAAAAATGAAATTAGAATTGCAGTAAAGTGACGAGAAACTGGTGTCAAGTATATGAGGGTTTCTTTGAGAGTAAACTTGAGAGTTTCAAAGAAACTTAGACTTCTTTGACGCTTTTTTAGAGTTCTATTCGAGCATTTATGGTGTATAAAATGGTATTTATGATATTCTTGCACTTTCCCTTACTGTTCATTTCATCAATAATGCTGAATCAATTCCCCCATTTTAGCGTTTCGCTTTTGACGGAGAAACGGGTGAATGCCGATCGTTTACTTATGGAGGATGTGGAGGTGAATTTATAGTATAGAACTATAATATTTATTATACTATTCGGTTGGCGAATTGAAAACTGCGGGACTTTGAACGAAAATTTACTCAACATAAAACGATCAATTCATTCCAAATATTCATTCCATCAATTCCATTATTATTGACGACTTCTACCCATTTTACAGGCATTGCGGATTCCTCTTTCGTAGTAGGATTTTGGTTTGTGTGTGAGACAAGTGTGAGACTCAAAAATCGAGGACTGGAGATGTCCCAGTTTGAGCATTTGAGCACTTTCTTCAAAAGAAACCCATCTTGGTGTCAATAGAAAAGTTGTAGAGAATCAAAAATGAGGCTTATAGCCAAATTTCCAAAAAGATACACTTAGTAGTTTCGCTTAAAATGCAAGTTTTGTTGCAAGTTTTGTGAAAATTCGTAAATTTGGCATTTCTTGAAAACCAGTTTTTGAATCGTTCTGAAAATTTGGATATAAGCTTGATTTTTGATTCTCTACAACTTTTCCATTGATACCAAAATGGGTTTCTTTTGAAGAAAGTGCTCAAACTGTCACATATGACAATAGCCCGCAGTTTTCAATTCACCAACCCAATAACTATAATATTTATATTACAGTATGAATAACTATTATACTTAAAGTAACCCTAACCCTGTTACAGGCAATGGAAATAACTTTGCCACGCTCGAAGATTGCGAAGGGAAATGTCACGGAGTAAAGGTGAGTTTTGAAATTTGTTTCAAAAGATTAGTTTCAAAATTACTGACTAAAGCTCATTGAATAGGTTTTTAATGGCAAGTTTTTGCATAATAAACAGAATTTTGTCTCAATTGTCAATTTTGTCTCAATGGGAATGTTTCTTTTTTTTCTCTTTTGCTTCTTTTGTTTCTTTTGTATTCTATGTACTCAAAAAAAGAAAGAAAGGAGAAGAAAAGTATCAATTTCATTCAAATTTCCAGCTGCCAAAGGGAACTCCATCATCAGTGCACAGTCATGTCACCACTCCATCACCGATTTTCCCATCTGTAAATGTTTGTGATCATCCAGTTGACAAGGGACCATGTGCTGGCAGTTTTCAGGTGATTTCAAGTTTATTTTGTGAAAATTGAAAACCTTGTTTCAAAATTTATCATGTTAATTGAAAGGATTTGAATCGAATACAAAAATCCTATTATAGCTCATTTTAGCGTTATGCTTTTGATCAACTCACCGGTGATTGTCTTCAATTCACGTATGGTGGATGTGGAGGTGAGTGGAATGGTTTTTTTTTATGCAAGAAAACATCTAGTACAGTTGAATACTGTAAGCTTTATAGTACGCTAAAAAGTGCACTAATTTCCAGTGTTTAACAACTAGTGTCTTCTATGCTTTCTAGTGCTCTCTAGTGCTTAACAACTAGTGTCTTCTAGGCTTTCTAGTGCTTTCTAGTGCTTAACAACTAGTGTCTTCTAGGCTTTCTAGTGCTTTCTAGTGCTTAACAACTAGTGTCTTCTAGGTTTTCTAATGCTTTCTAGTGCCTAACAACTAGTGTCTTCTATGCTTTCTAGTGCTTTCTAGTGCTTAACAACTAGTGTCTTCTAGGCTTTCTAGTGCTTTCTAGTGCTTAACAACTAGTGTCTTCTAGGTTTTCTAATGCTTTCTAGTGCTTAACAACTAGTGTATTCTAGGCTTTCTAGTGCTTTCTACTGCTTAACAACTAGTGTTTTCCAGTGCTTTCTAGTGCTCTCTAGTGCTTAACAACTAGTGTATTCTAGGCTTTCTAGTGCTTTCTACTGCTTAACAACTAGTGTTTTCTAGTGCTTTCTAGTGCTTTCTAATGCTTTCTAGTGCTTAACAACTAGTGCTTTCTAGTGCATAGTTTTTGTTGGGATCGAATCTTTGAATTTTCTCACAACCAGTTGGCCATTTGGTTGAACATAACCAGATAATGCTTCTATTAAATGAAAATTTCGTAATCTCTTTGTTCTGATCAAGTATTATAGATAGTTTATTGATGTGAATTTAACAATACCAAAAATAAATTGATGAGAGCGGAATTAAAGCACGGAATTAAAGAGACAAACTTTCTCGAAACATCAAAAACTTTGAAACATTGAAATTTCGGTAATTTAGGTAACGGCAATAATTTTGCTTCGTCGAGCGAGTGCCGAAAAGAGTGTATGAAGAATCAAAAGGTGATCAAGAATGGACAATCAACGGATGTGGTTTGTTTTCTATTAGAAAAAAATGACAAATAAAGCTATCAGCTATTAATAAAGCTAGCAGCTATTAAAGTTAATCTATAGCAAAATTGAAACAAGCTTTAGATGCGTTGCCCTCCACCGCCACATTGTGAATCGGAATGTTCTCTTTCACGGGATTCTCACGGATGTTTCACTTGCAATTGCTTGAAGAAACGACTCCCACCTGGTTCGTTTTACAAAGAAAACAAAGATCATAGCCGGAAACTTCCTAGAGAACAGCTGCTGGCTTTAGAGTTCATCTTCTTTTGTTTTACAAACGAGAATATAGGAAATTGAAAATTTTCAATTTAAAGATCATAGTCGGCAACTTACTAGAGAACAGCTGCTGGCTTTAAACTTCATTTTCTTGAAACTCAACTTGTCAAAAATCAAACAAAAATCAAACAAAAATCCAAACATTACATAGCTCTTGAAAGTTGTAAAAAGCAGATCTTGATAACTTTTTTAAATATTAGAGTTGAACTTGAATTTCAGCACCAGTCCCGCAAAGCACTCATGCCACTTGTTCACCCATCGATCTCCGTTCCTGCGTCGAGCCGTGCATCGTCTTCCAGAATCGAAAAGGTTGCAAGGTAAATAAAAATAAATTTTGGCTAATAATAAATACTGTAGTTATTTGATGAATTTATTTTTTTACTTTATTACTTCCGTATGTAGCTCGTTTTCTGGTTAGAAAATAAAATGAAATCAAGATGAAATATAAAGTTTCAAGTTATTAATAGTGTAAGGCAAAAGGTGAATGTTAATGCCAAAACAATCCGGGGTGGTTCTAATGATCCGAGTTGATTGTTACGCTTTATTACTGAAATAAAGTATATATTATTATTAGCATTATTATTAGCATTATTATATTATTATTATATGGGGGTGGGACAAATGCGACCTTTTTTTGCGCACCTGGACATTTGCGCACCTTTTTTTTGCTGGAAAAGGCCTTAGGCAAGGCCGTAGAGCTTCGAAAATATTTCCATATAAGGGAATCGTATGCGTAGATTCCGAATTTCGACAAATCAGACCTCGCTGACACGTCAAATTTGGGCTAAAAGGCAAAAACTGCAGAAAAGCGTTAAGTTGCGTAGTTTTTGCCTTTTAGCCCAAATTTGACGAGTCAGCGAGGTCTGATTTGTCGAAATTCGGAATCTACGCATACGATTCCCTTCTATGAAAACATTTTTGAAGGCCTTTTCCAGCAAAAAAAGGTGCGCAAATGTCCAGGTGCGCAAAAAAAAGGTAGCATTTGTCCCACCCCCTATTATATTATTACTATTATTATTATATTATTATTATTAGCATTATTATTAGCATTATTATATTATTATTATATTATTACTATTATTAGTATGTTGTTATTGCCTTGAAAAATTGCCTGTTATTGCCTTGAAACAGAACTAAAGTTTTCAATTTCCAGGAATGCGTCTGTCCGTTGCCCGGCGGCCCATCACTCCGCCAACAATCCTCCGCCACGCGACAACCTACACGATTCGCTCAAGTGGGGAAACGTTTTTGAAGAATTCTTAGCTTTTAACTTAAAATCATTAATTTTATATATGAATCTAATTTCCAGCCACCAGCCACTCAATCGGGCGTGCCTCGTCCCCCATCTCCGCCCTCACCACCGGCTCCTCGTTTGAACTCCGTTCGAAACATCAATGTCAGTTTTTATTCGCTAATTTTCTATAGATATCTAAATTCTATATTTAAAAGTCTATATCGAATAGTCTATCCTGTAGTCTATATCGAAATCTATTCAGACTTTCGACAAGCGCCCGCTCGCTCCATTGGAGAACCCGACCGTGGCGCCGACGCGTTTCCCGGTAAGTTGACAGTATGGCTATTAGGCTATTAGAATTGGAATTGAATTGGCTATTAGAACTTGAAAAGTGTACAGATAAAAAGCTAATCAAAAATTATTTCTAAAGAAGATAGCTTAAAAAAAGAATTTTCAAAATGTCTTGGTTTAATTTCAGCCTCGCCTCTTCACATTCACCACCCCACGCCGTCCTGGGCCACAGCCACCACAGGTTTTTTTTTCATAAATTGATCCTGTTTGGCAAAATATTGACAATATTTGGCTCTTTTCCTAAAACGTGATCTTTTGGAAGTTTCATAGGCTTTTGGAAGTTTCATAGACTTTTTTAGGTCAACAAAAATTCAGTCTTTTTCGTGGTCTTTTGAATTTTTGCCTTTTTCCCTGTTTTTTCTTCATCAAGATATTCAAAAACCATAATTTGGTACTGACACTTTCTTTAGTATTGATATTTTTGAGTGTGCTTTAGTTCATTCGAAAGCTCTTGAGATTCGCTATTTTTTGAGCTATAGATCATGTAAATCCGGGAGATCTGAAATAAGTTAGAAGCGTTTGTAGTTTACGTTTGTAGTTTAGTTTGTAGTCTAGTTTATAGTTTAGTTTATAGTTTAGTTTATAGTTTAGTTTGTAGTTTAGTTTGTAGGTTAGTTTGTAGTTTAGTTTGTAGTTTGTAGTGACCCTGTCTAGTTCGAAGTGCTTCTTCGAGATTTGAACTAGTTTGAAGTGCTCCCACAAAACTGACTTTCTTTTGGCCTAATATTTAATTTTGTTTGGACCACGTTTCTAGGAAAGAACCCAATATTTTAAAAAAATTCTTTCACCTTCAGGCGTCAAACATTCCGACGGTGTTGACGGAGAAATGCTTGCAACCAGTGGACGCCGGACCGTGCAGTCATTTTGTCGATCGATACTATTTTGATCCTGAAGATGGACAATGTCATCCGTTCAAGGTTTGCGGTTTGGATTTTATTTTAGGATTTTAGGATTTTAGCTTAGAAGCATATCAATCAAACCCTTTCTGAATTTAGTGCACTAGAAAGGGTTTGTTTGCACTTTCTTGAGCAGAAAGAAGACTTGATAAATCCATTTTTTTTTCAGTATGGAGGGTGTGCAGGCAATCGCAATCACTTCTTCACGTTGCGCGAATGCGAGATTCACTGTGCCCGTTTCAGTCGTAAGTTTTAGTCGTTTTAGTTTTTTACTTTAGTTTTTTTATTGCCAGGTTGATAGAGGAAAATATATTTAATCATTTTAAGTCAACAAAAAGTCAACAAAGCACTCAAATCATTTACTTTTGAATGTGTCATGCTCGATTTTTGCCTTTTTTCAAGCACGATTCTCGTTGCACAATGTAATCGTTACTTTTAAGCTAAACGAAAAGCATTAAGCTTTTCAATTTGTTTAGTTATAAGCAGAAAAGTTAAAGGTTATGAGTAAAAATTAAAGGGAATACTCTCTAATTAGATTATTCTTTCAATTCTGTCTGTTGCGAGTGTGATTTGCATGAAGTTTTGAGTAATTTGAAGAGAAATAAGCCTAAGAAATTGTTCTTTCGCTGAAAAACTCTTCAAAAACATCAATGAAAACGTTTTAACATTTGAAAAATGAACAAAGTTTGAAGCTTTCTTTGAAGCTAAGTTTGAAATTGAAGTTTTTCGAAAAGTTTTCTCGATAAAAGCACTAGTTTTCAAGAAAAAAATCTCACTAGATCATTAAGATTTTGACGTTTTCATTTTCACTTGCAGATTTTGTTGCACCATCATCGCAATCCGAACAAGCAGAATCAATCGGCATTCGAATTCATCCGCCAAGTGCACAAAAGAATGCGCAAGTAAGCAGACGATTGAAATCGAACGAGTTTGAAGAGGATTTGGATCTACCCGTGCCTGATCGAAGACCAATTGCACCACCTGGAACTCAATTCGGTTCAAGGAGTGGCTCGGTGAAGGCACTGGGGACAACAATGACAACAGTGAGGACGACGACGAGACGACCAACCACGAGAATCACAACTCCGGAATATGAGGATAGCTATGAAGAAACGACAACAAGAAGGAGCACTCCGAGAACTACCACAAGGCCGAGAATTGAAGATGAGTACTCTGAGGAGTCTGTTGAGGTGGTGATGACAAAGACGACTCTGAGACCGACAACGACCACGATTTCTGATCAAAAGCTGGAGGAAATGATCAGAAAAGCTGAAAAAGAGGACAAGAGTTTGGAGAAAGAGGAGAAAGAAGAGATTGTTGAGAAAATTGAAACTGGAAAGATGGAAATGAATGGAAATGAAAGCCGGCCAGCAGTGATTGAAAGAGATTCTGAGGAGTTGTCTGAGGAATCGGGAATGGTTCCAGAGATAGGAAATAGCTCTGAGGAAGTGATAGAAGGAAGAGCTTTGAAAAATATGGAGTCTGTTGAGGTTGAGAAGGCTGAAGCTGGAAATGGATCAGCTAAAGCTGAGCCAGCTAAAACTTTTGCCAGCAAACTTCGAGAGTCTGGACAGGTGCTGGATAGATTGACAAAGACTTTTGATAATCGAATTGGAGAAGAGGTGCTGGAGAAATTGAAGCCTACTGAGGAAACGGTTTCAAATGAAATGGAGCTGGAGCAAGTTGAGAAAGATCTTGGAGCTGTTGATGGAGAAAATTTGAAACCAGAGCTGAAATCTGAAGAAGCTGAGCTAGTTGATAGAGTTGAGAACTCGAAATCCGGAGAAATCCAATCAAGTTTAGGACCTGATGGAGTTGAAGAAGGAAAACCAGTGTCAGTGCTGAAATCTGAAGAATCTGAGGCAGTTGAAGAATTGAAACCAGCGCTGAAATCGGCAGAAGTTGGACCAGTTGAACCAATTCGACCAACCGAGCTTGAATTGAAGCCAAAAGATCATTCCAACAGTGATTCTCTAGAAACGGTGGAAGAGGACGACTCGTTGGAGGCTTTGATCCGCAATCCACCGCCGCCACCCACTCCAAAATCTGTTGTGCCTGTCACCGAGATTGAAAGCACTTTTGTTAGCACAAGCACAACGCATGAAACAAGCACTTCAGCCACTGCAACGACGACGCACGAGTTGCGAGAGGTGAAGATTTCCCCCCGAAAGCCTACCACCACTGCACCCGAGCTGCTAGAGATGATGAGAATCGCTTCAGAGGTGATCGATGTGGAGAAACTTGGAAAAGATGATGAGGAGATAAAGGAGTTGACTGAGGAGACAAGTGTTGGCACTACAGTGACAACGGCAACCCCGCCACCGGTTCCCATTCATCCGCAAGCTGCTGGCAGGGAACCTGTCCCGTCAAGACCAGTTGGAATCGGCAGGAATATGGAGAATCTCGATATCGATCATTTGGGTGAGTTTTTGGGGAACAGTTTAGAATCAGTTTTACTTAGCAAAGATGAATTTTAGCCGCTCCACCGCCTGAGGCAAGACCAGTCGCCCCATTAGTTGTGCCACCACCAGTTGCCATTCCAGTGAAACAGGTGAGTCATTAGTTTTGATTGTATATAAGTTTTTTCTGAAGTTATGATAGCAGGCATGATTGTGGGACATTTGATACACGCCATTGCCAATCTAACTTTAAGCTCAAATTTCTTGGTGTTGGGCTGTTCAATTCGAATAGTTTTTTGTACTAATCGATAGAGAATCTTAGCACATCTAATGATACTAATCATTTATAAATTGAACGGCCCAACATCAAGATATTTGAGCTAAAATTTAGATTGGCAATGGTAAAAGGAATGGGACGCGTATCAAATGTCCGATTTTCAGCTTTAGATTATATTTTCTAAAACGTAAAAACGTTCATAGTTGATTTTTATCTAAATATCAAGCTTACTATCAGAAAATTGTTCCGAAAACGAGTTCATTTCATTGCGGATTCGAGTGAAATGTGAATGGCGTCTAACTCGGGTTCATTTTCAATGCTAAATGGAAAATCCAATCGAAAGTTTAAGGGATTTAACTTGATAATTGAAGCGTTTGTGACGTCGCCCCTTTTCTCATTGGCAATCTAACTTTAAGCTCAAATTTCTTGGTGTTCAACTATTCAATTGAAATAGTTTTTGCACGAATCGATAGAGAAAAACTTGGCGCATCTAATGAATACAAGAATCTTGGAATTGGATAGCTCAATACAAAGATATTTGAGCTTAAAGTTGGATTGTCAATTGGAAAAGACCTTTGATCGCCCTTTGCCATTGCCAATCTAACTTTGAGCTCAAATTTCTTGGTGTTGGGCTGTTCAATTCGAATAGTTTTTTGTACCAAACGATAGAGAATCTTGGCACATCTAATGATACTATCAAATGTCCGATTTTCAGCTTTAGATTCTATTTTCTAAAACGTAAAAACGTTCATAATTGATTTTTATCTAAATATCAAGCTTACTATAAGTCTAAATATCAAGCTTACTATCAAAACTGAGATTAACAAGCTATTATAATTTACTGTAACTTCTTTAGGAGCAAATTAATCCGGTGATCGTTTGCGCCATGCCACCAGATGCTGGAATCTGCAAGAACTACGTGCCAAGATGGTTTGTTTCAAATAAAAAAATTATAATTTAAAGATATAATGCTTTAGAATAAGAATTCTCTAAGATAATGATCGCCTGGCCAATAAAATAGAACTATTAGAGTTTTTGAATTGATTAAAATAAATGAAAAATTAGTGAAAATCGACGAAAATCGGCTCTCTTTTTTTTTGCCACTTTTCAATCATTTTTTTCTCATTATTGGTTAATTCTAAAAATATGTGTTATATCTAAAAAAAATACTCATCTTTTCTACTTTAATTTGATACCTAAACACGTAGAAATAAACGTACTGGTGTCGAGATATGAGCGTTTGTTTGAGAGTAAATTTAGACTTTCCGACGGTCCTATAGAGAGCCGTTCTATTAGTTTTTACGGTAAACAAGATGAGATGTTTGCTTACAAGATGAGATTTTAATAAAATATATGTTGTGTTCGATTTTGATTTCCGTCCGATTTAGATTGAACTTATCGCGGACGTCCGATTTAGATTACAGTCTATAGTCCGACGTCCGATTTAGATTCAATCTAAATCTTATATAGATTGAACATTAATACGTCTTATATAGATTGAACAATAATATAAACATGCTTAATATATGTTCTTAAGCGTTTTCTGTAGTTTTCTGCATTTTTCAAAGGTCTGTTACTGTCTTTTTCTGAAAAGAAAACCCAACAAACCCAAGACTCCGATATAGACTGTAATCAATAAACTTTGAAATAAAGACCTTTGAAAAATGCAGAAAACTACAGAAAACGCTTAAGAACATATATTAAGCATGTTTATATTATTGTTCAATCTAGATAAGATTTAGATTGAATCTAAATCGGACGTCCGATATAGACTGTAATCTAAATCAGACGTCCGATATAGACTGTAATCTAAATCGGACGTCCGATATAGACTGTAATCTAAATCAGACGTCCGATATAGACTGTAATCTAAATCAGACGTCCGATATAGACTGTAATCTAAATAGGACGTCCGATATAGACTGTAATCTAAATCAGACGTCCGATATAGACTGTAATCTAAATAGGACGTCCGCGATAAGTTCAATCTAAATCGGACACAACATATACATAAAATACGTTAAATGCGCTTTTGATTTATCGAAAACTTTACTTTATATACTTTTATATCAGTTGACACATTTTTCTTTAAGGTTCTTCAATGCTCAAACGGGTCAATGCGAGCAATTTTCGTATGGATCGTGTGACGGAAATGCGAACAATTTCCTGGATCGGTGAGCGAAAGATTGTTACAAGAATTGTTGCAAGATTAAAAAGCACTTAAAAAGCAGCAGCAATTTATACCATTTTATCGATTAAAAATCGCATCAAAGCCGAAATTTCAGATCGACTTGCGAGATTCGGTGTCTTCCAATGCATCGACCGACGAATATTCTGTCAAAGGTGGGTTTTAGAATCATAATTGAACAAAAAAAAACTAACAGATTGGACAATGCGTTGCATTAAACTTATATTATTTTCACGATTAAAAAGATATTGAGTCTAGATTGTTTCAAATGAAGACATTCAAGGCAAATAGCAAATAGCAAATAGATAAATAGACAAATAGACAAATAGGCTTGTTTTAGAATAGCAAATAGCAGTTTTAGCTTTTTTTGATTTCTAAAGATAAAGCTTTTAATAACATATAAACTTTGAGCAAAGATTTATTATAAAAAAAATGGAAACAATTTTTCTTTTAGGTTCCCGAACGCTGTGCCCGTGACAGAGATGCTGGTTTTAGCGGTGGATACAATGTGAAATGGTTGGTGATGATGAAAAGTGATAAGAAGATAAAAAGATAAGGAGATAAGAAGATAAGAAGATAAGAAGATAAAAAGATAAAAAGATAAAAAGATATTTAGATTCTAGATAAAGAGCTAAATAGGACTTAAAAGTATTTGCTGATTTTCCAAAATCTTACTTATTAATTTATTAACTTTTGACCTTTAATGTTCAAATTTGAAACATTCAAATTTTGAAGGTTAAACGTCAAACGAAATGAACGTTACTATCAAGCTGTTACCATTAAACAAAAAACTAGTTAACCTTTATTTTTCCTCAAACAATTTGCATAATCTTTTAGACTCAAAGTTTACCTTCTTTTTCAGGTATTTCAACTTGAACAATCTCCGATGTGAGCAATTTATCTACCATGGAAAAGGCGGAAATGAGAATCGATTTGAGACGTTGAATGACTGCGAAAATGCTTGCTATGGTGGGAAATTAAGATAAGATTAAGATAAGATTAAGATAAGATTAGGATAAGATTAAGATAAGATTAGGATAAGATTAAGATAAGATTAAGATAAGATTAAGATAAGATTAAGATAAGATAAGATTAAGATAAGATAAGATTAAGATAAAGTCTAAAAACTTATCTATAGAGTGAAATAATAGAAAAGCTACAGAAGTATTTGAGAAAAACGAAATCTCTCTGGTACAAGTGTCGTTCAAAAAAAAAGTCTTTCTTTTAGTCAAAAGCGGTAACAAGAATATTTTCTCGACGACTCGCCTTGTTCAAACGCAGCCACCAACAACGATCACCACCACAACGAGGTTTCTTTTGAAAAGCTTCAGAAAAGTAGAACATGTACATAAGAACATGTACATAAGAACATGTACATGAGAACATGTACATGAGAACATGTACATGAGAACATGTACTTTCTGGCACAAGTGTTGTTTTAAAAAATTTGAAATGTTAGACAGCTTTCTGGCAAATATGTTTCGTCAAAGTTGTTAAGTTTCAAAAAAAAAAGCACAATGAAAACGAAGTGCACAATCTAATTCGATTTGGAAAACAAAATTAACTAATTTATAGATTAACAAATCCACCAACGACAACGACTACTCAAGCAAGCACTCAAAGCTCTATGATGACACCAGTGATCACAACAACAATTCAAACTCAAACACCGCCACAACCAGCTCCAGAGGTAAGCAAAAGATTTTTGGATTTAAGTTTTTATTTGTTTTTAAAAGAAATCGTAAAAAAAAAATTAATGACTCGTAAAAATTGAAAAAGGATGTTTCAAAGTTTATCGATTTCAATGGAAATTTAGACCTTTTAATAACGAAGTGATAGTTAGCTCTTTTAACACGTTCGTGACGATTCGGTCCACCGGTGGGCCACGGCCGTCTGGCCCCTGGGACGATTCGGTCCACCGGTGGACCACGGCCGTCTGGCCCCTGGGACGATTCGGTCCACCGGTGGGCCACGGCCGTCTGGCCCCTGGGACGATTCGGTCCACCGGTGGGCCACGGCCGTCTGGCCCCTGGGACGATTCGGTCCACCGGTGGACCACGGCCGTCTGGCCCCTGGGACGATTCGGTCCACCGGTGGGCCACGGCCGTCTGGCCCCTGGGACGATTCGGTCCACCGGTGGGCCACGGCCGTCTGGCCCCTGGTTCGGTCCACCGGCGGACGAAATTGTGGTCCACCGGACGAAACTCCTCCCGTCCCAGAGACAGACGCTCTACCGACTGCGCTATAGAAGATCTCTATTGCGCGTATCCCAGTAAAACGGGCATAACTTTTTGGGATAAAGTCTTATCAAAAAATGATGTTGATATGAAATGTTCATCTAGCTGAGCTCCATCCAATAAAACAAAAATCCTAAAAAACAGACCATTGGAAAAAGAGAAATGTGGCGTTTTGTCTCACGAGCCAAAAAGAGCCGATATCTTTTTGTGGCAGCAATATTTTCAAAATCTGATTAGAGATTCGGATTCAGCATGAAATTTTACATATAGGAGGTGTATTTCGGGGCGAATAGCTTTGCGAGACACCGAGAGTCCACTGAGTAACGCAGTAACGCAAAAAAAAAACGCCTCGTCGCGAATGTGTTAACACAGAATCTATCTCGATTAGAAAGGCATGAATAAAAATTCTCACACTTTTTAAACTCTTGCAATTTTCGTATACTGTAACTAAGTCGCTTTAGAAGCGTTAAAACAAAATATTAGCTACAGACTGAAGAAAAAGTAGGGTATTTTTGTATGTATTTTTATGTTACAAAGCAATGTTTCTTTTCAAAGCAATGTTTCAATGTAAACAGAATCTAGAAAGCCAATCGTTCATCAAATACGGTTTTGTTTCTTGGATAACAAAAAACCAATTTAGCCAATTTAGCCAACCAATTAAATTTAGCCAGCAATTGTCTCAAAAGAAAGCCAAGAAGTGTTCGACAAGGAATATTCGGCAGAGAATGAGGAAGGTGATGATGAGGAAGATGAGGATGCTCTTTTGCAACCAATTCAACCAATCGGAGATCACATAAAATCTTTTGAAAAGGTGTGTGAATGCGAGAATTCAGCTACTTCAAAACCAAATAGCAGGAAAAGCTTGCGGAAAGCTAATTCAAAGAGTTACTGCCAAACAAAACATTTACAATTAGCTCAATTACAATTAGAATATCTTGAAACAAGCGATTTCTTAATTAGATTCTTAATTAGATTCTTTTTAAAAAAAAGTTTTTTTTTAAAAAAGTTTTTATTTAATAATTTTTTTTTTTTTTTTTTTTTTTTTTTTTTAAAAAAAAAAAAAAATATAGGAGAGGAATATAAATATAAAGAATAATATAATAAAAGGTTAAAATTATAAAAAAAAAAAATTAAGATTCTTAATTAGATTCTTAATTTGGTTCTAATTCGATTCTTAATTAGGTTCTGAATTAGATTCTTAATTAGATTTTAAATAATTCCCATTATTATTGACGACTTCTACCCATTTTACAGGCATTGCGGATTCCTCTTTCGTAGTAGGATTTTGGTTTGTGTGTGAGACAAGTGCGAGACTCAAAAATCGAGGACTGGCGATGTCCCAGTTTGAGCATTTGAGCACTTTCTTCAAAAGAAACCCATTTTGGTGTCAATAGAAAAGTTGTAGAGAATCAAAAATTAGGCTTATAGCCAAATTTCCAAAAAGATACACTTAGTAGTTTCACTTAAAATGCAAGTTTTGGTTGCAAGTTTTGTGAAAATTCGTAAATTTGACATTTCTTGAAAACCAGTTTTTGAATCGTTCTGAAAATTTGGATATAAGCTTGATTTTTGATTCTCTACAACTTTTCCATTGACACCAAAATGGATTTCTTTTGAAGAAAGTGCTCAAACTGTCACATATGACAATAGCCGGCAGTTTTCAATTCACCAATCCAATAGATCCTTAATTAGATTCTTAATTAGATTCTCACTTTTCTCAATTTTTCAATTAGAAAGCCTTAAGTGTGATTTAAACTTTGTATTTCCTAGCTGAAAGCACTAGAAAACAAAACAAACAATTTGTAAAACTTATCTGTAGAAGGAGTTCAGAAAAAATGAGATTTTAGTCTAAAAATCTGTCTAGATACTGTCTAGAAACTAAAATCGAGTTTAATTTGTTTTCAAATTCACGGTTATCCTATTAACTATGTCTTTTAATGAATGAAGGCTATTATAATGATCTTTTAAATCTTTTAAAACAAGAACAGCTCATAATGTTCTTTTAAATAAATTTAAAGTATCGTTTTCTCAAGCTTATGGCATAACTTACACTAATTTCCATTTCATTTTAATATTGACTTTTAAAGGCTTAGGCTGTAGTAATTAATTTCAATTAATATATAATTAATATATAATTAGTATCTGATTAGACAATAAAAACAAAAGCTATGTCATTTAAAACAAAACAAGTCAAAATCCTTGGCACCCGGGGGTCGAACCCGGACCCTGTGAGTTGTAGACGAGGGCGCTCCCAACTGCGCCACAGTGACATCGCGGGCGGCTAGTTAGTAATCAAGATATGAGAAATGCACTCGTCTTTCGACCGCAATAAAGACGCAAAATTCAGATCGACGAGTCGAAATTGACTCCACCAAGCGAATCCCATTCCGAAGACGGTCTCCAATCAGCTCTTCCCGGTGCTCAACCCCATCCACCAGCAGTTCGCGGCGACAAAACAGTCATCGTCGAGCAACCAAATCCAATGTAAGTATTTGCCAAAAGACAAATTCTAGTTGCTTAGACAAATTCTAGTTTTTCTAAAATTCTAGTTTCTATTTTTCTTTTTAGCTCAAAACTCGATCAACCCGAGTACAAAGCCGAGCCGATTACTCCACAAAACGGGCCATTGGTGAGTGGAAAAGAAGCAATGGAGAATGGAGAATTGTTTATGAGAAATTCTTGTATCTAGCATGCTTTTATCTAAAAATGGTTAAGATTATGGTCAGTTATGGTCAGTTCTTTTAGAATCCAAATGCTAATCAACCAATCGTCGGACCAAGCCCACCCGAAAGTCTCAACTATCAAACAGGGCAAAGGGTTCGTTTCAAAAGCAAACATTTTAAAGCAGAGGCAGATAACCGTCCGGCAGATAGCCTAGCGGCTACGAGCCCTGTATCCTAATCGAGAGTTAAGGGTTCGATCCCGCTCGCTGGATTCATTTTCTTTTTCTAATACATATGTTTTTTTCTTCATTTACGGCATTGCTTGTGTCTTTTTTGTATCAAATTCTTGTAAATAGATTGATTTCTAGCAACGATATTGCACTCTTTTTACTCGCAATTCATTTTCAGTCAAAAGCTCACGGAGTCAACAATTTCCAAGATCTGAACGCGATTGATATCGAAAAATTCGATATGATTGATGATGGAGAGACGGTTGAAGGTGGACAGGTGGTTGTGCCGGCTTGTCCGAATGGATTGCAAGCTCATCGGTGAGTGAAGTGGCTGAAGATCGGGGCTATTACTGGATATAAAATTCGATGCTACTCAATTGGATTTAAATCTTGAAAACTAGATCTAAATCACTACAAAATTAGCTTTAAATCTTGAGATTTAGATCTAAATGGCTAGAAAACTAGAGCTAAATCTTGAAAATTAGATCTAAATCTTGCTGTTAATAGTTGAGAAAATTAAAACTTGACAATTTTTCTTCTAAAGCCTTGTAAACTTTATGTCAGCGCAACGAGATTGCAATTTTTATTCAAACTTTGATAACACTTAACTGTAAACTTTACTTTTTAAGCGCTAACGAAGTTTTGTAGGGTCGAATGTTAGCCTAGGTTAGCTCAGCCTACTAGATTTGATCATCTTATCTAGTAACTGTAAACGTTACTTTTTAAGCTCTTGTCTTGTCTTGATTGTCTTGATTGTCTTGTCTTGTCTTGTCTTGTCTTTTCTTGTCTTGTCTTGATTGCCTTGTCTTGATTGTCTTGTCTTGTCTTGTCTTGTCTTGCCTTGTCTTGTCTTGTCTTGATTGCCTTGATTGTCTTGTCTTTTCTTATCTTGTCTTGAACGAAGAGATCTTGTCTTGAAAAATTGTCAAGTTTTATTTTTCTCAACTATTAACAGCAAGATTTAGATCTAATTTTCAAGCTTTAGCTCTAGTTTTCTAGCCATTTAGATCTAAATCTCAAGATTTAAAGCTACTTTTGTAGCCGTTTAGATCTAGTTTTCAAGATTTAAATCCAAATGACTCATTTAAAACTTTCAGTTACGTTGATGGTCGACCCGTGCAATGCTTGCCCGGTCGCAATCAATGCCCAGCTGATTCGGTGTGCTATTTCAACGGATTGGACTATTTCTGTTGCCCAAATGTTGACGATCCATATGATAAGGTGAATGAAAAGCTTTTAACTTTAACAAACTTTAACAAAATTTAACTTAAACCTTTGAAAATCCAATGATTCCAATCCAATTAATCCAAAAATTCAGTAGCTGATAAAAAGTACAATCCGATCAATATGATCAAGCTTTCAAAATCCAGCTTTCAAAGTCAAGCTTTCAAAATGAAGCTTTCAAAATCCAGCTTTCAAAATGAAACTTTCAAAATGAAGCTTTCAGAAAGAAGCTTTCAAGATCCAGCTTTCAGAAAGAAGCTTTCAAAATCCAGCTTTCAAAATGAAGCTTTCAAAATCAAGCTTTCAAAATCCAGCTTTCAAAATCAAGCTTTCAAAAAGAAGCTTTCCTTTTTAACAAGCAAATATTTGTTTTTATTAACTTAAAGCTAAGCTTTAGCATATCTTTGGTGGCTACGATGGTGAAGAGACGAAACAAGGGTACAAAGTGTTTGGACCGTTGAAGATTCGACGATTGAGAGACGCGCCAATGAGGGCAAAGAGGTTGGGAATGAAAGAAAAGAGGAAAAATAATAGATGATGTTTCAAAATAATAGAAATACAATAATACAAATAATAGAAACAATATGTTTCAAAATGCTCAAAAAGCTTTATTATGCGTCTAGTCACGATTGTTTTTCTCGTCCAAGCTTAAAAGGCTTTAAAACGTTTTCAGCTGTTGAAAAAAAAAAGCTAAAACTGTTTTAATGTGTCTTGAATATGCAATATTATTGAAATATTCAGAAAGAATTTTTAGATCTTTACGTCAAAAGCGTCAAACCTCTTTCAGCATGGATGACATCGTGATGCCGTTGCGATTTGATGGTTTGTAGATTTCAAAACAGAAACTCATTGCTAATAAAAGAAACAATTAGCTTTTAGATTACTAAAATAAAACTTTTCAATTACCAATTACCATAAATACTGTACCCCACCCCCCTCGTACAGTCGTGTAGTCACAAAAATTTTTTAGTATTTCATTTTTTCAAAGCGCCCGTACTTTCAAAAAATGCGTCTTTGGTATCAAAAAATAGCTGAGATTCAGGGCTATTTTTTGATACCTAAACGATCAACGAGCATGACGGTGCGGAGTGTTGCGTAGTCTAGCTTTGAACGAGTTTTTCTCGACACTGGTTTATGCTAGAATGCGCGTTTAGGTATCAAAAAATAGCCCTGAATTTCAGTTATTTTTTTGATACCTAAACGCGCATTGTAGCATAAACCAGTGTCGAGAAAAACTCGTTCAAAGCTAGACTACACAACGCTCCGCACCGTCATTATGGGGGTGCGGTACTATTACAGTATTTACGGTAAGCAATAATGAAAAAAAGGCTTGGATTTAAGCTAAGCTCAAAAGAAAAAAAACCTAGTTTCAAAGTTGACAAATTTAGATGAGAAAAATGAAACTTTATTTTTTATCCAGTTTCTTTATTAGCTGAAAATTTTTCAAGCAATTTTTAACCAGACAAAAGACTAAATCTTGCAGTATTTTAATAAGAAGTTGTGATTTTCTGCAAATAGCTGTGAAATCGCTGAAATTCAGGGCTATTTTTTGATACCAAAGACGCATTTTTTGGAAGTACGGGCGCTTTGAAAAAAATGAAAAACTAAAAAACGACTATAATTTTTGCGACTACGCGACTGTACGAGCGCGGTGGGGTACTATTACAGTATTTACGGTAATTTACCATCTAATTTGCTTAGTTTACTTACCGTAAACACTGTAATAGTACCCCACCCGCCTCGTACAGTCGCGTAGTCGCAAAAGTTTTAGTCGTTTTTTAGTTTTTCATTTTTTTCAAAGCGCCCGTACTTTCAAAAAATGCGTCTTTGGTATCAAAAAATAACTGAAATTCAGGGCTATTTTTTGATACCTAAACGAGCATTGTAACATAAACCAGTGTCGAGAAAAACTCGTTCAAAGCTAGACTACGCAACACTCCGCACCGTCATTATGAGGCTGGGGTACTATTACAGTATTTACGGTAGCTTTTAGATTATTAAAACTAAACCAAAACTAAACCAAAACTAAACTAAAACAACTAAAATAAAGTCAATTATTTTTTTGGAATGAAATTTGTGTAAAGTTTAATGATTATAGGCTTTTTTTAACTTATAAAAAGAAAAAAATCATTAGAAAATTATTTTCGAGTTGTTTGTTCTCCAGTTGTTTGTTTTCCAATTGATCCAACTAGTTTGAAATTTCCAGCCGAGAAACCCCATCAATTCGCGAGCGCCTCAGCGGTGATGAGCTCGAATCGACGAAGGAAACAACCAAGGTAGATTTTTTTGAATGAAAAGTAACCAGTAAATCTTAATAAGCTCCATTTTCAAGTAATCTAATTTTCAAGTAACTAAAAACTTTACAGCATCGTCGCTTTGTCATTGATTTAGTCGAAACTTTCAAAATCCTCCGTAGTAAACAGATTAGCCCTTTGTTTATAGACTTTTTCAAATTTAAACCGCGGTCAGGGCCCAGAAGTGGCTCATTCCTTTTGCAAATTCCCTTTGTTTCCAATGCCTCTTTATCAAATTCATTTCCCGTTAGAGCCGCTAGATTATGGAACTTGCTCCCAAACGACATACGAGAAATTCAGTCGCTTTTCATATTCAAGAAACGTATCGATGCTTTAGATCTAGTGGCTCTTTGCCGTAAGTAATTGGCTTATTGATTTCAGTATGTATTGTATGATTAAGTATCACTGTGCATTTCTCTATGATTTCTTTCACTTTATCGTTTGAATAAAGTATTATTATATTATTTAATCAAAATCAAAAATAATTCCAGAAACTGGGCATCAAAAGATTTCAACACCGGCGACATCTCTATTTGTATTCAACCATTGCAAAGAGGCGACTGTCACGCACAGCATGTTCGGTTCGTTATTGAAAATATTGAAATTAATCAAAAAAATCAGAATTTCTTAGTTTAAGTTATTAATCTAAGTGATTGAACGAGTAAAAATATAGGTTAATGGCTAAGGTTAACGGTAGGTTCAATATTTAAATTCATTCAATATTTAGCCTTTTGTAAACTCGTAATTTTATCGATAAGCTTTCATTGTTTTATTTTATATTTTTAGATATTTCTATGATCGAAATACGGACAGTTGTCGTCTTTTTTATTACTCGGGATGCAAGGGAAATGCAAACAATTTCGGATCGCTTGAAGATTGCGAAAGATTGTGTGTGATCGCGCAGAGATCGGTTTGTTTGGTGTAATTTAGAATAAAATGACTTTCAAAAGATTGACAAATGAAAGTGTTATGAGCGAATGAATGATATCAAGGTTTTTGATGTATTTTTTTTTAGACTCAAGAACAACCAGTTGATTCAAGACCTGTTCCACCGGGTCAATGCCCAGGCGACGTACTTCCATTGGGCGGTAAAGCGCCCGTTCTCTGCGGAAACAATACTGATTCAATTGGTGAGTTTTTTTAATTTAAAAATTGATTTAAATGGTTGATGATCTATTTGAAATAAAGCTATTTAGAAATAAAGCTAAACTTTATTTGAGAACTTTCAGAGAACTTCGGGGTAGGCTAGTTTCCGGAACTGCGCAACTGAGTCGTTTGCGCAACTCGCCATAACTTTCTTCTAAGTAGACCAATCTTTATGTTTTTGGTTTCATTTTGTAGGTCTCAATAAGTACAACAAAATGACACCAAAATCAGAAAGATCAACTTGGAAAAAAAATTATAGCGAGTTGCGCAAATTAGCCTACCCCCAAATTTGAGGATGTAGTTAAAATCGCACCATAACTTTCTTCTAAATCGGTCAATCTTTCTGATTTTGGTTTCATTTTGTAGCACTTATTGAGATCTACAAAATGAAACCCAAATCATAAAGATTGGTCGACTCAGAAGAAAGTTATGGCGAGTTGCGAGTGCCTACCCCAGAACTTCCGATCATTTCAGATTGCCCATCCGGGTACTATTGCCGAACTGGTCCACCAAATGTTTGTTGTCCGGGACAGGATCCAACGAGATTTTGTAAGTAATCTTACTTATTAAAGTTTTTGTGTTCGTTCACTTCAAAAACTCGAGTCTCAGTAGAGATTTAGAATTGATTTTTGACAATTTGAAATTAAGCCTTACGGTTTCGCTTTTCAAATCAGATTTGAAAAATCTTTTACGGTTTTTGAGTAAAATTGGACAAACTGGCGGTTAAATTAAAGGTTGGCAAGCTTCAAAAATGAATTTTCCATATCATTTTCTCAGAATATATTGGGAGAAAATGAAAAAAAGCGGAAAAATTCCAAGAGTCCGAAGCGATATTCAACTCTAAACTTTAAACTAAACTAAAATAAACTAAAATAAACTAAACTCTTAAATCTCTTGAAACGAAACTCTTTTAGTGATGCAAGGTGTGTTGAATAGCCCCTCAAAGATTCGTTTCGAGCCGGAATCCGTCGAGGAATTGTTGGATCGAACACCGACCACCGAGGCCACAACAACGAGTTCGTTTTCAACGTTTAGTTTAGAATTTCAAGTTTCAAATTCAAGTTTCAAATTCAAATTTCAACTTAGAATGAGCAGCACTAATTGAAACAATAATGCGAAGATTTAGAAAAAAAAGTAAATCGATTTGATTTACCGGTAATTATTCGAATAGAAGCCTTCTATTTTTCAAAAAATAATGATAAATAATAATGATTTGATCTGTCTTCGCACTTAGCGCAGATCACAACCCGCTTCCACATTTACTGAGGCAGAAGTGTAGTTGTCGTAGCCGATGATACTCCGATGGCCGGGCTGGGGCGCTCGGAGGGGAGCCCATGGGAGTCGAACCCACGACTAACCCGCGCCGACGTTGCTCAACTTGGCAGATCGGACGGGGTCGACCACAGACCCTTCCCTTTCTGGGCCCCTCTATTTTTCAAACAATTTTAGAAATCAAAAAAATTTTTGCGATAGATTCTTGGTAAAAACGTTTTTTACGAAAGGGTTTTCCTTGCGAGTAATGCGTTTTTTAAAACGCACACTTGGAAAATCATTACCGCATTCTTAGAAAAAATTATTGCAAAAAAAATGGCGGGGTAGGCTAATTTCCGAAATATTTTTCGCAACTTGCCATAACTTTCTTCTAAATCGGCCAATCTTTATGATTTTGGTTTCATTTTGTAGATCTCAATAAGTACAACAAAATGACACCAAAATCAGAAAGATCAACTTAGAAGAAAGTGATGGCGAGTTGCGCAAATTAGCCTACCCCCAAATTTGAGGATGTAGTTAAAATCGCACCATAACTTTCTTCTAAATCGGTCAATCTTTCTGATTTTGGTTTCATTTTGTAGCACTTATTGAGATCTACAAAATGAAACCCAAATCATAAAGATTGGTCGACTCAGAAGAAAGTTATGGCGAGTTGCGAGTGCCTACCCCAGAACTTCCGATCATTTCAGATTGCCCATCCGGGTACGATTGACCGATTTAGAAGAAAGTTATGGCAAGTTGCGAAAAATATTTCGGAAATTAGCTACCCCGCCATTTTTTTGCAATAATTTTTACCCAGATGGGTAAGAAAGTTATGGCGTGTTGCGCAAATGACCTAGTTGCGCAAAAAAAGTTCCGGAAATTAGCCTACCCCAAAATGGCGCAAAAACCACGAGCCCTGCATTATATACGACACTTTTTAAAGATACTCAGCCGTTTAACTGATTGGGTGAGAAATTCCCATTCAGTGTAAAGATATTGAATTTACTCGTCGCGTAAAGAGGACTAGTGATCGTATTGATTAAGGGAAAATTTGAAACATCAAATTTTTTATGAAACTCAAATTACAATTGCTAAGCTGATTGATTGATTTTCTATTATATAAAGATCGAAAAATTTTTCTAGCCACCAAGAAAACGTATCTGGAAGTGCCGGAATTTATTTGCCCGGATGCATCGGATCCATTGTATGGAAAAAACGGACGACCATTGTTGTGTGGAGCGGGATTTGACGGGGTGAAGATGTGTCCGAGAGGATTTTATTGTGCAATTGATTCAGGACGGGGAAGTGAGTTAAAGAAAACAAAAAGAAAGCAAAAAGAAAGCAAAAGCATCGTCTCTAAGTTCATAATGGAAGTGATAAATGAGGAATCTTTAGCCCGTCTCTGTTGTTCACTCCTTGGGTCGGCCTCGAGGATTCCCAATGAACAGGTGAGATTAGAAGTTATTTTGCTAGATGTTAGCCTAAAGAAACTAATCAAATTATCACAAAAGAGGTCTAGATTTAGTTGAAAATTTAAATAATAAATTGGAGCCATTAAAACATCAAAATCTAGATCGATGCCCCGCATTTCCCTCGTCGACGCAATCAAGCTGAGGTGAGGAAAGGACTATATGTCGCAGCCGCTCGTGATTTTCAGCTGCTAGTGATTCAATCATCATCGGCTAGCCGCTAGTGATTCAATCACCAACCGCTAGCCGCTAGTGATGCAATCATTGCGCAATCATTCAATCACCAACGGCTAGCCGCTAGTGATTTAATTACCAACGGCTAGTCGATGCTGATTGAAAGTTTTTTGACGAAACATTTGACCGAATCACTAGCGGCTAGCCGTTGGTGATTCAATCACTAGCGGCTGAAAATCACGAGCGGCTGCGACATATATAAACATTAAAAGCCAAAAGCTAAAAGCTCCCTTTAGTTAAAAGAAATCACAAGCCAACTGAAAGATTAAATCCAAATTTTACATTTTCAGGTAATGGATCGAGGCAGTTTACCAGACGATTTCACCCCACAAAGTCATCAACAATCAGCTGAAGAGGGTTCGTTTGATATTGATAAATCATAATATTGATTAAATCATAATATTGATTAAATCAATATTATGATTTAATCAATTATTTTCCTTTAAACTCTAATTACTTACTGTTTTTACTTACTTATTTCTATCACTGTTTTACAGAAGAAACCTTTTCGATCACCGACGATCACCGATCACCGATCGCTCCAAACGACGAAGAAAAAGAGGGACAAGCTGTCGGTATGTGTTTTGGAGAAAGCTAAAGCTGATGTGATGGATTTTAGTTAAAATCTATGTTAAATCTACTTTATTGCACAGTAGGATAAGACGAAAAAAGGAAAAAGGAAAAAGTGTAAAGAAATGAGGAATAAATAATGAATTTCTCTGAAATAGAAAGAAAAAGAAAGAAGAGAGGGAAATTTGGGGATGATGAAAAGGAATTGAAATTGAATTTGAACATTGAAATTGAATTTGAACATTGAAATTGAATTTGAACATTGAAATTGAATTTGAATCTGTTCATTTAAATCTGTTGGATTTAAACATTATTGCACAGTAAAGTATCGGTTTTTTAATCATTTTCTAGAGATTTCATTGAAGTTTAACTTAGAATAGCCTATTAGTATTCAATTTTGTCGAAAAGGCTTTCTTGCATTTTACTGTGGAAGGAAATCCTTTTTTTTAATCAACGATAACTTTATCGTAAATAAAGAATCATAAACAATAAAATAACTGGGAAAATTGATGAAACTAAATCTTAAACAAGCGATAAAAACAATGTAAATAAAAAATCTGATTTAGATCTGATTTAGATCTGATTTGGATCTGATTTGGATCTGATTTGGATCTGATTTGGATCTGATTTGGATCTGATTTGAATCCATTTGAATCCATTTGAATCCATTTGAATTCATTTGAATTCATTTGAATCCATTTGAATCCATTTGAATCCATTTGAATCCATTTGAATCCATTTGAATCCATTTGAATCCATTTGAATTCATTTGAATTCATTTGAATCCATTTGAATCCATTTGAATCCATTTGAATCCGATTTGGATTTCAATCTTATTTAGAGTAATTGTAATCGTTTTCATCTCAGGCTTGGCACCAACCCAACAACGAGAAGCTGAGTACGATCAGCATGAGGAAGATGGTGATGGAGAAGTCGAATATGAGGAGAGCGGGGAATCTGATGGTGAGAGGATTGTAGATACAATAATAAACAAATGAATGGCAAAGAATTCTGGAATCGAGAGGAATTGAACCTGCTTACCGAGCAGCTCTAACATTGAGCTAGGGCCTTTTTTTCTCAAGAGGAAATAGGAAAGACAAGGAAGAGAAAGAAAGGATGAAAGGAAGAGAGAAAGGAAGGAAGAAAGAAAGGAAGGAAGGAAGGAAGGAAGAAAGAAAGGAAGGAAGGAAGGAAGGAAGAAAGAAAGGAAGGAAGAAAGAAAGGAAGAGAAAGAATAAGACAAGACAAAACTAGAGTCCACATCAATCAACTTGAATTTCTTTAGGATTCGCTAAGTTGCAAATGAAGCCACCAGGTCCGGTCAATCAGCACCAGCAATTTGGTGAGTTTTTTTACGAAAAGATATTGATTTAAAATTGTTCAAATTGAACAAAACCTTACAAAATCAAATCTTAATACTTTTCCCTTTTTTCCAAATAAATTTGCATACAGCTTATCGATAAAGTTATCGATAAAGTAAATAGATAAATTCAAAAGATCTTTCAAAAGAATTATTAATTCTTGTGTCTTTTCTCTTGGTTCTTGAACTTGTCTTGAACTTTGATCCATTCAAATTTACAAATCTGAAATCTAAACTGGGATCTTTACGATTAATGGCAGGGGTAGCGGAGGTCAATTTTTTGCTCAACTTACAGCCCGTTTTTCTCTAGTTTTTTGTTAATAACTTTTGATGTAACAAATAGTTTCTGAAAGTTGACATTTTAAGCTATCGAAATCTTATTAAAATTTTCTAATTTGACAAGTTTAAGGTGCTTAAAAATGAGCTGCAAATTGGCGAAAAAAATTGGCCTCATAATGATCACTACCGCCGCGCCGTTAACCGTAAAGATCCCTAAACTTTACAGTATAAGTTATATATGAAAATATAGTAAAAGATGATGTAAAAGGTGATTTAAAAGATAATTAAAAGAAGGATTTAAAAGAAGGATTTAAAAGATTTAAAAGATTTAAAAGATTTAAATGATTTAAATGATTTAAATTAAAAGATTTAAATGATTTAAAAGCTTTAAATGATTTAAAAGCTTTAAAGGATTTAAAACATTTAAAACATTTAAAAGTTTTAAAACATTTAAAACATTTAAAAGTTTTCAAACATTTAAAAGCTAAGTCAATTTGAATCACAAATATTTAAGCTAAAGTTCCTGAAAGTGATGGTGGAGTGAATATCGAGATCGAGAATGAGACAAATGTTGATGGAGAGACGCCAGCTATTCTAAAAGAATCACAAGATTTGTCAATTTGTCAAATGACACCATCAATTGGTTTGTGGCTTTTAAAGTTTTTTCAAATTTTCAGCTTTCAAAATAAAACAAAAAAAAAAGTCTAATATCTAAATCAATTTCGACGATTAACAAGACGAGCTTTGAACTTTTTACTCTTAAACTTGAAACTTAAATTTTTAAATCAAAAACTTTAAATCAAAAACTTTCTAAATCTTTCTAAATCTAGTTTAGATTAGATTAGATTCGAATTTTTATATTCCAAATTCTTTTAAATTTCGAATTTTAGTCTTTTCCTTAAATAGATAGAATAGATAGATAGAAAAAAAATGAATAGATTAAAAAAAAGTTTACATAATAATACTTTATTCAAACGATAAAGTGAAAGAAATCATAGAGAAATGCACAGTGATACTTAATCATACAATACATACTGAAATCAATAAGCCAATTACTTACGGCAAAGAGCCACTAGATCTAAAGCATCGATACGTTTCTTGAATATGAAAAGCGACTGAATTTCTCGTATGTCGTTTGGGAGCAAGTTCCATAATCTAGCGGCTCTAACGGGAAATGAATTTGATAAAGAGGCATTGGAAGCAAAGGGAATTTGCAAAAGGAATGAGCCACTTCTGGGCCCTGACCGCGGTTTAAATTTGAAAAAGTCTATAAACAAAGGGCTAATCTGTTTACAACGGAGGATTTTGAAAGTTTCGACTAAATCAATGACAAAGCGGCGATGCTGTAAAGTTTTTAGTTCAAAAAAAGCAAGTTGATAAAAGTTTCTAAAAGATACGGTTGAGCAATAGATTAATGCTTTTTGATTGAATTATTATAAAGATCAATCATAAAGATGATCTTTTCTAGCTTTAACTTTAGGCTTTTACCCCCAAATGGAGACTTTAATCGGTCGGGGATTTACTTCATAAAGATTGTCTAATGTCTAATGATCTACACTATAACTTAGCTAATTATCTAGGCTATAAGTTATCTAATTATCCATGCTATAAGTTATGTAATGATCTACGCTATAACTTAGCTAATTATCTACGCTAAAAGCTACCATAAATACTGTAATAGTACCCCACCCCCATAATGACGGTGCGGAGTGCTGTGTAGTCTAGCTTTGAACGAGTTTTTCTCGACACTGGTTTATGCTAGAATGCGCGTTTAGGTATCAAAAAATAGCGCTGAATTTCAGCTATTTTTTGATACCAAAGACGCATTTTTTAAAAGTACGGGCGCTTTGAAAAAAATGAAATACTAAAAAACGACTAAAACTTTTGCGACTACACGACTGTACGAGGGGCGGGGTACTATTACAGTATTTACGGTATCTAATTACAAGTTTACATTGATAAAAGCTTCTAAAAGACACGGTGAGCAATAGATGAATGCTTTTTGATTGAAAGCTTGAATTATAAAGATTTGGACTTTTTACTTTTTAGTCTTAAACTTGAAACTTAAATGTTTAAATCAAAAACTTTCTAAATTTTTAGATTAGATTAGATTCGATTCGATTCGATTATTAATTAGATTAATCTTTACATTCAAATTTCTCTTTAATTTCTTATTTTAGTCTTTTCCTTAAAAGTTGAATAGATAAAATACTAGTTTTCTTTTTTTAAACTTTCAAATTTTTATTGAAGTTTATTGTTATTTTGATTAAATTCTATTGAATAATGATAATGAAATTGTATGATAATCAAATAATGAAATGACAATGAATTTTATGATAATCAAATTGATAAACAAGGGAATTGTTGAATTTTAGGACGAGTTTGTCGAGAGGATGAACCATCACCGAGAACGAATCTTCACTATTTCTACTCGGAAAAGGATAAACGGTAAAAATCAAATCCCAAAAGCAAATCCCAAAATCAAATCCAAAAAATTAAAGTCCTAAACGCAAAGATGAGCATCAAATAAGGTTATTTTTAGTCTCACAAAGAGATTCGGGTACTTTGTGCTCAGAAAACGTAAACACATTCTTTCTGGTTCACTGGATTCTTCGTTTTCTCACGATGACAGTTGTTTTTTTGGGAAAAATTAAGAAATTAGTGCACTAGAAAGGTGTTTCATTTATAGGAAATGGAAATGGAGAAAGTTGAAATGTTTAGATATTTTTAAGTAAATAAAGTGAATGTTTGGATAGTTTTAACCCATTCGAAACTTCTGCAGCGAATAATCGCTGCAGCAAAAACTCAGGAACGGACCGCTGCAGCGATTATTCGCTGCAGCGCTAATTAAGCTATTTTCATTCAATTATTTGGTTTTTTTTGCTGTTTTTCAGCATTGCATGTATATTCCAATTGTAGCAGATCTACAAATTACGTGGGCAAAGAAGATGTTTTATATTTACCCGGAATCAATGCAGTCTCTGGTTTTGCATTGAAATGTTCCATAATAGCTCTAATCTTATAAAGCCGATCTCCCGCAGGATCCAGTTCATTATCACAAAAACGCAGGTTTCGAAGAATAGATTCAAATTTTGCTCTTGACATAATGTGGGACATGTGGGAAAATCCTCCTAATCCAGGCCTGCTACTCCAGTAGTCACGAATCCTCGGTAATTTGACGATTCCCATCTGAAGATACAGAGCCAGGAAGAGCTTGCATCGAAATCCTGCCAGTTTTTTTTTCCTTTTTCCATGTTTATTAGATTCGCCTACTAACATGTTGATTAATTTGTCGTCGATAAAATAAGAATAATATAGGGTCTTGAAAAGTACTGAAGTCAAATCCAAATCGTTCTTCATCAAAAATAAATTGTGTAGGAGACTCTCTTGCATCTTTCCAACCATAAATAAACTGCTTCGGAGTCAAAAATGTCAAAAAAGGGCTTGGTCCGTAGACGAAAAAAAAGAAAAAGGGGTTTCGAATGGGTTAAGTAAATCAAGTAAGTTTTTAGATAGTTTTAAAGTAAATAAAGTAAATGTTTGAATAGTTTTAAGTAAATGAAGTGAATGTTTGAAAGTTTAAGTAAATCAAGCAAATGTTTGGATAGTTTTAAGTAAATAAAGTAAATGAAGTAAATGAAGTAAATATTTCGATAGTTGATTTTGTATAATGCGGTCAATATTATCAGGAAAGCAAGATAAACAAAAAGAATTAATTGTTGAAACAAAGCAAATCAAGCATTAGAATCGAAAAGTTCATTTCACAATCGAGGGGAGTCCCTGTGAAATAACCGACTTGAACTGCAGTGGCATAGACACGGAAGATATGACACGGAAGATACTCAGACATAGCTCAGAGCGCACTACTATTAGAGAAAAGACGGTAGTTATGTTCCAAGCAGGCAGAAAGACAGGCTACAGTCAGCTAGTCCGATCTAGAGTCAGCTCTGATTGTCGGGCACCCAGGGCTTCCTATAGGCCAGGCTCAGCTTGAACAATCGTGACTGGCTTCCTGATTTATACTGCTTGTAACTCTCACTAATCCCCCACTAGATCTCATCATCAGCTACATTTTCCGACCCCACATCGATAGGTTCTGATAAGCGGTTCTCGAGATTTCGAGGAATTTAGGCAAGGCTCAGGGTGCACTACTATTAGAGCAAATACGGTATATTATAAACTTTAAAACTAGAAAAACTATATTAACTTTATCTTTCTTTCAAAACAAAAAAACTAGATCTTAATTATTCTTTTTTTCAGCTGTAAACTCTATTTCTACAAAGGTTGCGGCGGAAATGCGAATCGATTCGAGAAAAAAGCGCAATGCGAGGCGGCTTGTGTTCGTTTATAAAAAAAAAACGTTCTCTTTAAATCACTTTTTTTTCACCTCTTCCTTTTTGTGATCTTTTCTGAATATCACGAGTATTTTTCTGCCCCTTTTACTCATCCAAATATTATCAAAGAATCAAATGAAATAATCAAATTAAACAATCAAATGAAACAATCAAATGAAACATCAAATCAAGCATTCCCTTTCAACTTTCAACTTCCTTTCCACCACAACTTTCTTTGTCTTTCTTTAGCCATAAGCTTATTATAAGGCTTTTTTGTAGAATTTAATTTCGGATTTAACTTCTAATTTAATTTCTAATATTATTATTTAATAATATTATCTAATATTATTATCTAATATTATTATTTAATATTATTATCTAATTAACATTCTTTAGTTTTACAGGTGCTAAAAAAGAAATCCCTTAAACAAAAACTAATAATATAATAATTTCCTTTAAAAATTTCTTTCGAACGATTGCTCATTTTATGATTTTACGTTTTTTTTTCTCATTTTTACAATATTTTCCTTTTCTTTGAGTGATTCTTGTAATAATTGTGCAATAAATGTTACAAATGAAAAGCTTTCCATCAAATACGATCAAAATAAAACACCAAAAACACGAGATAAAAGCTCAGAAAAATAGCTTAGCTTTTAATTTAGCTTTTATTGGACTGGATGTCAAAAATGTACTAGATGTTCCCCATTTTAAATGAAATTTTTGAAAAAAGAGAAAGTAGCTCAAATGGTGATCAATTTTTCATTTAACTTGAGTCATGTAATCAAAAAAATCTTTAAAAAAGTGAAAAAGTGTGATGCCAAGAAACAGCCGCCAAAAAAACAACTTTAACACCAAGACCACCACCACTTCAACTTTTTCAGAAATTTGAGTTGAAATGGGGAACTTTTTGAACATTCTGTACAATCATTTATATGTATGGCTTCTGTTAAAAGAGTGGGATTTATGTCTATTAGACTTGTCATTAGATGGATCGAATCCGGATTTCATTGGATCGGATTGTCTCGGATGATGATCCGATTCGAGTCGATTCGATCCGATCCGATAAAGCCTCTATCGGATTGAATCCGATTTGATCCGATTAGATTCGAGCCGTTTCGATTCGATCCGATAAAAGCCTCTATTGGATTGAATCCGATTTGATCCGATAGCTCTAACGGATTGAATCCGATTTGATCCGATAGCTCTAACGGATTGAATCCGATTCGATCCGATCCGATCCGATAAAAGCCTCTCTCGGATCGATCCGAACCGATCGACCAGAAATTTGATTGAATAACAAATAACATACCTATGCAACGAATTTTGAGCGAACCGGCTTGATAAGTTCAAAATAAACCGATAGACTGGAATTGAACAGACTCCAAACTCGCCTAGTGAAATAGCTGTTTGTTTAAATTGTGCAATGCTTCATTAACACGTAAAATTGTATATATTCAAATCATAGCACACCAACAACGACAATGGCAACAAGAAAAGAAAGAGAGAACAGAGTACAACAGGCTTCGGCTAGCTAGTTTTGAAACAAGGAATTAATCCAATAAATTTATCAAGACCTAGGATTCAAGTTGTACAAGCATCACCAGCTTTACATTCCGTCTTAAATAGATATCTGTTGGTGGTGTGGGGAGTAGCCAATCTAGGAAGCATTAGGATTGGAGGTGGCGGGAGAACTCCACCCATCAAGGCTATAGCTGGTAGAGGTGACCTTTCAGGGGAAGAATAACTACTGGAGGCCAATCTAGGAAGCATTAGGATTCGAGGTTTTCCTAGAGATGAAGAACTTAGTGATGGACTGTATTGACTACTTGATAGAGAGGAATAAGATGCGTAGCTGTTCTCTGGTTGATATGGTGGGATTGAGATCAAACGGATGAGCTGTCCAGCCGGGATTTGCGAGTACTGGACTTGGGGACGAGTGTAGCTTCTAGAGCTGGCTGATTGATAGCCGGCATTTCCAGTGCTGGGAAACGGAGAGATCCATCCGTAATCGAGTGGAGCCTAAAAGTTAAGCTCTTACTTGATATGATATAGTTAATATCATATCTATGGTTAATATCATATCGCTTATCTATGGTCCACGTGAGTTGGGTTCGACGCCCGTAGTCCAACTTAACTTTAAGTTTTTCAATTTTTAATTTTAAATTGCACAACTATATTGTATTTTAAGACATTATAAAAAAGATTTCAGTTTTTTTGACCCAAAGACGGCTGAGAAAAAGATTGTAAAGACAGACAGACACTTCTCTTTTAGATAGATAGATGCTCTTTCCATTCAGAGTTTACTGCTTTGAAACAAAGACAGACAGACACTTTTCTTTTAGATAGATAGATGCTCTTTGCATTCAGAGTTTACTCTTTTAAAACGCAGCCTCTTTAAATCAATCCTTACAAGGGAACGCTCAGAACCGACAGTGACATTTCGACTTTGACTTTGACTTTGACACAAAGGTAAATCGATTACGAGAATTCCAAAACTGTAATCCGTTTTTTGCTGACGGGCCTCGGTGTTCGAGATAAAAGCGTGCAAAGTTTTGAGCAATTTCGCCAAACTGCCACCTTGCCTATAAAAGGGAAGAAAGAGCCACGACGACGGGAAGAAAGAGCAGCGGCGGTCTACTGGATAGTGCGTTAGTCTACAAAACCTTTGACACTTTTGCTCGCGGGTTCAATTCCGCTACCTGAGCAGCGCTCTGAACTCTGAACGTTACCTTGTTAGTAAATTGAAGTCTATTTCTAAGCTCTCATGATATCATTTCCAATTTTAAATCTAAATTTAACAATTTCTGAAAAAAAAAATTATTATTTCCAACTTACCAAATCTCTAAAATGACGCATCTGTTGTGTAGGCGCTTCGCCGAAAGCTGAAAGGGCTATTTTTGGGAGTGGGACAAACGCGACCTTTTTTTTGCGCACCCGGACATTTGCGCACCTTTTTTTCCGCACCTTGCCAATTAGCGCACCTTTTTTCGCGTTTTAAGCTCAAAAAAGCTCTAAAAAGCTAATATTAACCAATTTCTATTCCAAATGTTGTTTTTCTAGGTAATTTGAGGGTGTCAAATTCAAATTTTGACATAACAGAGCGTGTGGAACCAATTTGAAAGACAAAACGGCTAGATCAAATTACAGAAAATTGCCGATTTTTCTCTTTGTAGAACTCCGTCCGTTTGTTTCTCGGCTTTTCTCACAACTGCTGCCCTTTCATGTGCTATTTTCATTGATCGATACAATAATATTTATGGAAAATAATACTGCATTAAAGAGAACGAATAAAGATCTTTACATCACAATTTTAACTGAGGACTTGAAGTCAGTTGTACGATAAAAACCACAAAGTACCAACCCTGTAATACTGGGTAAATAAGAGAAGATATTTACATCTCAATACACAATATGCGCAAATGTCCGGGTGCGCAAAAAAAAGGTCGCATTTGTCCCACTCCCCTATTTTTGAGACAAAAATAGATAAATTTTAAAGAGGATTTAGTTAAATGAACCCCCAAAAACATGGCTCTTTTCACTTGGCTGTTAAAGGCTAAATTCTGTTTAGTGCCTTCGCTCATTTTTAATTTGCACTCAATTCTGTCGAATTTTTTCTCCAAGCTAGCCAAAATTTAATTTTTTCGGGATCTTCTCGTGAATTTCCTTCTTCCTCGCATGCTTTCGTCGCGCTTTTCAATTTCTTGTGTCACAAAGAGCGCATTTCGCAAGTTTAACGATAAATCATGAAATTTGTCGGTTTCTTTCAACAAACGTCATCTTGGAGACTCTGGAGAAGCTCCGAAACATTGTTTCTTGTCAATTTTATTGTTTGGCTTGCAAAGCGAGCGCTGGTTGGCTTATAAACAACCTTTCTATAAGCCGCGGCTTCTATTAGATAACCAGGATTTTTTATTTTGCCTCAAAAAAACCGTATTTTGCCTCTTTACGCACTGAATTTTTAAGCAAAATTTGATCATTTATAGTGTTTTGTGCTTTGGGTATTAGGCTTTTACTTTGCTATTTTTGTTGTTTTCTTTTAATGTGTTCTTTTATTCTCTTTTTATTTACTTATTTTAGGTAATGGCGCATCAAGAAAATGGACCAGCTCGTAAACGAAAGGCTTATGATGTCTCTTTCAAATTGGACGTCGTTGCTTTTGCCAAAAAGAGCTTCAACAGGAAACCGGATGTCATTTTGGAATCGACGAAAAGCTCGTTCGTGAATTTACAAAAAACGGAAATTCGAAAATTCCAAAGCGCCAGGAATGAACGTCTATCTGAAATGGGTTGCTTGGAAAAGCATTTCCAACGAAACAATAGTGAAATCGTTCCAAGTTTGAGGTATTACTTATGCGACTGATGGATCGGAAAACCATTTGATTCATTTCAGTGATGGTGGCAAAATTCCTACACGCACGGCTAAACTCTCGCAAGCAAGAGCTGACAAGCAACTTGAGGTGTTAATGGAAGAGATTGTCCTAAACGAGGATGTCAACAACTTGGACTACGACCCTGGTGGAAGGATTTTGTCGTGCGAAAAGGAACACGACAATGAAGTCTCTTCTATTTCTTCGCTTGGCTCGTTCGATTTGAGCTCGGACAATGACGTGGATGAAAACATTTTGGGAAAGGAAAATTTGATCAGGACATCAAGGAGAATGATTTGGACGTCAAGGAGAATGATTTGGACGTCAAGGAGAATGATTTGGACGCCAAGGAGAATGATTTGGACGTCAAGGAGGATAATGCTTTCGACGTCAAGGAGAATGATTTGGACGTCAAGGAGAATAATGATTTCGACGTCAAGGAGAATGATTTCGACGTCAAGGAGAATGATTTGGATGAATCGTTGGATGTCAATTTTTGAATTTTCAAATACCTAGGTATCTAAACGCCGTTTTTATGTTGTTACTTGTTTGTTTTATGTTAATAAAGCCAAATTGCAGTACCTTCTCCTCCACCTCCACCCTCAGCACCACCTAAAAGTTTGTGTAGTCAAAAAGAATGAGAAATAAATCATTGGTCCAGCAAAAAATTGCTGAAATTACTTAAATTACTTACATTACTTACCTCCACTCCCAGTGCCCACAAAATCTTCACTGCCAGCTTCACTTGGACCTAGGGGTTGGTCAGGAGCTCTCATTCCTTTTTGTCCCATCCCGGGCAATGGGGCCAAAGTTGGCAAGAGACATTTCGCGAGGCATAGACAGCTTTGAGTTGAAACGAATAGTGATGAGATTATCAGAACTTTTCTCATTGTATGAAAAGAAAGGTTTTATATGAATGTGAAATCAAGTACAGCAGAGAGAATTTGTAAATAGCCGACAACAAATACAAATCTCTACAAATATACAAATGCGAAAGTGCTGTTATTTGGCTCATTTCCACCCGAATGGAAAGCATAATAATGTTTATTGGATTTGGATGAAAAAAGCAGAGAAAACGGGAAACAATGGGAAATGTGAATGAATGGAGAGATTCGTGGGACTGGTTTGAGCCAAAATTTGGTACAAAGTGCAAATGTTTTACCACAAATAAAACCGTTAATAATCTAGAGCACTCATTTCTCTCTTGGTATGAATTGTCAGTGAGTCGACAGAATCGCTTTTGTCCAGAAGCGGAGCATCCAGACTTTCCTCTCATCAACGAAAAGTCAAAGAGTCAATTCGTCGACTTGGAGGAAAACATCGAATTCTGGAGTGATTACTTTACAAGAAATGGGCACTATTTTAAATAAAAATTTTTTAAATGCAAGAGTTTTTTGAAGAAAACACAAGGAAGTTTAAGCACTTTTTGTTTAAACAAAACACAGGCTTAGGCTTAGGCTTAGGCTTAGGCTTAGCCCCCCTAAGCCTAAGCCTAACCCTGAGCCAAACACTTTTAATTTTTTTCTGAGTCACATTCTCCTTCTTTCTGTCTTAAATGTTGCGATAAACAAATTCTCTTTTCAAGCTCTAGATTCTAGACAGATTTTCCGGCATTCATTTTACCTAGGATTAAGAAAATAAGAAGATAATTAGTCGGATTTTTCTCTCTGAAAAGCTCGATTTTTTTTTCAATCATTCTTTTCAAAAAAAAAAAATTCTCATTAAGCTTTTTGTTTGAGAAATTTCTTGAGGGATGTGAAAAATTAGGTCTAAATTTTGCGCCTTAAAGATTAGTTCTTTCAAATCTTTTAGATTTTTGTATTTAGATTTTCTGAGATCACGTTGAATATTTTGAAAATTTAGCTTTTTTCGAAATTTAACTGGAGTAGCTTCAGCTTTACTTGTCTGGTTCTGGGGAATTTCGTTTCCAAATAGTTTTTTTTGTCTTTACTTGTTTAGTTTACTTTTTAAATCTTTGTTGTTGGTATCTTTGTTTACTGCTTTGAAACAAAGCCAAACTTTTAAATCTTTGTTGTTGCGTGAGTTCAAGAGTAATGATTTTAGATTAAACAAGAGTAAACATGCATTAGTCAGAACTTGGAAATGTGGTCTACATTTGAAATTTCAACTTTTAAATTTGAATTTGAAATTTGAAATACCGGATTCTCTCTAATAGTAGTGCACCCTGAGCGTCGCCTAAATTCCTCGAAATCTCGAGAACCGCTTATCAGAACCTATCGATGTGGGGTCGGAAAATGTAGCTGACGATGAGATCTAGTTGAGGGATTAGAGTGTTGAGATTCTGGGAAAAATTGGAAACAGTAAGATAGGCATCAACTCGGCTCGCCGGGGTGCACTACTATTAGAGAGAATACGGTAATCGTTGTTTCCAATTTTCGGTACTTGTCGATTATACCCCCACAAGGCTTATTGACCAACTAAATTAGCATCAAACTGCTGTTGAGTGAGAGGTACAATCAGTATAAATCAGGAAGCCAGTCCGATCGTTCAAGCTGAGCCAGGCCTATAGGAAGCCCTGAGTGTCCGTCAGTCAGAGCTGACTCTAGATCTGGCGAGCTGACTGTAGCCTGTCTTTCTGCCTGCTTGAAACATAACTATCGAATTCTGTCTAATAGTAGTGCACTTTGAGCCTCGCCTAAATTCCTCGAAATCTCGAGAACCGCTTATCAGAACCTCTCGATGTGGGATCGGAAAATGTAGCTGACGATGAGATCTAGTGGGGGATTAGAGTGTTGAGCTTCTGGGAAAAATTGGAAACCGTAAAATAGTCATCAACCCGGCTCGGTGGGGTGCACTACTATTAGAGAAAATACGGTATTAACTTTGTTTTTCTCTTAATTTCTGGTTTGATCTTTATCTTTGTTTTACTTTTTAATTATTTTTAGATTTTTTAAACTTCAAATTTTACTGTACATTTAGTTTTAAGCGCTATTTTCAAATCTAAAACATTAAAGCTAAATACTAGTAATTCTATTAAAAAAATACTATCATTTTTCTCGTTTTTGTGTGACACACGTTTTTGTTTTTGTGTTTTGTGTGTTTTTTCTCGTTTTTTGTGTGTTTAAGTAATTTTTTATTTAATAAAAATAAAAAATGAAAAAAATAAAGTAATGTCAGCTCTGATATTTTAGTTACTATTGTTATTATTGAATGATTTGTCTATTCTTATGCAAATGTGTCCTCCCCTGTGCTTATCCCTTTTATTGCCGAGAAGGGGCGATCCTTGGGATTGCCTAGGAGGACAAGTGGACTCAAATGGGACAAGAGACTCTCATTTGGAGTCCCCCCTTCCCCTTACACTTATTTGTAATCTATTCGTCTTATTATACTACTGTAAATCAAGATACATATCTTCCGGGTCTATGCAACTGCAGTAAAGGTCGGTCATTTCACAGGGACTCCCCTCTAATACGTTGGAGGAGTTGAGTTGGGCTGTCGGGGTGTTAGAGATGGCGGGATATCAAAAGGGATCCACTCTCTTTAACTTAACCCAAACTCTAGTCCACATCCGTTTACACTGTAAATAGGCTGAACCTTTTTGACTTTATTAGCAATTCTTTGAAACATTCAATTTCCAAATTTGATTCATCTCAATTTCGAGCCATTCAACGAACGTTTAGATTCGTAATCTAAATAAAAAACAAATAGATATAGGTTTTCTGAAACAGGAAACGATCAATCGCGCCAATCACTCCCTTTCATCGTTTTCTCTTGTACCAAAAAAAAAGAAAAATCGTCGAATCTTATCAATTTCGCCCCCAGGAAAAGTTTTAGAGAAATTTTTTTGTTGAAAAACTTTTTTTGTATTCTCTTTTCATTTGATATTACTGATCACCATTGTCCACTTGATAAAGAAAAAGAAAAAGAAATCGCTTGATTGTTCCATTTTTTAGCTGCTCATTTTTTAGTTCTCATTTTTTAAAGTTTCAATATTAGGGATATAAGAAGGGAAATTTCGCGTTTATTGGCAGAAATTTCTTTTTTTTTGTCGTGGGTGGATAATTGTGCGCTCGGTTGGAAAAAGAGTGATTTCTGTTTTTTTTCGAAAAACTCTTTCTATCGAAAAACTCTTCTATGAAATTCTTGGATCGACTCCGTGATTTGTACTGTAGAAGGTGGGGTTTTTTCGATTTTTCTTTTGTCTCTAGAATGTCTAGTGATTGTTGATTGTCTAGTCCCTCTAGTGATTGTTGTAGAAGCACTAGAGTTACAACTTTCCATCAAACAGTGGCTAAATGAAGCTCTGCCTGAGCTGTAGTTACACTTCTAGAGTAAACTTCTAGAGTAAACTTCTAGAGTTTAAACTCTAGAACTAGAAGCTCTCTAGAAGTTCTCTAGAAGTTCTAGAGTTTAAACTCTAGAACTTCTAAGTAAAATACATATGATAGAATTGATTATATTTGATTGATAGAATTGATGATTATCAAAGAAATTTGGATCGAATTCTAAATGATAATTTTGAATTCGATTTTCGTACGAATGCCAACTTATTCTGAGCTTTTTGTTTGTTTGTTTGTTTGTTTACTTTCCATTTAAATAGAGCTTTTCATTTTTAAAGCTGAATATCTAAAGCTCTGAACAAAGCTCTGAACAAAGCTCTGAACAAAGCTCTGAACAAAGCTATGAGCAAAGCTCTGAACAAAGCTATGAACAAAGCTCTGAACAAAGCTCTGAACAAAGCTCTGAACAAAGCTCTGAACAAAGCTATGAGCAAGATTTCCAGCAAGAAATCACAAAAATTACGCCAAATAACTCCATGTTAGCCTTTTTTTCTTAAAAAACACATTTTTTCATAGAAATTCGTTGATCTTTCAACTTCAAATCAATCCAGAAATTGAGAAATAGTCGTTTTCCAATTCGATTTTCCAACAATTTCCATTTTCTACACAAAATAACTGGTTTTTTTGTCCTTTTCCCTCCCGAATCTTGTCATTTTTGACTTTTTTTTTTGATAGAATTTGATAGAAATTGATAGAAATTGATAGAAATTTGTACTTATAGAATAGAAAATATAGAAAGCAAAGATAAAAACAAAGCTAGCAAACAAAGATAGAAAACAAAGCTAGAAAACAAAGATAATAAACAAGGATAGAAAACAAAGCTAGAAAACAAAGCTAGCAAACAAAGCTATCTTTCTAGAAGCTAGAAGCTAAAACAAAGCTAGTAAACAAAGCTAAAAATCTTTCCAATCAAATTTAGCTTAAAATTTCACAATTGAAAACAATTTTGAATGTAAAATCTACGTTTATTTTGGCTTTTTTTGGTTTTTTTTGATCTCTTTAACCTCACCGGGTGGAGTTCAAACAATTTTCGAATGATTTATGCAAGAGTGAGCACAAATCTCAGTGAGTTGTTGGTAATCTGATCAAATTTTGACTCTAATTTGACTCTATTTTGACTCTATTTTGACTCTATTTTGTTTCTCACTCAATTTCATACAGAAATCTCTTTTTACCTTTAAAGATTTTAGATTAAACTTCTTCTATTATTAGGCTATTAGAAAAGCAATAAAAAGTGCGCTCCGTCCTAGTGATTTCACAGAAAAGAGCTATTTTTCTGCACAATTCAGGTACAATAGAGTTCTATTATTCTTCTATTCTTCTATTCTATTATTATTATGATTAGCATTATTATAGAACTCTATTGTACCTGAATTGTACAAAAAAGTAGCTCTTTTCTGTGAAATCACTAGGACCGAGCCCACTTTGTATTGCTTTTCTTTGGCTTTGGAAACACTGAACCAACGATCTTGGTTCTATTTTATTGTATTTTCTCACTAGATTAGTGTTTGTGCTATATTCGGTACAAATACCTCAATAATCATTGCCCCATCAGTACCCTCTCACGCACTGCACATCAATTCTATTTA